AAGCTCCGTCCGCGACTGGTACATGAAAATTCGTGAAGAAGGTTCGTGAAACTGGCCTGCTTGTGGATAACAGAAGGTATGAGCGTGTTAGACTCGTACGTACAGCCGAAAACATTGCTGCTGATGCCCAGTGTGCGTTAAAACGCAAGAATGTTAATTCGTCACAGAGCACAAGTGGGCATCAGTCGCACTTCTGTGTGGAGAATATTGCATAATGACCTTATTACTAGTTTGTTAATTTTTATTCTATTCCCTTGTTTGGCCAGATATTCACTACTTGGCGCAAAGGTACCTTTGCATATTAGGCGTGTTGCATAGACATATTATTTGATTTGAATATTATTCTATGACATATTTTACATACCTGTTCCAGATTCCATCATTCCGTATAAAGTCCCAGGCGCTTACAAGTGCATTTACATAACATGTTCCTATGGAAAGCAATTTGAAAAAACGAAAAGTCACATTCTAATCTGCGGTCGCTTCTCGAAGCGACGCAGTATCAACTCTAATTAAAATGAAGACAAGATAGACGATTATTCTGTGGACGTATCGCGTCCCAGTGAACTTTTTTGATAATCATCACAAATATTCTTCGGTAATAATAACATGGGTCATATTAGTCCGCATTCCTAACATTCCATCGAATGTTGACTGACTGTTCAATGCTCTGATTTATCCGACGTGGCACAGAAGCGGATTAAGCCCAAAATTTTAAACTTCTACTTTAAAGTTTGAAGAAAACTGAGGCTGTACAAGTTCTGCTTCTCTCAATATGTGTAATTCTGTGAAATTAAGTATGTAAATGCAGGGGGTGTTTCTGATAAGAATGACAATATTTCGTTTACAGAAGTCATAGTAGATCAATACCAATATAATAAAAACTGTGTCGTTGACTATTAAACCAGTTTCAAAGAACTTTTTTAAGCCTAATATAGTATTTGGGGCTTTAAAGGATTGAAATGTCGAATAATTTTCACGGTATATTAATAATAATGAAAGAACCCGATAAACTGATCTTAACTTTTGACAAGATATAGGGTTATATAATATAAATCAAGCAAAATAATAATAGCATTTATTGCCAAACATAATTTTTATCATTTATTCTGACACTGTAAATACAATCAGCGATAGATACTGTTGATTTCAAAGAACAATTTCAAGTGATCGGCAAATAGTCTTTCACAGTGAACATTGCTACTTATATCGTTAACAAAGAGCGAAAAAGCAGTGGTCCCAAATTCGAACCCTGTAGTACCTCTGAAGATGCTATTTAGCGAAAAGACTCGAAGCTGTTGTATGATAATCATGTTAATCATATTTCTTATTTATAATTATGAAAAATTAATTAACATGGGATCCACTCCTTAAAATTCTGCATTATATCCCTAATTTATTAATTAGATATCGTTGCCATTTTCAATTACGTTGATTCCAAATATTTAAATACACTAGTGTTAATTCTGACTCATACTTTTGTATGAAGTGACGAAGCAGTTGATGCGCTTATGTCTCCATGATTTTGCGATTTTCTAGTCTACTGAATTGGTCTTGATCGTTACTTTCCGTTTCAATATCTCCAGAGCACTCGTTTTTTATATACCGAGAACTTGGTGCATTTCGAAACAAACTGTCAAGAGACGCCGATTCTTCCGACGTTATGACTTGAAGGGTTTAAAATTCGTTATTACGGTCCTGTCGTAGGAGCAGCCTTCTGGATTGTTGTTGCAGTTGCATATGTCATTAATGCGGAATTCAACGGGCAGTGTTTGTTTTACAAGTTGGCTTGTTGTAAAGCTCATGACTGTGCCCTGAATAATATTTCCCGTTTTTTTTTCAGTTTTCACTGAAAACTGTTTCATTCATTTTATAATTGAATCGACTGACGTCAGTTCTCAGTTCTATATGCATTGCTACCAGCCAGATGGTTTCTCGGATCAACTCGAATTGATATACTCCGTAGTCAACGTTATTTGAAAAGGATAAATATTAGTCAGCACTACCTTTTATTGGAACCTACAATTTATAGAATGTGGTTGATTCAATTTTATTGAGTGGAACACCCACTTGTCAGAAAGCATCCCTCATTTTCTAGCAAATTATACGAAATTATACCAAGGAGTCTTGGGGCGGAGCCAGAAAGTTTGGGAGGTGGGACGAGGACTCTGTATATAAATTAATACACTTTTACGTTCATAGAGAAGAAACTGTATCTTGAGTGCGAGTGATTATTAAAAATTTCAGTTTTGTCGAAGAAAAATGATAGGATCTGTGGAATTCTTGGCATTGTTCATTCTTTAAAATTGATTTTCATCTCATATCCTTCGGTAGTTTTAGATCTGATCAATATTATTCATTGACGATAAACATACATACATTCGGAATAAATATAATGTTATACGAGTAACATTAATCGTAACCTCAATTCACACTGGTTGATTCCTTCAATCTTCTTATTTGAATAATATATGCAAACTCTTCAACCTCCATTCTAGAATATTTATAGTACGTTGAATATGTATCCAGTTACCAGTCTCCATTTAAATATTTACTTTATCGATTAAATTATAAATAATAATTCGTACTTGCAAATCTATCTGGACCAAACAACATTCTCTTGTTTCCAGATAACCATGATCAACAATGTTGTTCACAGCATTCCAAAAATAATATCGAGATACAAATAATAAAGTCACTTAGCGGCTAAACTATTATAGTTTTTTAACCGACTGTCTCAGAAGGAGGGTTGTGTTTTCCACACTTACGTATGTAAGTATGTGGACAGTTCAAATTCACGGGCTACAGTCCAAATGGCTTGATTGATTTTGACCTGACAGATGTTGTTAGATTAGCAGCTCTAGTGACACTAGGTTCATTAAAACGTAAATGGCAGGTTTTAGTGTTGGAAAGGTAGCTGATACCCCTTAGGTCGAATTATGAAAGGCTGTTCCTCCAGTGATCCAACTGTTCGTAATCTGTAAGCTATGTTCAAAAATACCAAGATAAAAATAGGATGTAAATAATAAAAACCGTCGGCCGTCACATATTAATTAAAAAATATTGTCCATCAATTTGTCTCATTTTGCACATCAAGGCGCCATCAAATTGAAGCGTCACTTATCAACTGGTACAAGTGTGTATGTGGTTATATCCATATTCTTATAGGAGGCGAAAGTTTTTATCATTGCTCTGCAATATCTTGGCATATGGAATATTACTACAGGCTAGTCATAAAATAAACTTTTGAAAAATGTCAAGACAGTCTCAAGTGGCATCACACGCAATATAGAGATAAACAACCTATAAATCTAGTATCGGAGCAATTCAAACCGCATTCTTCATTTTTACTTCCCACGCTATAACTGGCGAGGAAGTATTGTAATCGCCAAAGATTTCGGAAATATAATGATAATATTAGTAATAATAATAATAAATGGGATTTATTCTGTGTCAGTCCAGGGTCCCAAGTTTTTACACTCACTCGTTCCGTCGGTCTGTCTGTCAGCCTGTAACTTTAAATATACCAGTCGAATTATCACGAAATTTTCACACGGGTTTACTACTATGTCAAGGACGGAAAAGATTTGTGGTTTTTGGAAATATTTCAGAGGCGGTGGCGTTAGGGACAAATACATGATGAAAAAGATAAAAATCGCTCAAACTGCGTTTTTTGACGTTTCGAAGCCCCTGATCATTTTCGATAAAATGTTTCTGCCGTATTTTCCATATAATTTTAATTGCACTCATCTGCAACGTGCCGCCACATTTTCTTGTTAAGTAATTGCAAAACCTGGAATAATGAAAGCAATTAAATTAGCAGTAAATGTTTTTATAGTTAGTTCATTATGTATGAAGCTGGGTTGGCATCGAATGAAGATCAATTTATTTTCAAACCAAAACTTACAACAATCGAATTTATGTAAGTACAATAAAAGATCAATTCATTAACAGGAAACATGCGTTCGTTTGGGTTTGACTATCAAATGTTAGTATGGGATAAAACACAAACACTTCTTGATTGAAGCACCAAAAGACTGTTATAGCTTAAATTTGTGAAAATAATATTTAGCCAAATATTCCCTAGTAAAACATATTTTGTTGATATGACACCAGGTGTCGCAGCCTTAATTCTATTGCTGAGGATAAAGATACGATTATTTTATTTCCATAATAATTATAACTTCCATTATTTTTTCTGAAAATTAATACAAAAAAAGGTACTCAACATTCACTTCGATTGAGAGGCCTTTTACTTCCTACGCCTACTGGTGAAGAAGTACTGTAATCGCGAAATCCTCAGAAAATTTTGGGGTATTGTATTTTTTTGGACGTTATACGGACATGTACATCAAGAAAAAAATCCAATTTTTTCGGTGATTTTTGAGAGGCTGTATTTAGATGAAAATGGTCGTATCTAGAGTTCAAAAAAGCATTTTGAAGCTTTAAGTTTTTATCTCTCAGGCTTTTTAGCAAAAAAAATTTAGGAGCAACGGTTGCAATTCTTACAGATAGTGTAAGAAAATTTTTTTGCAAAATATTTCTTTTTAGTCCACGGGCTTGAAATATTTTTCTGTTAGGCCATCATATGGATCAGATAATCCGTTTATTCAGCTTCAATTTTCTGAGTATTCAAATTGCGCTGAACTTGATCCTTTATGAACTGATGACGGCGTCGCGTAAGAAGTGCAGAGTCAACCTACTTGACGCCAATTTTTTTTTTGTTACGTTTGCAAATTACTTAGTTTAATATGCACCACAGCCTTTTTAATTACTTGGTTTTATTTAAATTTGATCAAAAACAAACCGCAAATTGTTACCAAAACGTCTAGTTGCCGAAAATTGACAGGTCCTGAGTACAGAATAACAATTGTGGTCACTAGGCGACGCTGCCATCGCCCACACAGCAAATACGTACAATATACTATCAAACGGTCGATACTTTATAATTTTCCTCTTGTCCATACTAAGATAATCGAAAATATTCTGTTTTGTTCCAGGTCTATGGGCATCCTGCTCCCCCCTGTTGCTCAAATCACCTCATCTGCCTCATCGACGATAGTCACTCCAGTATCGGCAGCCACAGTCACTTGTCCTGCCCTCACACTGCATCACAGAAACCGTAGTTTAGACTCCGCCCTACAGCGAATCCCCGAGGTAGACGTCACTCCTTCGCCGGAGTGCGAGACCACCGCTAACGCCCAAATGGGCGTGGCCATCGGTAATGGTACGGGGACTACGCAGAATGATCATTTGGATGGGTTAAGGTGAGATTAGTTAGAATGTCATATTTTTGGCGTCAATTTTTTTGAATATGATCTGGGGTGAATCAAATTCAAAACGCTCCAACTCGCTGTTTGCAGCAGATTTTATACGGATCACCATAAAGAAAATCGTAATTTCATCGTTCCAACAGCAAACGAAGCGACTCGTTTATTGTGGCTTACTGCACAAAAAAAGCTTCTTTGAGTGGCCCAAACGACTCCAACACACTTGGTCCAACGTTCCTCCAACATAAGGATCTTTCTCAGCTGTCCAGAAAGCGATTTATTCAAATCTGGGAACAGATGGAAGCTGAGAATGCCAAATCAATAAAATTGGGGTAATGGTCGATCAAATCATGCAGTTTTCCCATTGCTAACACGCCTTTGTGGGCGGGTGCATTGTCATGATGTAAAATCATGTTTTCTTCTTCAAGCAAGCTCTCATCTCACGAATTTTGGGAACCCGTTGGTCAAGCTGGTTGAAATAGTATTCGCCCATAATTGTTCTACCTTTTTCAAGGTAATCAGTTAACAGACTCTCGCATCCCAAAAAAAACTGGCTATGACCTTTGCGGCAGATGCAATCGATCTTCTTCTTTGGCACGGAAACAATGACTACCATCCACTGCTTCGACTGCTACAAAAAAATAGAAATCTTAGTTCATTCATAAAATCAGAAATAAGTCATTGCCCACATGCCGATGGGCCAGGCATATAAACAAACTCTTGCGGGCTATAAGTTTACACACATTGCAGCGCTTCACCATTATCAGTTTCACATAGCCGCAAAAAAATCACTGCGGATAAAAATTTAAAAAAAATCAAATGACCACTTGCTCCATCAACACGAAAATTCATATTAGCACATTCGAATTGTAATTAAGCATTTACGCATCTTATACGATAATTACGTTTGTGACGTTGTCAATTGTTGCGGATTCAGAGTCGCCCGTTGTCGTATTGCCCTTTTGCTAAAAATAACCTAATAACAAATATTGTTCTTAACACGTCATGGAAGATATAGTGCCTATGAATAATTTTGCCCGTTGTTGACTTAGGTACTGAATGAAGACTAACTATAGATAGAAAGCATTTTCGGAGATTTGGAGATCATGACAAATTTCCAGGATATTTTCAAACATCCGAGTGTAACTAGATCGGTCTATATTTTTAGTAGTCAGTGATATAAACAACACAATAGCTCTGTCGTTATATAGGCTGAACTTATAAAAATAAGTATTGCATGCTCGACTGTAATATCCATCTAACAAGTTGTTCCAACAAGATTGGCCTAATCGAAATATCGAGCAATAAATGAACCATTATGAATAATTACAAAGGTTATCAGACCATGCAAAATTACAGCATTAGCAACCTTTTGAGACTTATGTACTAGGGACCCATTTTCTGGAAGATCATGAAAATTACAGAAGATTTTTATGAAGTTTTGACTAAAGTTTCCTGTACTATGTCATCATGCCAAGGACGAAAAAGCTTTCTAGGTTTAGGAAATCGGCCCGGTCAAAATAAAAAAAACAAATTTCGCTTTCCGACGTTTTTCAACTTTTTGGTCAGTTTAATTGTCAAAAAAATGTAGGGAGTTCAAAAAATTTGTAAATCAGGACTTTCTTATATTTCATTTATTGCTGACTATGTTTAAGAGCTTCAGAACACTCAAAAAATTTTTCGACTTACTAATAATTATAATATGACGTAGATTTATATCAAATCGTAGGAAGTTTTTACTTCCTACGCCAACTGTCGAGGAAGTATTGTAATCAATTTTCTTGACTTAATTCGTCGATTATTATTATCCACAAGTTCATTATTTTGATTTCTTGTTTGATTAACAGTTCGAAAAACTGCCCCAGCGTCCTAAGTCTTGGAGGTCCATGCGTGAAGAAAAGCGACGAACTGGCCAGCTTAGGTTCAGATGATTCTGGTATCATTTGCAATGGTTCAGACGCCGGTAGCTCAGAAGAATCGAATGTTGCAACGAGGGAAAGCAGCGTGGAATTCCTCAGTGATAAAAATGATGAGGATGAAGAGAAGAAATGTGATAGCACAGATGGAGGATGCGAAGAGAAGAGGCCGCCTCCCAAAAGTTCTGGTAATTTTACTTTTATTCTGCTTTATAGGGCAGTACTTGATGTATCTTACATGAGATGTGATTTTCGTGGCTTCTAATGGTCTGAATTTGAAATGATAATATAAAGCCAAATCATGAAATTTGATTATTTATCTGCGCGACGAAAAAATGTTTGGCAAACATAGCCGCCATATAGAATCGCTATTTCGTTTTTTGAACAATCGATATCGAGTTCGTTATTAGTGACCTTGTAAACATCCAAAACTTGCATTTGAGGTCAATCAAAACATTTTTTGCAAACATAGCCGCTTATAGAATCGCTATTTCGATTTTTGAACAACCGTTATCAAGTTCGTTATTAGCGACTCTGAAAGCATCTGAAACTTCAATTTGAACTCGATGAACACATTTTTTGCAAACATAGCCACCTATAGAATCGCTATTCCGATTTGTGAACAATCGATTCCAAGTTCGTTATTAGCGACTCTGAAAACTTCCAAAACTTGAATTTTAGCTCAACCAAAACATTTTTTGCAAACATAGCGGCCTATAGAATCGCAGTTCCGATTTTTGAACAATCTATATATCAAGTTCGTTATTAGCGACCCTGAAAGCATCTAAAACTCGATTTTGACCTCAATCAAAACATTTTTTGCAAATATAGCCGCCATATAGAATCGCTATTTTGGTTTTTGAACAATCGATATCAAGTTCATTATTAGCGACCCTGAAAACATCTAAATCTTGAATTTGAGCTCGATCAAAACATTTTTTGCAAACGTAGCCGCTTATAGAATCGCTGTTTTAATTTTTGAACAATCGATATCAAATTCGTTATTAGTGACCCTGCAAACATCCAAAACTTGAATTTGAGCTCAATCAAATCATTTTTGTGCAAACATAGCCGCCTTTAGAAGCGCTATTTCGATTTTTGAACAGTCGATATCAACTTCTTTATTAGCGACACCCTGAAAACATCTAAAACTTGAATTTGAGCTCGATCAAAACATTGTTTGCAAGCATAGCCGCCTTTAGAATCGTTATTTCGATTTTTGAACAGTTGATATCAATTTCGTTATTAACGACCCTGAAAGCATCTACAACTTGAATTTGAGCACAATCAAAACATTTTTTGCAAACATAGCCGCCATATAGAATCGCTTTTTCGATTTTTGAACAATCGATATCAAGTTCGTTATTAGTGACCATGAAAACACAAATCTTGAATTTGAGCTCAAACAAAACATTTTTGAATCGCTGACAAATTGATATCTTATTGCTTATCTGCGACCTGGAAATCGTAGAAATTTACTTTTCTATAAAATTTAGGGAATCTTTCTAATTATGGCCATATTTAACGACTTTTGAAGAATATCACATTCCCTTAAATGTTATGTTATCGGAATAATTGCTTCAGATTTGTGAAAGATACCAGTTATACTATTATATGCAAGTGAGACTAGCAGGATTTTCGACTATAGGATACTTCCCAATTAGACATAAAACTCGTGCGAAATGAAAAACCTAACCGGTACCTCGATTTTGTATCGAAAAATCCCTGTTCTAGGTCTCTTGAGGCTTCTCGAAAGCAAAGTCTTCGACGTATCAATGGCGATGCACTACCTGTTCAACAGCAAAGAACCAGGAGTTTTGACCTACATCGCAAACAAGATGTTTACTTTCGAAGAACGTGAAGTCGACTTCTACCTTCCTCAGTTAGTCTGCATGTACATACAAATGCACGATGTTGCCGAAGTTATACATCGATATCTAATCCACAGGTGAGACAGCTAATTTTTTATACTTAAATTCCAGGGCACCGCGGCTGCTATGAGGAGCTTAAGTACATTTTTGAACTTTTGGAAGCATTAAACTGTACAAGATTGTTGCGTCCCCCTGAAGTAGTAATTTTATTTACTACTTTTCTTTATTGATTGAGAAGTATTTCAGATTTTGGCATAAAACACGGTATAGGGAGGTTTTCTAGTATGAGAAGTAATCCGTTATTTTTTATGGGCCATCTTCTAGAGGGTGCCACTTACACCACTCTTTCGGTAAATAACTTATCATACCTTTTTTGTGCTACCCTGTATACAACAACTGACCAAAACATCTTATTTTCTCGTATTTCCACAACAAAAAAGGTTTACTTGTTCGAAGTGTCTAAAGCTAATAGTTTTCGAGATATTTGTTTTTGAAAGTTCCAATGCATTGTTTGTACCATGATGATAAAACATTTTTATAATATAATAAAGTTGATTTGGATAATATCTGAGTAGCGCTGCTATGGCTTTTAACAATAATAAATGAGGATGGCAACAAAAGTAATAAACGGAAATAATAACTACAAAAATTGTTCACAATGAGCACCACCTTGCCTAACACACTCTCGAAGCTCGAGGAACTAAAACTTGCTGCACCCTCCAAACCATTTGGATGTTATTTTTCATTTCCTGGCTATGGTGGAAAATTCTTTGTCGAAGATCATCTACAGTTTCCACTGGCGTATTGTAAACGCGTCGTTTTAAATCACCCCAGAAGAAGAAATCCATAGGATTTAAATCTGGTGAACTAGCCGGCCACGATACAGGTCCTGATCAGCCTATCGACTGGTCTGGATAAACTCTATTTAAGTGCCCTCTAACTAATATACTAAAATGAGGTGGAGCGTCGTCGTACATTAACCACATATTCATACCTGTTTGTAATGGAAGATCTTCCAGCAGAGTGGGTAATTGTTCTTCAAGAAATTGTAAATACCTTTGGCCATTTAGTCTAGGTGGTAACTCAACGGGTCCTATTAAATATTGTCCAATCATTCCTGCCCATAAATTAATTTGAAATTGTACTTGGTGGCGGGTTTGTATTATTGCATGAGGATTTTCGTCTGAATAAATGTGAAGATTATGCGAGTTAATGGGCCCATCCCTTCCAAATCCTGCTTCGTCCGAAAATATTAACGAAGTAAAACCATTGTCGTGTTAAACTTCCTTAAGAGTCATGTACAAAATTCTACCCTTGCGGGGTCATCATCCGCGCTTAAACCATGTACTTTTTGCACTTGGTATGGATGAAGCAGTTGCTCTTGAAAAACGATATTTACTGTACATTTGGAAACTTGAAATTCTCGAGCTACATTCCTAACCCGAACTGTAGGATTTTCAAAGACAGCATCTAAAACATTTTCTTCAACTTCAGTTGTACGTACAGTTCTGGAAGATCCTCTATGTCGGCCCATATGTTGAGCAAAACTACCTGAAAATGGTTTTACTGCTCATAATAAGGTTATAATCATTCTTTACCAGTTTCTCGTAACCGCTGATCGATTCGTTGGAAAGTCTTTGAATTAGGCAGGTGTTTATTAGGGAATCTGTCAGCGTACATTCTTCGTGCTTTTAAAGCATTACATCTTGCCAATCCGTACATTAAATGCATATCAGAATATTCATCAAACATATACTCCATGATGTTTAACAACTTATTGTCAACTTAAAATTATTCAAGAAGTTATGATAACTTAACTGCCACTTACAAACAAAAAATTCAGGTTGCGCAGAATTCTTGCCTCAGATTAATATATGGCATCAGAAGACGAGACCGAATATCCCATAAGTTGAAAGATGCGAATTGGTTGAACATGGAAACAAGAAGATTTTTGCATACCGCAACATTATATCATAAAATAATTATGTATAAGACCCCCACTTACTTATTTGAAAAAGTTGCATTTCGAACAGATGTGCATAACATCAATATAAGATCCAGGATGTTGCTGACACCGCCGATATTCCGAACAGCCCAATTTGAACGATCGTTCAGCTACCAAATTTGTTCCATTTATAACACCCTTCCGGTACAATAAAAAACTCTGAGCATCTCAAGTTTCAATTAAAAAAATATCTCTTATCCCAGCAGTAGTAACCATGTTTCAGGAAAATATTGATACAAGTTTATGATTCATTTTAGTAGATGTATTAATGTAAGCACTTCATATACATTTAATATTTGTAATGTGTAGAATAAGTAGGTCTCACTCACCTTTTGCAGACTTTTTTATAGCGGGTTAAGTGGAAGAGCAGCTACAGCTGAACTTCGACCGTATTTCGCTATTTTTTTATATAATCAGTCTATTTCGAAATAAAGACGTTTATTATTATTATTATTATTATTATTATTATAAGTTATTTATCGAAATAGTGGTGTAAGTGCCACCCTCTAGAAGATGGCCCATAAAAAATAACGGATTGCTTCTCATACTAGAAAACCTCCCTATACCGAGTTTTATGCCAAAATCTGGAATACTTCTCAAGCAATAAGGAAAAATAGAAAATAAAATTGTAACTTTGACACCCTGTATCTTGCAAACTACCAACTTTTGGACTAAGGTCTGTTTAGGTCAATTCACATATTTTGGTCTGTAGTATCTCCAGTTTCGAGATTTCCCAACCTTTCGCAGACGCCCTTTATATTGCCAAAGTATGAGTAGTTCCTTGAATTGAGAGAAAAAATAATCGTTGCATTGTGAAGGCGTCGAGACAAAGCCAGACACTCCCACTAGATTGTTTTTTTAGATGGCGCTTAGTCAAAAATCAACTCGACTGCGAACGGTGCCAAAAAGGAGACGTCTTATATTTATAAAAAGTCATCATAAATGTACTAATGACAGTAATGACTTCAAAGGAAAATCCAGCACATGCAGTGAATCGGGCGTTATTTTTTCAGACTGTTTACAAAAAAAAAAACGTGTCCGGGAAGTACTAATGAAGACAAAATTGCAAAATTCTGTAAAACTTTAAATACGTCAGCTTTTCTCACGTAAAAAAAATGGGACACGTGAAAATCTACGATATGTTTGAAATGATACGACAACGAGATTGAGAAAGCTGAAAATAAGATGGCTCATAATCAGGGTTGTTATGTTTTAATCATAGTGGAAGATAGTGATAAAGTAGAAACTGAGAATATATTCAATAAGAAAGTTTTTTGTTTAAAGGTAATACTCAAATTAGAAGACTATAAATATCAATTCAAGAAAAATTGATCAAGGAATTATATGAACAGCTTGAATCATTACAAAGGCAAATTGAAAATACAACGGAAACGACAAAGCCATGTAAATCTTATGCAGATATATACAAATACAAGCGGGTGTTCTAGAGCAACCCCTATCTTTTAGTGATGTGAAAAATGGACGAAATATTGATCCAAGTGAAGAACCAGCAACGGCATTTAAGGAATATCATAATATTAACAATGTGGTTGTTTCTCTACCTGAACAACAAAATACAATTATTATAAAACCAGTTACTGGAAATCAAAATTGCCTTCGATCAAAGAAAGTATTGAGCAAATATATTAACCTCGCCAAAATGAATGTTTCTATAACAAACATTACCGATTTGAAAGATGGAGCTGTGAAAATTGTATGTAAGAATAATGAAGGTATCTCTAAATTGAAAATAGAAGTGGAAAAAACATTGGACCAAATTATAAAGTTAACGTGGGTCGAAAGAAATTACCTATGATTAAAGTCGTCGGTTTTAGTGAAGAAGAACTGATTAAGGACATAAAAGAAAGAAACAGAGTTATTAGATCTAATTCAGTAATAAGAGTGGTGATGATTAAAAAAATGAAACAAAGATATCAGGCTATCTTGGAACTAGATGATACTACAATTAGTGAAGTTATGAAAGAAGGTGTACTTTTTATATCTGTGGATGTATGTACAATTTTTGAACATTATAACCTCCTAACATGTTTCAATTGTGCTGGTTTCCTCCATACTGCAAAAAATACTGCAAAAAAATTGCTCCAAGAATGGTATTTGTTTGAAATCTGGTGGAAGTGGACATCAACCACAGAACTGTGAAATACCAGAAAATGAAAGGACTTGTCCAAATTGTAAAGAGTCTAATTCGAAATATAAAACAAATTTCGACATACACCATTCACCCTTTAATAAGATTTGCAGCATAGTCCAAATGGAACATAAAAAAACACAAGCCAAAGCATATTACACTAATAAACCGTAGCAATTACAGATAAAAGAATATGCAAACTATATTTACCATATAAATATTGAAGGATTTCTATCTAAAAAGACGTGGTTTTACATTACTTGATGTCAGTGAAACGGGTGATGCTCTGTTTAACTGAAACACATCTCACAGAGGATATTGACGATGAAGAAATGGGTTTTGTAGGCTATCAAATTGTAAGAGCAAACACAATTTCCAGACATACAGGTGGTAAATTATTATATATTTTATGTGAAATAGAAACTAGAGTAGGTACATGAAATTGTAGCTGTTGAGTACCAATGGTGGTATAGTATATCAATGTTGAATAGAATCTTAAGCACAATTATAATTTATACATTTACTCAGATCTCCAACTGGAAGTATAAACAGATTTATAGATTTTTTCGTTAAATATCTGTGAAAAACATTTTTATCGAAACTGAATCACGGTACATTTGGGTGACTTTAATATAAATGTTGATAATCACGACTTCTACGCAAAGAAATTTAAACAGGTACTCAGTTTTTATGGACTATGGCAAAAAGTCAATGCGCACACCAGAATTACAAATCAATCAAGAACAATTATAGATTTGATAATAACGAGCGAACAAAATTGAATTGCAAAAGGTATGCATACTCCTAAGATCATGGATATGTTTTGAAGTTGAAAGTAAATTTAATGCTAATAAAGTGGAAGAAATGACTGAAGCGTTTGTTGATGTTGATAGCTACTATACAAGCCTATTGGATAATGTTGAAGTTTGCATAAAAGAAGCTACAGTCAAGACAACAATGTATAAAAGGATAAATCCAACACCTTGGTTCTCGCAGACGTTCAAGGATTCTAAATTAAAAAGAGACTACAATTATAAAAAGTTTATGATTACTGGAAGTGGATTGGCTAGAATACACAAGATCAAGAAACCAATCTGTAACAGTTCTACGAGATGAAAAGAAAAAATATTACAATGTCAAAATTGATATAGCAAACATATGTAGAAAACGTTGAGAAACATTGTTTCTCGTATTAGAAAAAGTACATTATTTAAAATGAAATTCGACGAAGGGGTAATAGCAAATGATGAAATAATAGCAGTTATAATGAATACATATTTCATAGAAAGTGTAAAATCAATTATTGACGGGGATCCCAACCAATGTCCCATTAGCTCAGATTATAATTCATCATTCAGTGAGTTTAGAACAATAAACATTAATTGTCCCCAGAAGATTATATCAAAAATTAAATCAAATCAAAATAAGAGTGAGATTTTGTCTAAAAGTGTGCTTAATGAATGTTTTGATCTCGTATTATTGGAGCAAGAATATTAATCCTGATAAATTACTGTTTAAAATATGGCGAATTTCCAACAAAACTGAAGTGTTCTACCATAACTCCTGTTTCTAAAGTTAAGAATTCTGAGTTGTACAACAATATGCGTCCAATAAATGTTCTGCCAGATGTTGAAAAAGTTTTTGAAGAAATTATTTACGAACAGATCATCGAATTTCAACATACAGTGGCAGTGTTTTTGGACTCCAAAGGGCGTTTGAGACTATTGACAGCGATAAATTACTTACAAAATTGCATCGCTACGGATTTAAAGGAACTGTATTCAAAATTCTACAAAACAATTTAATTGACAAGTCAAAAAACCAAAATTGGATCTACATTATCAAGATCAAAAAATATTTCTGTTGGTATACAACAAGGTAAACTACGTCCACTACTATTTATTTTATACATTAATGACATTTGTAATACATATTTTAGATTATTGTAAACTTCAGATATTTGCAGATGTTACATTAATATACATATGAGATGAAAATATAGACACTGCTTTAAAGATGCTAAATTCTGACTTGGCAAAAATTGTAAATTGGTTAAATGTGAATAAACTAAAATTGAATGCTTCTAAAACAAAATGTTTGTTGATTGGGAAATACCTAAATGAAAATACTATCACAGTTAGGATAAATGGAGAAATAATTACAAATGTTGAATCAATTAAATATTTAGGAATATATATTGATAGTAAACTAAACTTTGAGAATCACTATGAATACATGATTTCAAAAATTGCCAAAAAAACTAATTACTTTTATAGGGCTTCTCATAGTCTTGGTACCTATTCCAAGAAAATAGTTTATAATACAATCATTCTACCGCATTTTCTATATTGTTCAACTATCTTGTTCACTGCCAATAAAGCTGTATTCTCAAAATTACAAGTCTTGCAAAATAAAGCTATGAGAATAATATTGAATAAAAATAAGTACACTAAAATAAAATCTATGTTACAAGAATTGCAGTGGTTGAATATAAAAAAATGCATATCATAAAAAATCATCTTTTGCCAGAACATTTAGAACACTACATAAAATTGAATAATCATTACCACAATTATTATGCATGAGGAAATATAGATTTTCATTTACAAAATTGCAATAGTAATATATAACTAGCCAATCAATATTTAACAAAGGATTACTTGAATTTAATAAACTACAATTTGTTTGGATGACTAAATTTGATAGTGAGGAAATCCTTGTTGGAAATAACCGGGAATTAGCGAAAGGTTGTATTTTCCACGACCTATAAATTTCGCTTTTAATAGTTTGATCACTTTGATTTTTCAAGATTTGATTCGGTCAGAGAATGAATATGGAAACCACAGGATACGTTTTAGTAGTTTACATTCCGTGTCAAAATGTCAACGTGACTTTTATACTTTTTTGGAGCAAAATATTGTGTGTTTTTGCAGCGCTTTTTGTAAAGCTGCTAGGAATGGCAATTCCATATCCCCGAGGCGTCTAACGGCGTCTGTAAAACCCGACGTTTTGGAATACAAACATTTTAAACTGATAGGAGGTCAAAGAATAATAATAAATTTTCCTCCCCTCATAAATTATTACAAAAACAGTTTTTTTTGTCTAACAATTTTTTCACTTCTCGGATTATTCTGAACAAGAAAGATCCTCAGTAACTTTTTTCTAAAGTTCGTCCTTTCCGGGCTATAAGCCATTTTAAGTGTCTGAGAAACCCTAAAAATGCTCATCTTCACTGATCAAAAACTTTTTGCACAACCAGCTCCTGGGCTATTTAGCGCTGAATACGTTTGAACTGTTTTGAACTGTGAGGTGCATTTTTTCCAGTTTTATACTTTTTGCAGCGCTTTTAGTAAAACTGCAAGGAATGCCAGTGACATAAAGCCGAAGTGTCTAACACAGTCTGTCAAAAACAGTACATTTTGGAATACATGGTTTTCAAACCAGGCGCTGGGTGGAATGGAGTATGCAAAATATGAGAACCGCACTTTATAAGCAGGTATCAACTGAGAAGAGGTCACAGAATAATAATCCGGATCTTGCCGAGTCACATTCTGCTTGATTTTTCCTCCCCTCATAAATTATTACAAGAAAAGTTTTTTTCGGTCTGACAATTTTTTTTTATTTCTCGAGTATTCTGAACAAGAAAGGTCCTTAGTAACTTTTTTCTAAAGTTAGTCCTTTCCGGGCTATAAGCCATTTAGTGTCTCAAAAACCCAAAAAAATGCTCATCTTCACTGATCAGAAACTTTTTGCACTACCAGCTCCTGGTCTATTTAGCGCTGAATACGTTTGTGAGGTGCATTTTTCCCATTTTCATACTTTTTTGGGGCGAAATATTATGTGTTTCAGCGGAGTACGCTTCGATTCTTTGCAGCGCTTTTTGTAAAGCTGCTAGGAATGGCAGTTGCGTATAGACGAGGTGTCTAACATTTTGGAATACAAGCTTTTTAAACCAGGCGCTGGATGGAATTGAGAGTGAAAAATGTAAGAACCACACTCTAAGAACTGATATCGACTGATATGAGGTCAAAGAATAACCAGGCCACATTCTGGTCGATTTTTTCTGCCTTCATAAATTATTACAAAAAAAAGGTTTTCTCGGTCTGACATTTTTTTATTCCTCGGATTATTATGAATAAGAAAAGTCCTCAGTAATTTTTTTCTAAAGTTAGTCCTTTCCGGGCTATAAGCCAATGTCTGAAAAACCTTGATCAAAAACTTTTTACACAATCAGCTCCTGGTCTATTTAGCAACGGGAGAGAAACATAAATATATGGCTCAGCATTTATCGAGATCACGTCCCAAAGCGTTTTGAAGCATCAGCAAAATTATGCTCGCATGATGTAATTGATCATTTTTGCTCATTTTGGCTTCAAATGCCATTAGCGAATCTTTGAAATACTACCGCATTTAGTTCAGCTTTTTAATCGCTAAAGTACGCTAAACTTTGCAAAAAACCTCGAATCACGTCGATCCGTTAAACGGTTTATTTTAATTAAATCTAACATGTCCAGCAAAAAAACATGAAAACGTCCACTTTTCGCCTCTATAAGAGACTCCTCAAGGTCACTCTCGCTGGCTGGATTGCATCTGTCGAATCGGTGCACGTTTCGCCTTTAACTGCGAAATATCGCCATTTTACGGTTTGACAGACGAAATTGAATTGTGTATTTAACTGGCTGAACGGATGAATGATCCCAATAATAAGCGAAAAAAAAACTAGGAAGTTTGTTTATGATTTTGGTTCGTTGGAGCGGAAAGTCACGTGCTGCGTTAGATAAAAGTGTTCATCTCTCTGTGTGGGGATTTACCGCAACGCAGCGGAGGAAATATTCAGTAGCCATTTGTTCCGGTTACTATAAAAAATCGTGCCGATGATAGGAAAAGAACATGTTCTAGACCTTTTCTTATGAAGAGTCAGGATTCATGTTTCTTCTTCCAAATCACAAAATATGTTTATACTGACTTAATAACGGGAGAGAGGCCAAGTCCATAATACGAGGTCTGTAAATTAAGTGATGAGACTGGCAACGTAATGTTCGATCTGGCAACACTGGAAGCGCCCGGCTTGGGGGGAAACAGGGGAACATGTAATCCGCCTTCGGTACAAGTTTGAACTCACCGAGTCATTTGGTTGTTTTTTTAACAGTTTGTTCTTTTTTGTTCTAAAAATGAGTCACATGAATTTCAAGCAACGGTGTGCTATTAGGATTTGCTTCATACTTGGGCACAGTTCAACGGAAACCCTTGCTAAACAGGCCTACGGAGATAGTGTTTTGTCAAGAGCCCAAGGTTTCCGGTGGCTTAAGGCATTTCCAGAGGGTAGAGAGTCATCATGTTCAAAAACCGGCGAAGGAATCGACAGAATCCGGGGTCTTGTGAGTTCAAATCGTCGGTTGATAGGGAAAGAGTTAAATTTGACTCGCACCACCAGATCAAGAACAACTGGGTTTTGTATCACGATAATGCTCCTTGTCACACAGCAATGCCAATAAACGAGTTTTTGTTCAGTAAAAACATTCATGTGGCTCCTCAGCCTCCTCATTCGCCTGATTTGAGTCCTTGTGACTTTTTTATCTTTCCGTAGTTGAAAAGTCATTTTGGGACCGTCTAAAACGTTCAAACGGCTGTAACCGACCAGCTGAAGGCTTTTCCACTATCGGAGCACCAGCACTGCTATGAGGAGTGGAAGAGCGCTGTGTGGCGTCAGAGGGAAGTTATTTTGAGGGCGATGATATAAAATTGTAATTCTATTGAATAAAAAAATCCTCGTTCATCATTTTATCATAAATTCTTTGCGTTTTCCAGATGCCGAAACTCCATCGACTTTTCCCTGAAATGCGCTTGGTTACTCGACGCGTTCAGTTCGGATGCCACCGTGCCAACAAAGAAGAAACCTCACGGCATCAAACTGCGCAACCTGATCCTCAGCGATGAACTGAGGCCGAAGGACCAAACGAGTCAGAAGCTTGCCAATCTGACATTACCTTTGAGCGCCACCGGCGATAAGTTAGCCTTACCGCCACATGTCAAGAAATCGCATCAAAGGTAATTTTCGAAATATCATTAATTTGTCGAATGAATGCTTAAGGGTCGACGGCACTTTGATTTGCCAAAGTATTGTGGTATCGTCAGCAAAAACTATGAATTCACCATTTTTGTTTAATTTATTAAATCGTTAATATGAACTGAAAGTAGGATCGGACCTAGCACCCTCTTATATATATATATATATATATATATATATATCCTATCCGTAAGTATTTCTTTTCTCGTCACTTGTCGAGGAATTATTGTAGTGAAAAAATATCGTCAGCTTTTATTTTATACATAAACGATTTACAGAGATAAAAGACCAGAATACATTAACAAAATTTATAGTAAATTTGAGGCATCACTTGTGAAATCTACAATTATAGCTTGCTCAGCATCTGCAGCATATGGCTTGAATTTACTGATTCTAACTTATTTATAATTATTCTGTTTATGAAGTCAAACGTGCTAAATAAATATTTCTACTACTAATACTACTTGAGGCGTCCTTATTGTTAGGACGTTATATATGCCTTGGCTGTATTGACATTTGAGAGTGACAGATGTGCTGTCAAAAGAAGATACCTTTTCAACCTAAGACCTCCTTATCTTACAATTTGGAAAAGCCTTGTAATCAATAATTTTTGCTGCCCTGTTCGCTGCGATAATAGCACCACCTAGCGGATATTGGCCATAGACATATTTGTGCTTGACACGTGCAATATAAAAATAAACGGATATTAATGCAAATGACAGATATTTAGTTGATTCGATGTTAGGAACAATTTAAATTTCAAACTGGATTACCAACCTTTTGTGTGGATAACTGTGCGATATTTGTGGAAAATAGTGAAATAAGGAAGGGATATTTTTTATAACTCTTCTGCCACTCCCAACTGTCAAGGTAATCGAGCCATGTTTAGAAAAAATACAGAAATTAATTAGATATAATACGGTAATGTTTCTTCAGTTAGGTTTATTATTTTATTATATTGCAGGTCACAAAGTGACGCCAGTGCCCTGATACCCGGCCTGAAAAAGACAGGCGCTGGAGTGACGAAGCTTTGCCTGGGCGATCTGAGTACGGGCAAAGCTTTCGATAATGGCTGTTTATGCTTTGACAGCTGTCAAGGAGTCGTCAACGATCTAAGGGGAGAAAAGACTGAATGCACTTGCTCGGTAAGAATAGTTTCAATAGTTTAGAGTTTATGTACTTTTTAACTGCAAGATGTTGTGATGTTTTGAGCGGAGATGAGTAGATATGCGATTTTCTGCAGGCCCCGCGTTTAGGCCCCGAGCTAGAGTTCACAAAGGCGCTGATCTCGATCGGTCGGTTGCTGGGCTCAATACCTACGAAGGAGGCCAAAACTACACGATTGGTCGCCGAACTGACGAAACTCAACTTGAATCTTCCTGCGAGGGTGTGGCTTCCTCTTAGCGCCCGACCACTTCATCTTGTGGTGAGGATACCGCCTCAAGTTGCAGCTGTACTCAACTCTAAAGACAAGGTAAGTTTATGTTGTCGTTGTAGATTCATTTAATATCAATGTTACACAGACCACACAGTATGTTATGTCTTCTTATTTTTATACAAGATTTCACTACTATGAATTCTGGTTTTCCATGAAATATTTTTCTCAGTTTCCCTTAAACATTTTCAAACTGGCACACATCTTGATATCATTACGTGATTTATTAAATTCGTACAATCCTGTTTGAAATACTGATTTGTTTGTTATATTGCTACTACAATCTTGTAAATGAAAGTCTAGTAGAATAAATATGGTACTCATTGTTCAATTCAATAAAATTTTCTAAATGATCTGGTAGAAGATGATTTTTTAATTTGAATATCAAAATGAAAACTAAGTAGGTTATGAAATTTTTGATATTCAACCATTGTAATTCGCTCAGCATAAAATTTATTCTAGTACATTTATTTTTATTTAAGCTGATTCTCATAACTTTATTTTGTAGAATTTGTAATTTTGAAAATACAGTTTACTTTACAGTGAACAAAATAGCCGAGCGATATAACAAATGATGAAGAATTATAGTGATGAACACATTTTTTTTTTTAGAATTAACACTCAGGCTATGCCAAATTCCTGAGAAATAATTTATCTTTTTAGATATTTTTGAAATAATACATTCATAGTGCCTTTCAAATGTTATACTAAGTGACATATAAATCCGAACACCCAGTTTAAATGGTTTTATTTTAATAAAAGTTGGTGAATGTATTTATCATACTGTAAATAACAAGTGAAAAAATTTTCAGCCTTATCAGTTGGACATTCCGGTTTTTATAATGCTTTTTTTTAATTCACTAACGCTCTAAAAATGAATATTTCAGCCGCAGTAAAGAATCAACGTTGGCGGATTTTAGTTCTTGACATCCTTTACGATCGGTTACGATGCCTAGAGTACGGAGACCTGTACGATTCCGTCAACTTAGTGAGTTTGATAGGGGCCGTATAGTGGGACTTCGGGAAGCTGGACTTTCTTTTCGGGCAATTGCAGTTAGAGTGCAAAGAAGTGTAGACACTGTGGTTAGGTGTTGTCAGGCCGTACGCAAAACAACAGACCGTGAAGATCGCCGCCTAATATTATTGGCTTTAAGAGACCGTTTCTCCACTACCAGGTCCATTGCAAATGAATGGTTTGCAGAACACGGAAGACCTATTGGCATGCGAAGTGTTTACCGACGAATGACAAGTTTTGGCTTGTTTTCATACCGGCCACACTGGGTCCTCCCTTTAACTCGAGAACACCGACGTAATCGCCTTGAGTGGTGCAGACAACGGTCACACTGGGATCAGGAATGGAACAGAATTGTCTTTAGTGACGAGTCTCGATTTTGTTTAGGCATGCACGATGGTCGTGCCAGGGTTAGAAGGCGACGTGATGAAAGGAGGAATACACAGTTTTTTGTTGAAAGACATGTTCATCACACTGTTGGAGTTATGGTTTGGGGTGCTATAGCTTATGGTTCCAGGTCACCTTTAATCTTCATCAGAGGTAACATGAACGCGCAGCGTTATATCCACGAAGTTCTAGAACCCCATCTTTTACCCTATCTTGACACCCTGGCAGATCCAACTTTCCAACAAGATAATGCCCGACCACATGTTGCAAGAGTCACAATAGACTTCTTTCAACATAATGATGTCACATTGTTACCATGGCCACCAAGATCTCCCGACTTATCCCCAATTGAGCACGTGTGGGATATGATGGGTAGGAGATTGCTCAATTTGCAACGTCCTCCTCAGACTCTAGAAGCACTTCGATAGGAGTTGGTGGTTGCCTGGAATGAGATACCACAGGAGGACATTTACCACTTGATCAGAATCATGCCTAGGCGCGTTGGAGAATGCGTAGCACATCAGGGTGAATCCACACATTATTAAAGGTCAAAGGGCTTTAAAGCAGTGCAATCATTTTGAAATTTTTATCATTTACTTATTATGCTTCATTAAGTACTTATACAAAATTTTATTAAAATAAAACCATTTAAACTGGGTGTTCGGATTTATATGTCACTTAGTATATTTTAATATCTACATATATAATATATACCCAAATATTTAAATGATTTGATTAAGTCCTTTTTTCATGGTTAATCGTAAGATTTATTGTGTTTTCATCTAAAGATTTTCCTATAAACATACATTCTGTTTTGTTTATAAAACATGTGTTTTTGGACACATTTTCCATATTCTCTACCCCTGGTTACAAGTGACCTGGTAAGGTCAAATTTGAGGTAAAAAATTGGTGGCAAATTAATGCCAGAGTCGGAAACTTCTACTTGTAGAGATAACAAATTCGCAGGGCTTCTTGCAAATCTTATGATAAATCTAAAGATATAGTACTTGGTAGTGCAAAATTTCCATTTTTTTTTTCAACCGTTGCCACATGGGAATGAAACCTGGTACACTTAGTTAATTTTTGGCGCAGAATTCAAATATGTTTTCTCTATTATGCTACCAAAAGGCACAACATTCATCTTGAATATGTTTTATGTCCCACTGTATCTCCAATAACAAGGTCAAAAGAGGCGCCGAACTGTTAGAGCGTTCATGATTCAACCTGACCTCCATTTACTTTTTTGCAGGCTCCTTACATAATCTACGTGGAAGTGGTCGAGGTGGAAGACCTGGAAAGCTCACCTGTACCTTCAAAAATAATGCCCACCCTGAGGCATACAAGGTCTGAAGAAAATCTAAAACACGAAACGTCGTCCTTATCAGCGTTTAGTGTATGTGGTGGTTGCTATGACGACGTAGATCCTGACTGGAGCCAAGAGGACGATGAAATTTCGCAACAGGTTTGTAAACAAAATTACTCTAGGGTCAAAAAAATATCTCAGTATTATTTTTCCCCAGCATTGACATGACTACTACATCCAATGTGATTACTCAATAGCGCTTTGTTGTGTTGAATGTTGTATCTGCTATTAAATATTTTCAGTAGGATTATAGTACCTACGATAATAGTATTTTTTTATCGTTGATTTTTCTTTCTGTCACCAACTTTTGTTACAGTACACACAGTTGAAGCGTCAGCCGGTAGATAGAGATACGATATCACAAATGAGCCAGGAATCCAGTGATTCCAGGGAGCCTCCGATGTCAATTCCTGCTAGTGAAATCAGGAGAAGGTTGTCGGATTTCTTCCATGAAGAGAAAAACAAGCAGTTTACTCATGATCCAGAAGACCCTTCTGCTGCTGTCTTGAAAGAACCTTGGCAGGTATATGTGAAAATGTTTATACCACAGCAATTTTTCATGTTCCTTGTTTCATCCTCTCTAACTTGTATCTTTTCTTTTACCTCTTTTTGTCTGTAGGTATTATGACAGTCAAACAATGCTTTAAGTTAGCTACAAAAAGGAACCATAAGGCGCACAGTGGTCTATCAATGCGAAAACGGGGCCAAAATTGAAAAAACAAAGAGCACGAACTTTCATCTGAAAATCTGTCATTATTGTTGTTTCAAATTTTTGCAAATAAGTTATACACTTTTTTCAGGAAAAACAACAACGGATCAGAGAAAGCTCTCCATATGGCTACCTGTCCACCTGGAGACTTCTTTCGGTGATTGTGAAGTGTGGTGATGATCTACGCCAAGAACTGATGGCTTCACAGATCCTGGAGACTTTTCAAAAGATCTGGGAATTGGAACATGTACCATTGTGGGTACATCCATACAGAATCCTGTGTCTTTCGGATGATAGGTGAGTTATCAAAACTGGATTCCTCAGAGCATTGTTTGTTGAAGATTTATTTATTTAATGCTGCGCTGTCAATTTTGTATAATTATTTGTTTACACATTTTTTTAATCCATTTTCAGTAATTTTACATTCTTGTCTATTAAAATTACATCACTATGCATTTTGAGTATTCATATTTTTTAATTTCACCTTAAACATTTTTAACTTCGAACACTGTTTAATATCATTATTCAATTTATTAAATTCAAATACTCCCTTTTGAAATACAGATTTCCTAGTTATGCTACTATTACAATTTTGTAAGTATTCCAAATGTGGTAGTAGTAAATGATTTCTTAATTGGAATATGCAGATGAGAACTGAATAATGAAATTTTTTGCATTCAACCACTGTTATTCTTCTAACATCTTCAACTTAATCTTATCATTTTTGTGTTTATTTAAAATGATTTTCATAGCTTTATTTTGTACAATCTGTAATTTTGAAAATATGTCTTTATTTGCTGTGAACAAAATGGTTGAATAATATAAAAAGTGGTAGTCGTAGTAGCTTCGTATCTGTTCTGAAAAATACATATTCATTTTTTTGGCATGATCTTTATGAAAAAAGACCCATATTTAACAAATCTTCATGTATCAACTCCCAAATTTGCTCAAAAAATTATTTTTTCCTAAGTTTTTTTAGATTTTATGGGTCATTCTGGATAAAAAATCCCAAAGCATTTTATAGGGTATTTTTATTGTAAATCTTTGTTTTTTAATTGTCAATCTATGCTTTCGGATTTAGTTGATAAATGTTTGAAGGATATTTAAAACAATTGACAGCATTGAGATTTTTATTTTTTTATATTGTTTATATTGTTTTTTGGTTCGAAAATGACATATTTCGCACTTTTTCAAACATTAAATCGCTTATATATCGAAAACTACCAACCTTAGGAAGAAGTTTGCGAGAACTCTTTTTTATTCACAAAAACCAATAAAATTTTATCCAAAGCGAAAAAAAAAACGATTTTTTAGATCGCTTTTAAAGAAATGTGCAATTTTGGGCTGACAACATGCAGATTCGTTTTGAATAAGATTATGCAAAGCTCGAATTAGAATATTTTTCCGATCAGATGTGAAGATACTTCCCGGGCTATTATTTGACAATGTTTAACGTAATTAATACAAAAAAGGTAAGATAATCATCCATCAAGAAATCGTTTCCGATGAATAATCTTGAACAATGTTTTTTTTTGCAGTGGCCTCATAGAACCAATCCTCAACACTGTGTCACTTCATCAGATCAAGAAGCATTGTCAGCTGTCTCTACTCCAGTACTTTATCAAAGAGTACGGACTGGTGACGTCAGAAGGCTTCCTTACGGCTCAGAAGAACTTTGTACAGAGTTGCGCTGCTTATTGTCTCATCTGTTATCTTATACAAGTTAAGGATAGGTAAGCGCAACAATCTGTGTATAATAATTCTCATCTAATAAGTATTTCTTTTCTCGGTACTCGTCGAACTACAAGTATTTTAGTCGGGAAAAAATATATTATTTTATACATAATCAATTTACCTGCCATGGCTAAAAAATGCAAAACTCAAACTCAGATTTATATAAGTACTCGGAAAATTCAGTCTGGTATCTCTTATATAAAGTATCACTTTCCCAACGAAGGGACAAGATTATTCTAGAATTGTGATTTTCGTCATTTTGACCTTTCCAGGCATAATGGCAACATTTTGCTGAAAAGCGACGGTCACCTGATCCACATAGATTTCGGGTTCATTCTCTCGGCGTCACCTAAAAACCTGGGTTTTGAGAAATCGCCTTTCAAGTTAACCTCGGAATTCGTCGAGGTTATGGGCGGAGAACAGTCAGACATGTTTGAGTACTTCAAAATACTGATACTGCGAGGACTAATTGCTGCAAGGAAACACCACGGGATGATCGTCACTTTGGTGGAGATCATGAGATCAGGTAAGCATTGATTACTTAGGAGTTTTTTTTTTTTAGTTAAAATATAGGACGTGCGCAGGGTTACTAGGCATTTACGATCCCGAATACGTCGACAACGAACTCCATGCTATCAAGATTCAAAAAGCTTCGTGAATATATTGGAGCATGTACCTTTTTTATGGCTGTTCGGTTTTTATTGATTTACAAATATTCGTCCTTTGTCATGTCTTTAGGTCTCTTGGCGGTTTTTGGAAGTTTGACATACGAAGTATACAGAGTGAATGGATGTAGTCTTCGAAAACCGAAAGTTCCACAATTTTGGCTAAATCGCTTTAAAGTAAACTGATATCTAAATTATAATTTTTAACCGAGTTTGTAAGCATTGAATATACCTGCACGGTAACCCAGATCAAGTTTGTTTAAACATTTTTTTAAATAAATTACGTTTTTCCTGTCCTGAATTTTTTTTCAGGTATTTGGATCATTTCAAATAAAAAAGGCTTTTATGTTTGTTTGTTGAAGATTTTCTGTAATTTTACATTCTTTTCTATTAAAATTACATCACTATGCATTTTGAGTATTCATAAAGTGATTTTTTTAATTTCACCTCAAACATTTTTAAATTCAAACACTGGATAATATTATTTTTCAATTTATTGAATTCAAAAACTCCCTTTTGCTGATGAAAATCTTACTGCCTCTTGTTTCGTAATTATGATAACGTATATTTAATTTTGTGAGGTTTTCTAAATGTGGTGGTAATAAATGATTTTTTAATTTGAATGAGAATGAGAGCAAAATAAAAATTTTTACATTCAACCACTGTAGGTCTTCTAACATAGACTTTAATCTTAGCATATTTGTTTTAATTTGAAATGATTCTCGTACCTCATTTTGTAGAATTTATAATTTGGAAAATATGCTTCCATTAACTTTTCTCTAAAACTCACCCTTTTCCAGTTATAATCGATTTAATGTCTGAAAAGCCTTAAAAAATAGGTACATTCAGCGTTTAAAAACTCGGTTAAAAATAATAATTTTTGAGGTTGTAAAGTATCTAAATCAAAGTTTAAGCCTTGCTTTACAGGACTCCGAAAAATATTTTGAGATTACTTTATTTGAAAACAATTTTTACTTGTCTTTTAGGCCAAAATCGGCGACATTTTGGTTTTTGCAGACTGTACCATGTTCGCTTAAAGTCTCTAAAATCATGTAGGTGGTATATTTTCATGATTATGATGGTTCCAAAATCACAAATGGTCATACCGTAAAAGACAGACACTCATTTAGAAAACGCCTCGTGGGATGAATATAACAGTTTAATTTTCAAGATTATTTTTCAAAATTTTTGAGCGGCGGACCAATATTAAAATGACATTTTGTCCCCAACATAAAAGTTTGAGGGAATTTACGTAGTTTTATATCTTAAGCTTAAAAATTCAAAACAATACAAGTTTCATGAATATTTTTAGGTTTCTTGTAATGATTTTAAAAAATGTGCAGAATGCGTTGTTTACCGGTTGAAATGCTTGAAAGAGCATAACCGTGCTTTTCTTAAGAAAGTACGTCATATTTCACTTTTGCAGCGGGAAAATACTTTCGTGTATTTCCCAATATGTTTGAGGCGCACGTTGATCTAAAAGATATTAGAGGAAAGGTGCTCAAAATAAACACAAATCTCACTAGGAAAATCGCGAAAGAATTATTTTCCTGTTGTCAAGTAAAGTTTCTCTCCATATATTTTTTGACCCATCACCAAATAAACATGTACAGTGCTTTTCAGGAAGGTCCACCCCACTTAGTTTTTATAATGATAGTCATAATGTAAAAAATAAACATTCACTTAGACAAAACGTTAAGTGATGAATATAAGAATATAACAGTTTAATTTTGAAGAAATGTCATTTTTACCCCAAAAAGTTGGCAACTATCTGTTTTTGGCAATTTTGAGCAAATTTACATAGCTTTACATCCTAAACTTGTATATTGAAGACAAGTTTTATTGATATTTTTAGACTAATCGAAATAATTTTGGAAGTGCAGAAAGTGTTGTTTACTCGCTGGCAAGCTTGAAAAAGCATAACTGTGCTTTTCTTAAGAAAGTAGGTTAGATTTCACTTTTGCAGCAGGAAATACTTTCATGTATTTTCCAATATTTTTGAAATGTGCGTTGATTTAAAGAATATTGGGGGAAAGTTGATAGAAAATAAATCTGAGTCTCACTAGGAGAATCGCGAGTTATTTTCCTTTTTTGAAGGAATACTACGTTATTTTATGACCCCTCACAAAACAAACATGTACAGCGCTTTTCAGTACCAACACCCCCCCACTAATTTTTTGAACTGGTCAAGTTAGCAAGCTAAAATGTAGAGTGGTGAAATTGACGCATAAATACTATATTTTAACATGAAATAATAGTTGAAAATTTGAATATGGCGACTGGGAACAATCTTGTAACATTGTTTTAATGAAATGGAGGGTCACAACTAATCTTCAAAACGTTATATCAATCATCTTCTTTGGGAATGGTTTATCTCAATGCCCAAAAAAAATATAGAACATTCAGATTAAAAAATTGACAGATTTTTCCATTTTTTTTAGTAGAAGAAAATTAACGTATTCTAGTATTTTGATGATCAGCCAATTCGACATCTTAAAAGATGGTGATTTTATATTCTAGAGTTATAAGGTACTTGTACAGAGCTTCAAAATGAGGTATCACATGACCCCAATTTACACCTGAAAAAATGTTCCAAAATGGCGCCTAACCAAAGAACTTCAAATCTAGCCTAGCTTTACAAAGCAGCTAGAGTCGTCAACAATCTGTCGTTGCACGTCTAATCCCACATTCGGGATTATTTATTTCAAACAGTCAAAAACTGATTATCTCATTTTATACCTACCTGACTTAAAATATAGTTACTATCATTAACAGCCATTTGACTTGTAGCGTTTTTTCTTGTGTGCGAAGGAACTCCTTTAAATTAAAGTGTTATTATGAGGTATGAATCCGTAGCCCACAGACAACAAATTACAACGCTGTCTATAGCTCTAGCATTCAGAGAGCTGTGTCACTTGTTGATATGAAGTATTTTGACATGTCACCAGATAATTAGCTGTTATTTAGGCTAACGTTTGATGGATACTCGTGAACACTCGTTTTTCTGGTATTGTTCCAAAAAGCGTAATAATTTCGTACTCTTCCAGGTTCCCAACTGCCATGCTTCAAATCGGGCGCCTCCACGGTGCAGCATCTAAAGAACCGTTTCCACATGGGGATGACCGAAGAGCAACTCCAGCTAGAGGTGAATCGCATGGTGGAAGGAAGCATACACTCTCTTTCAACGAAACTTTACGACGGGTTCCAGTATTTCACGAACGGGATACTATAACCGCTCGTCATACACGGAGACTTCTAGTTTGCTTATCATCATTGGCCAATCAGAACCGGAAAATAGTTTTTTTTTAAATTAATATTGCGGAACAGATGCTAATTCGGATAATTTGAACGCTGCTGAAATACAGTTTCAAAGCAAAAATAGGAATATGAGGATTTTTCTATCAACTTCATTTGTGTCTATGATGGTTTGCCAATAAGCAGGATGTTCGAGATGTGTTCTAGGTTCTTTTTTTTTTCATTTGGATGGCTCATTTTGTATGGTGGCAAGAATCCAAGAGATTCAGTTTTCAGCAACTCCAGTTGAGTGTCCTCCTGATTATGTTATCACCAATAGGTTACAACTTATTGATAAAGACTTGCGACCTCAGAAACCATCACAAAAAATCCAGTGAGGCCATATCTCACAATCTTGGAGGTTAATTCAAGTCTCATTTGCCAGAGATAACCATATCCAAAATGTGCTTTCTTTAATTAATATAAAAGGAAATCCTATGAAATTTGTTCTAGAATTATCTTAGATATGATTCATTTTGCATGTACAAATGGTAATGGACGTTCCGCTTGATAAATCGCTTATGAGGTTCCACAGGGATCGGTTTTGGGGCCATTGTTATTCCTGATTTATGTTACTACAGTTTTTCATTGTCTTTGAAAGGAGATATCAGTTTATATACAGTTGATACTACAGTAATATGCTTTTTCGAAAATATTGATCAAATTAAACCAAGTATGGCTATATTTTTATAAATTGACTACATCCAGCTGTCACTTTAAAAAAAATTCTGATCTGTCAACATGTACAGAACCCGACAAAAAGGATCTGATGCAGCGGAATTCAACTATATAATAGACTATAGACTGAAATAAATAGATAAAACACCCTCAACATGTCAAAATGAAATTGAAAAAAATATTTATTTGAACCTGTAATTTGGTGCTAATGCCGATGTAAATGCTCACTTGCATATGACAACAAATTCGTCAGCCTTTTGTTCGGGGATTCTGTCGAAATACTTTCCTTATTTTATGGCCCGTGCACTTTACATAAGGTTTCCGGACCGAAAGACAACCGATTGTGCGCGGCAATTGATGAGTTACCGATAAGCTGATACAGACCGATAAATTATGGGTATCGGCTAAAATTCTATATCGTTTGGTCTCCATTCAATCTTGGATAAAAGAAATGTTTTCGGGTTGCTACGGACCAATAACGGTGCCGGTCTAAAAACTACACGAAACTAGTTTTTTTCAACCTCAAGGTTAACACAATCCGAAGCCATTGGAACAACGTTATATTCCAGGCAAAATGGGCCATTCAAATGATGAAAAAACATAATTGATACGTAACATACAACTTGTTACATTTCATTTCAACACGCGTTACATTTTTTCAAAAATTATTACGACTAGTATAGTGTTTTGATTTGTCAATTGATTGGCCGAGTTGAGATTAAGGCGTAATTAGTATAGTTTCGAAAATCAGAGCAGTATATGAGAGGACCTCAAGTGCTCAAAAAATAAGTTTGTGGCTTTGGACGATTGCGCGTCTTTTAACGTTTACTGAGCTAGAATTGATGAAATATTTATAAACACAACTGTCTTTTTAATACTCGATCACCTTATGCAAATATTTCTTCGATTTCTGTTTTAACCGTGCTATATACATAGTGCAAACAGTGCGGTGGTGTAAATACACATGAACTGCTGGTGCGTAGTTAAGTGCGTAAAAAATAAATGAAATACTCAAAGGTCAATTGTTCTTCGCGTATACACATACAAATTAAAGTCGAGGCCAAATATGTATAGACAGTTTTTCTATGTATCCTATTTTATTAAATATATTTTTCCTTATAGTTTGTAATGTTAGTTTCGACAAACTGATGTTCTTTTTGCTACATACGAGATCATTCTGCGTTTATTTTATTTAAATATTAATCTATACTCTTAGGCCCTTAAGTTTGAAGTACTGGAAAAATTATGAACCAATTTCATAAAATATTCACAAATCCAAATTTCTATATTTTTTTCAGATTGTCACAGAATGACTTCTTTTTGAAATTGACAAATGAAGTTTAAAGTAAATGGTGAACATCGATTTGTCAGTAAACTGTGTTGTGTATTTATTTCAACATTGTTTTTAAATCCAGCCGAGGACGTTGATAATATAGTCGAAGGTTATGAAATTTTTGGAGTTTATATATTTATTGGAAAAAAAAGCTGCACAAAACATTCCAAGATATTACAGAGACTTAATCGTTTGGAGAATGTTGACCTAAGAAACTTGCAGGTGGATGGTGTTTTTAATTACATTTTGAGATATAAGGTGTGGAAATTTGTTGGATTAAAGCTAGTTCAAGCAAAAATTCTATGATGTTTGAATTTAGATGTAACCAGTGTTAAGCATTTCTTATTTGTGATAAATCTCATTTAAAATTGTGATTTAGTTTTTTATCAAAAAAATATGGTAAAACCGCTTAAAGTCGGAATAATTTTTCTGGTCTTCCTAAATTGCCATTCTCGAAGTATTTTATGACGATATTCTCCATTCACTGTTTTATACTTTAAACAAATAATCAAGCAGGGTAACTAGAGTGTTTAAAGCTTGTGTTTTAAACAATAAAAATCCCCAAAAAGATTAAACCTATACATATATGATTGCCAATCTTTTAACATTTTATTACTTGTGCTTTAAGTGGATATATTTTCAAGTTGCAGAATACTTTATAGGTATACAAGGTGTGTCAGAATGAAGGTGATATAAATTGATGAGTAATTCTGAAAATGAAAAGGTTTGTTTTTTTATGAATTCAAATGCTAATCCATTTTTAATTTGATCTAGAAACTCACAATGCTCTTGCTTATGATTTCATACCCATTTACAAGTTATCGCCTAGTTTTTTCACCACTTTGTATATTTATTTGCATAAGTAAATATTGTACATAAAATATTTAAAATCTAGTTATGCGAGTTAATTCAAAATAAATAACCAATCAAATATAATGATATAGTCGAATTTAGTGAAGTGTCCATCCATTTTTATAAAACAATGCAGGATATATTGTTGAGTGGTTGTGTGGTGCATTCTGCTTGCGCGAATTCAAGATGTATAAAAAATTGTTGGTAAAAATGTTTATGTATATAAAGTATTGTTGGTTCCTTCACTGAATAAGGCGATTGAGACAGTATGGCTAGGTTATTAACTGCTCTTTCTAGATAGATTAGATCTTTGAAACAACTTGAAAAAGTGCTCTTGGTCTGAGGTCAGATATTTGCTGAATAATTACGATTTAAACAAAATCATTAAGCGTCTCAATAGCGTAATTTGTTCATTAAGTAAATTGAAATTTGTTGAGAGTCGAGCAGTCAGGTCACACAACCACCAGAACATAGTCTAGTTAATTCAAAACTATTCTGACTGAATAAAAAAATAGAGGTGTGCATTCTATTTCTTGCTAGAGTACCTACATGATACGTTGGAATATTCAAATTAAAAATAAAAAAAGAAATAGTAAAAGTGCTTCTAGTCAAAATGATTACATTTAAAAGAGGAGCAGGGTATATAATCGAACCAAGTTCAGTGTTCCAGATATTTTGCAAAACTCGTTTTCATTTATTTTTTAAAATGCAACGGGTTTCAGCCATGTTACATCCTATAATTTAAATTTTTTTTGGGATCAATGCCATAAAATGTTCCATTTCATTGCTGTGACATTGCTGATCAGCTGCTTTCAATTTCTTCTGATTCTTTGGATAAATCATGCCTTTAATCAAATTTCTAACGTTTCGACGTTTATTTTACGCCTTCCGCAGGGCAACACAAATTTTAAAAATACAAAATTGGAAATGTAGCAATGAAGTGAGAAAAAATCAGTTCAAAAAATTAACCAAAAAAATACAAAAGAATATAAAAACTATAGAACAAACAAACGAAACCGATGGCAATAAACGTGCGTACATATTAAAAGTTATTATATGAAAATTTAGGCTCCATCATCTAGTTAGAAATGTTTTCTTTAATGTGGCACATTACGAAGAAATATTAAAAACCAGATTTAAAAAACAACGAACGCATATCGGTCCAGGTCCAAACATCCTGGTCTTCGACTCGGAAAATTAGGTGCCCTTATGATATTACTTATGATAAATGTCATAATCAAGAAGTTATAAATGTGACTAAGATCGTGAGTGTTTGTTTTTTAGTTCACATCATTGTTATGTAAAAGATGAAAACCATTTTCCTAATTATGCATTTTTTGTAATTGCATTCGTTGTCTAAGTCAAAGTTGAAATTATGATTATTCTGGAATTGCGAATTCAATTTTTTAACTCACTTTTTCTCACTTCATTGCTATATTTACAATTTTGAATTATTAAATGTATTTTTTCTCACAATTTTTGTAGCCCTCGAGAAAGGCGTAAAAGAAACGCCGAAACGTTGGTAATTTGATTAAAGACATTTTAACGCCTGTCGATGTAACAATCCGAAGGTATTGAATCATCACCCTGGGACAAGAAGTTATTTCTTTTGCATTACTGACGAACGTCGTTTAAACTGTAAAAAGGGGATCATCTAGGTACTCTACTTGCCACCAAGTAAGCGCCCTTCGTACTAAAGGAGGCCACAAATAAACGAACTGTTGTATTTAACATGCAAAAAGACTGATTCACAACAGTAGACTTTTTGCATCCGGTTATAATTTGTTTCTCTTCCGTTTGTCGCCTGAATTCATCTGTCGTAGTGTATAGTTTTACATATTTCGTTACAGTGTTACTGTTTATGCTCACTTATATGTCAGATCTTTGTGTGTGCATGTGCGGCTAAGGTATTTGAAACTTCCCATACTGTGCAAAAATGTGTGCAGTGTAGAATGATGAAGTGAAATAACAGGAGGAGAAACAGTTCGAGACGATAATGTGTCCAATGAAATGATTTCTATATTTCGCTCACATTTTTAACGTCTTGTCTCGTATGAGTTATGACGCAAAAAAATATTGAGCACACGTCAAATCGTTTTGTCATGTCAGTGAGCATGCAGCTTCTGTGTGCTTTTTCCATCAAATATTTTTTCCATAAACAATTGTATTTTATTATACATTATAAATTGTATTTAAGGATAATAAAACATTTTTAATCTATGAGTGTGTTTATGTATCAACCAACCAAAACATTTTAAGATTTCAAAATTGAAATTTAGGGCCAAAGTAATGACACAATATCTACAAGCCACTCTTACATCAGTCAGTTTTATTGGTGCAAGTTGTTCAAGGGGGTATTTAAAACATGGACCCATAAAATGAGTACACCAATTTTTGTAGGAAAACTTTATTTGGCAAGAATGAGAAAACGTGTCTTTTGGGATTCAATCGAAAGTGTTGACAGGAACGAAAAACTTTCCATATAAGATTTTTAGGTGTTTATGAGACCACACGTAAAAAGATCCGTAATAGCAAACATGTTAGGGCCGAAAAACGAGGCAAAATGCAGGTTTTGGCACTTCGTAATGCGACGATAATTACACGCAACTTCTTGAAATTCGGTAGAATTCATACTTCTAAATAACAACAACAAAATTGGAGTCTATTGGTCAAGTAGTTCTAACTCTGTATATTGCTCAATAAACTAGTAGTGATGGCCGGAAAACAGGTGTTTTGGGATAATTAGACACTCTCAAAAGCTACTTGACCAATCTACTCAAATTTTGTTGTGGTTATTTAGAAGTACGAATTTGAAGAATTTCAAATAACTGCGAGAAACCATCGTCGCATTACCGATAAGTGCCGAAACCTGCAGTTTGCCTCGGTTTTCGGCCATAACTGTTTTGCTATTAGTCGGATCTTTTTACGTGTGGTCTCATAAATACATAAAAATCTTATATGAAGAGTTTTTTCGTCCCTGTCAACACTTTCGATTTAATCCCAAAAAACACGTTTTCTCATTCTTTTTTGTCGAATAAAAAGTTTTCCTACAAAAATTGGTGTACCCATTTTATGGGTCCATGTTTTAAAAGCTCTTGAACAACTTGCAGCAATAAAACCAGACTTTACAATTATTTCGCAAATCAGAGGTACTTTCATCTAATATGATTAGACTAATACATTAACGGAGAAAACGAAATAAAAATTTTATGTAGGAAATATAAAAATAGTATATTCACTCTTTGTAACCACCTATTCACATGCTTAAGATATATAAATGCTTTGAATACATAATAAATAAAGTTGTGAAACTCTGAAGGAAAAAATACTGTTTCTACTAACCTGCAAAAAGCTAAAACGGGACACCAACCAATATTGAGAGCTGCTACTCATTAAAAAAAAAGCCATCTCCATCATTATCAAATCTCTTATTTTGCTTATGTCTGTAAAAGATATACATTACACACAAAGCTTTCGGCAGCAAAAATACATCAAGTTTATTCTCAAGTTAGCATTCTGTTGGAAGCAAAGACATAAACAGTATTTTTTCGTGCAAAATATCACTGTTCAGAATAGCTAATCAATCAGAACCCTATTCACAGTAATATCAGCCCGTTGGTTCAAAATTGTCACGGACAATTTTGGCGAGAATGTATTCACTCCTATTTCTTTCAAAGCCTTTCCTCTCATGTCCTCCACACCAGTAGCGCCTTCCAGGGCTAAAAGGGTCTCCCTCAAAAGAAGAGCACTGCCTTTGCTTATATTCAGCAGGTTACATGATTCTATCAATCTAAAAATGAAGTTTGTATCACTTTATCCGTTTATAAGATACCGTTTCAAACCTATGTTACCACCAAAAGCTTCACAGAAAACTATCCGAGAACCACATACTTCTAGCAGCCAGACAGATGTCTGCATCGCTTTGGTGGTAACGTCAGATACTACGACTTACTGAGTGAAATAATTGTTTGCTCTGTCACTGAATTGTGCAAACAGCGGTACCAAGTTCCTGGTAACGTCAAATTTGAGCTGCAGAGCGCCACCATCACTGAATCTGTTGTCCAACACTAGATCCTCAAACAGATGCGCGTCCAACTGCTGAGCTACAGACCGCCACACTTTGTTGAACAAGGTGGCGTGCAATGCTTTCTGCAACTGGTGGAGGCGCTTGGACAACACTTCAAACATTGGACATGCGCTGGGGGTTAGTGAGAGGCTGCGGAATTCTCGTTCTACCTTCATCGCAGACCATCTAAAAAATGTGACGGGTATAAGAAATTAGTAATTAACTTCTTAAATAATACCGACCAAAGAAAGGTCATGCTTGTCCACAATATCAGGATAAAAAGTGAAAGGTGTATGGTATATAAGTATATTCTATCTAGTTTAATTGCCATTAGAGGCAATTATTTAGCATTAATGCTACAATATCCATATTATACAGTATATCACAAAATATATTATATCTTCAAGACTACAACGTATTTTTATACAAAATTTCACTACTATGAATTCTGGTTTTCCATGACATATTTTTTCAATTTCCTTTGAACATTTTCAAGCTGACACACATCTTGATCTTAATTTATTAAATTCGTACAATCCCTTTTGAAATACAGACCTGCTCGTTATATTGTTACTGCAGTTTTGTAAATGAATACTTCCTCTAGTAGAATAATTGTGGCACTCATTGTTCAATACAATAAAATGTTCTAAGTGATTTGGTAGAAGATGATTTTTTTACTTGAACATGAAAACGAAAACCAAGTCGTCTATGACATTTTTGATATTTAGCCATTTTAGTTCTTTCAGCATAACATTTATTCTAGTATATTTATTTTTATTTAAGATGATTCTCATAGCTTTATTTTGTAATATTTGTAATTCCGACAGTACAGTTTCATTTGCAGTGAACAAAATAGTCGAACAAGATAACAAATGAGGAAGAATGATAGTGCTGTACACATTTTTTTAGAACAAACGCGAAATTCTATAAAAGTAATTTATTTTCTTGGATATTTTTGAGAAGTCTCCTGTACCCAGCGCGGTTGTGAGGATTGTAGTGACATGTAGTATGGTAAGATCATACTGTATAATATAATGTTATTAGAAACTTGTCAGGTATCGCAAGTAATGTAATTCACCGGAAATTCTGCGCTAGGCAGAGGAATGACCGAGGTACCTTGCAGTATCTATCGATATACGTTTTAAGACAGAATAATGTTAATCATCCTGAAATCAAGTTATGTTACTAAATATAGAAATAGATGTGCATTACTTCGTGAGTCAAGGGGCATGTCTCCAGTTCCCTTATCTCCATGCCGGATTTAGACGCGCAAGCCTGCCAATTTTTTGAAGAAAATAGTATATATTACTATCTATTACCTGAAATGCCTTGACGTATAAATTTCGGTTTTGCAAGATTATTCTTTTTTACATCTTTCCGAATCATGATTTGTCTTTTGACCACAAAAGTTACAACAATGTTCAATTCTAAATTCAACCAACGTTATTTTACAAAAACTATAGCGAACTACATATGCATATTTCCTATTAATATATGCATGCATCGGGAGCCCTCATGAATTGTTTCCAATAAAAAGATTACTTACAATTCTCTTGTGTATGCCCTACTTTTACTCTTTGCCTCCATAATGACAGTTTCTGACAGAGTGTGCAATAAATCTTTTCTCATATGCTTATATAGGGAAAGGGTGTCTGCGAAAGCAGTTTCAGAATCCAGATCCACGTCACTTATACTATCTTCTGATTCTGGTGTCAAAGGACTTCTAGGTGACTTGCCGCTTTCTAGCTGAGACTTATAGTAATACAGGTTCAAAAAGTGCTGGAAAAAACAAATGTAAACGTAGCTTCCAGACACGCATCAAGGAGCATGAAAGAAACTGTCGACTGGGACAAACTGATAAATCAGCGGTGGACGAACACGCCCTCCAAGACGGCCACAATATTCTGTTCGACCAAACTGAAGTCCTATCAAGATCCACCCACTACTCAGCCCGAATGTACAGAGAAGCAATTGAAATCTACAAACACAATGATAGTTTCAATAGAAAAGAAGAAGGCCTTGCTTTAAACAAAACGTGGTTCCCAATTCTAAAAAACACAGCGCAAAAGCCACGCCACTCAAGAGGCCCAGAGTCAATGTTGCCAGATTACACGATTAATCGTGTAATTACACGATTTCGGTCCTTTTTACACGATTACACGAATGAAGTGCCAATTCTCACGATTTTTGAGATTTTATAAAAAAAAATTACTTTTACTTATTTAAAATGCCGACAGCACCCAAATCAATGTATCAACTCCACTTATTCATGTTTATATAGGAAAGTTTTACGCTTTCACGGGATTTTTCAATTGGTGGCAATGACGATTAATTCGGCGAATCCCGTAGAGCCGGTTCATGTTGATCACGTCGTACGTTTTCAGTTTGCATTCACTACTTGTTTTAACTTGTGCATTTTGCTTACTGATACTTCAATCAAGTATTTTATTATAAATCGTATTTAAAATGTGTAATACTCCTGATAGTGAGAGTGATGTGCTGATGCAAGAAATAAAAGATTTAGTTAAAAGTATTTGCCCAGATTCTGAAATTGCGCAAGCTATCAAATGTAGTCGTACAAAAATGACTAACGTAATCAGAAATTTTACCGGCGATGAGGGAAAAATGCAACTAATAGAAATACTATGTACAAATAAATTTAGTTTAATAGGAAATCAATCTACAGATAGGTCCTGCTCGAAGCATTTGTGCCTTGTGGCCCGAGTTGTGCTTAATTTTGAAATAAAAGACTATTTTCTAACCCTTTTACCAGTTAAGGAGGCAACGGGGGCTGCCTTGTTTACTTTGATTGAGGATTTTTTTCAAAAAACATAAAGTCGTTTATGAAACAAATCTTAACGGATTTGCTGCCGATGGCGCAAACAATATGCTGGGGGCTAATAATTCCTTAGCAAGTAGGCTTAAGGAAAAATGTCCCAATGTGTTTTTGATGAAGTGCATCTGCCACAGCTTTCATCTTTGCGCATCGTACGCATGTGAAAAGCTGCCAAATGATGTTCAACAATTAGCAAGAGATGTAAGTCTTGGTAAATTTTGGTGTACATGTTTTCAATTTAAAAATTTTCTGTTTTAGGTGTATAACCTTTTCTCAAACAGTCCAAAGATCAGTACAAATAATTTCACGAGTTTGCAAATGTGTTGCCTCACAAAATCCTCCATCCATCACAAACGAGATGGCTTTCCCTAGAATTGGTTATCAAAAGATTGATTTCACAATATAACGCCTTAACCCTTTATTTTACGGAGGAAGCTTGTGAAGGAGTTTGCAAGCCGACAATATTTTAGAAAAACTTAAAAAAACAGACAAAACTATACCTTGATTTTTTGGCATATATATTACCTTTATTTAACCGGCTAAACCTTTTAATGCAGAGTGAGAAACCACAGCTACATAAAGTATATGAAGAAGTGACATGTGTGTTAAAAACCATAATGGACTGTTTTATTAAACGAGATATTTTAGAGAACATCATGGTGTATGAAATTGATTATAAAAATCCGAGAAATTTTTTAACAATTGATGATATATACTTTGGTGCATCAATTAATGTAAGTAGAATTGACAGAAACATTTTATATTCTGTCAAAGTGAAATGCTTGGATTTTTATGTTGAAAGTACAAAGCAAATATTGCTCAGATTTCCCTTAGAGAATTCTGTAATAGAAAAATTTAAGTTTCTGGATCCCATTTGTGTGAAATCCAAAGAGAAGAACACTATTTCTGATGTGGCGTCGTTTTTTCCAAATTTAATTCATCTTGATGAAATTCATGATCGGGATAATGAATGCAGATTGCTAAAAAATTACCCACTGGATGACACTAAGAATGATATTTTAAAATTTTGGTGCGAAATTGCCCAAGTAAACATAGGATATTCTCTAAAATTTCCTATTTTAACTAAGTTTGTTTTTCAAATTATGGGTTTGCCTCATTCGAGTGCGGCTGTAGAGAGAATATTTTCCCAAATTAGTCTGATTAAAACACAGTTTCGCAATAAGTTAAAAACAAAAACAATAGGTCTTTTGCATACAAAAAGTTTTATGGAAAATAAAACATGTTACGATTTTACTTTAAACAAAAATATTAGCAGAAAACTCGGCAATAGCAGCCTATTATATTTAGCCGAACATGAAAATAAAGACTCTAGCGACTCGGAGTCTTCGTAACACGGTAACATAATGTTTTGAGTACAAATTGTGTATTTACTTTATTTATTATTTTAAAAGAATATACCTTTATGTTACTTTTTTAAGTTAGTGTCTTGCGTTTCAATAAAGTTTATTTATTTAATATGGTATTTTGATACTCGTGTCTATATACATATTATTTAAATTAAATTTAGCATTTTTCGGCTTTACACGATTTTACACGATTTTCGGCAGAGGAGTTTCATGATTTTCTTTTAACTTCATCTGGCAACACTGCCCAGAGTACCCCCACCAGAAAACTCAGTCCTTAGTCCACCGATCGCCTATAAAACCGCAGGCTCATCCAGTTAACCAATCAGTTTCATTCGACCCGCCAAGCCGAGCACTTCGCTCTCGCCGACAGCGACACTGAAGATGGCTACCGCAGATGTAGCCGAAAGCTCTGGACCAAATCCAACCCGACCACGGCTCAACAGCCCGAAAAACCGAAATCACATTAGAATTAGCGTGAAAGCCTTCATTCTTCAAAAACAAGTGTAAGTGTACATCGCGGTGGAAGATGAGAATATAACGTTTTTGCTGCAACTATTTGAGAATTACGATAGCAACATCCTAAAGTGGTGCTCGCCATTGAGCATCAATGGTTCTAACCGTTGGAATTCGTTGCAATAACGTGTGAAGCTTCTTAAATGTTTATAAACACTAATCAGAAAAAAGTAGAATAACCCAAAATTAGAATATATGAACATTTTTTAACTCACCAATGTGGCTCCCCAATCAATCAGAACATTTTCTATATAATACAGGGTGTTAGCTATTGCTGGTACTTTTGATTCAATGATGTCACCCATTTCTGCATTGACTAGTTGTAATAATCTCACTCTAAAATCATCTAGTAGCTCTATTTGCAGCTCAAGGAATTGCAATCTGTGCCCTGGTTGAGGCAATGATTCGTACCTTGAATATACGTTAAAAAATCGAGTTATTTTTAATGACTTAATTGAAATACGGCAGTGGTTCTCAATATTCATAAAAAAATATTGCATACCTAGCAGTGATTGTTTGCAGCAAAGTGATAAAAGCATCTGCACAAGCCGTCACTTTAAGGTCCTCTACATCTGATGCCAATGGAGAAAACGCCTCAGAAGAATTGGGTGGTAACATGCCATCAGTTTTCTCTGTTGCGTCTTAAAAACGGATGCTAGTTAAGTGATGAAACTCATACAAATAATTGAAAATAAGCTTACATTTCTTCTCCATATTCAACCACTTAATGAAAACATGCGCCTGTGTCAAAACAGACAAAATACTCGGCTGATTTGACGGGTAGTCATAGGTTTCCCTTAGCTCTTTATCAAAACCTAAAGCCTCATCTACTGTATGTGAAAAAGTGTAGTCATCATATTGGATATTGGGTATGTCTGAATTTAGCTTCTCTACAGCTATTTGTACTAAGCCTCTCACCAGTTCTAACTGAAAGTAAATGACGAGTAAGAAGTCTGAGAGCTAACATGGATAGGGATCGTTCATTATGAGGTCAGAAAAGAAGAATTCCCCAACACGTACCTTGGCATCTATATGGTGATATCCCAACTTTTCTACAACAGGTTGAATATATTGTTCTACAAAATCTTTGTGATCCCTAATCCATGTTAGTATCTGAGTAAAGTACCTAAAGAGTGAATAATAAGAGTTAATTTTTGTCGCATTTCGCATCATTTTACTAATGTTCAAGAGATCCTAACTAAACATGGTGTTCCTTAATGTTGTGTAATGGTGTAAATTCATGTTAGTTTGCTTTATGAACTATGGTCCAAAACTGTTTCCTTACAAAAACTCGGGGTGTCGAACTTTTAGGAAAAAAAAATGGAAATTAATTAATATTTTCAGAACCGCTTCAGATATTTCACTGATACGTAGTGAAAGTTAATAAAGTTGCATATTTTTTAATGCAAAAATAATTTTTAGCTTTAACAGTGGCGTGCGTACGGGTATTGACATCGATATTTTTTAAGAAAAAAATGGTACGCCAATGGTTTTTTGCCAAATAAAAATTCCCCGTTAAATTTAAAACAAATTATTTCTCTTGAATTGTTTTCTTTCGATGCGCCATTTTTGAGTGAACAAATAAAAACCGTTCTATTGTCCGAGAAAATTAATGTAATAATTGAAGAATGCAATTTATCAATAAATATCTAGTTGCTCAGGAATATGTCGCTGGCTTTTGACATTGACAAGTCTCTGTCATTCAAATCTGTTCGTTGTGACATCTTTTTCATTCTTTAGTTTTTACAATCTTGTTAATAATGGTAAATTATTCAAATGGCGGAAATGCATTACGTATATAGCCTTGCCGACGGTAATGGTAAGCAAGCCAGAAGGATTTATCACCAGAGATATACCGATCGTGCTTTGCCAGATACTCGAACCTTTTCTAATAATCATCGTCGTCTTTTTAAAACTAGTTCTGTCTGAAAAGGAACATCTGAAGGTAGACCTCTAAGTGTGAGAACACCTGAGATTGAGGAAGCAGTGCTGCACGAAGTCGAAGAAGATCCTGAAACGAGTACGAGGAAGATCGGTAGACACTTAAATATTTGCCATCAAATTGTTTGGAGAATTTTAGTGGATTTTTTGTTACATTCTTACCATATTTTACGAGTACAGGCATTACTTCCCATTGATTTTCCAAGGCGTGTGACCTTTTGTCAGTGTCTTCAAAAAATTACACAAAATCCGCAATTTGAATCAATGATTCTGTTCACGGACGAAGTTAATTTTTCTCGAAATGCCATTCAGAATTTCCACAATAATCATTTGTGGGCAGAAGAAAGTCCCTATTCCGTAACCGAAACCCATTTCCAACAACAATTTTCGGTTAACGTATGGGCAAGAATTATTGGCAACCACTCTATTGGCCCATTCTTCTTGCCGGGATGACTTGACGGACAGACTTACCTCAATTTTCTTCAAGAACAGTTGCCTTTGCTGCTTGATGATGTTCCGTTAGTAATAAGAAACAATATGTGGTACATGCATGATGGTGCACCGCCGCATTTCAGTGTAGCGGTTCGTAATTATTTACAAACTGTTTATCCAAATCGTTGGATTGGCCGCGGTGGGCCCCAAGAATAGCCACCAAGGTCTCCAGACCTCAACAGTTTAGATTTTTTTTTGTGGGGCTGTCTTAAAACACTAGTGTACACAAGTCCCATTAACAATGCAGGGGAATTAAGAGAAAGAATAGTTGCAGCTTGTGACAGAATAAAAAAACACTCCAGGGATATTTCAACGAGTGCGCAATTCCATGAGAAGGAGGGCGCAAGCATGCATACTAAGTGAAGGGGGCCATTTTCAACAATTTTTGTAATCACTTCGTTGGTTTTAATGTTATGTTTATGTTGTCAGTTGTTGTTCATTACCCCTAATGTTTAATTTTTCCAATTAAATTAATAATTTTGCAAGTTAGACAATAGAACAGCAATATTTTTGTAACAATATTTGGAGAGCTTTGAGGAACAAAGCCCGTTGACATAGATGTAGAAAAGAGCTGGATCGCCGACAGCACGTCGGTGCGAAAGGGTCTCGAGACTGTCCGTTAGAGAAGAGTCTTGTATCAGTCGGGCAGCCCTCCTCTGAACAGCATAGAGCATGGGTAGTGTAGTCGGGGCGGCAACAACCCAAACATGTGAGCAGTACTCGAGGTGAGATCTCATCTGGGCCTTGTAAGGAGTGACTAGGTTATCTGAATTGAGGACCCGTTTGTTTTTAGTAAACCATTCTTTGGCTATTGTTAAACGTTTGAAGGTAATTTCAAGAAGCTCAGATGAGTTGCTCTCATTATGAGAATGTTTGTGTCATCAAAATTGACAAGATATGACCTGTCATTGAGTATCTCCTCAGCCAAATTGTTCACATAAAATACCGGGTGCGCCATCTTTTATGTCGGTATTGAAATCCAATGACTTTGATATTTACCAACCGAATGATTTGGTTATATGTGTTTCTGAAACGTCAATTTACTACAATTTTAGTCATGAATCGCTTTACATGGAAACAACGCGCCGCAATAGTCACAATGTACATTGAAAATCGTCGTTCAGTTGTGTTAACGCAACGTGTATATTCCAAGAGGTTCCAATGAATTGGTTGAAGCTGTCAGAGACAGCCTTGCCCAGAACCGAAAAATGTCGTATCGTCACCGCGCTCAGCATTTTGGCATCAGTGGAACCACGTTGCGGCGCATTTTTTTCATTATAAGGTGCAGTTAACAAAAAAAATGCCAACTGACCGTCCACGTCTCTTGGAATACGACCAAACAGCCGCTCGCATGGTTGATGCTGAACCTGATTCTTATAAGCAAATTGTGATGACCGACAATGCCCATTTCACACTCTCTGGCGGCGTTATAAGCAAAACTGCCACATTTGGGGGACGGAAAATCCACGAAATATCGTTGCATGACCGGAAAGTGACTGTTTGGACTGGCTTTTGCGCCAAAACCATCATTGGGCTGTTTTCTTTAATGAAAACGAAACCGATGGAAATCGATATCGGTGGATGTTGGCTCATTATGTCTGTCCACAAATGCGTGAAAAAGGTCTTGATGGTTACTGGTTTCAACAAGACGGTGCGCCATGCCACACTGCAAATGAAACAATCCAGTTTCTGCAAGGAAAATTCAATGGGCGTCTGATGTCAAAAAGAGGTACATTGACTGGCCACCCAGGTCTCCAGATTTGACCCCACCGGACTTCTTCTTGTGGGGATATTTGAAAAGTCAAGTGTAAACCATCAAGCCTCAGACCACCGAAGAACTCAAGGCAAACATTCGTACCGCAATCGCCGCAATACCACCAGAGATGCTGGAAATATTGGAAAACGCAGCAAAACGGGCACATTTTGTTTTGGCCAATACAGGTGGCCACTTGATAGATGTTGTGTTCAAAAACTAGTCCCAAAGAATTGTAAAACGCCAGATTTAATAAAAATACCAGATATATAGAAATCAGTTTTTCGTTTTCAAAGTTATTTCATGTTTACATACCGACATAGAATATGGCGCAACCCTGTTCAACAAACAGGGGCATATAACACTCTGTGAGATACCCTCCTCTGAAAAACGCTATTTCCATCCTTTGGAACAAACATTTTTTGCCTGATATTAACAAGGTATTTCTGGATTTTGTATAGATCCATAAACATGCCCATAAAAATACTTCCTGTCTCCCCCTATAAACAGCTGTTTTTTAAGATACCCATATGATCTACTCATAAGTTTCATATAAAAAAAATGCAAAAGTTGTGTGCGCATGGCAAACTCGGAAATTTTTGATAAAGTTGATCCTAAACTATCAATTTCCAGTCAGGTTTTGTCACCATTTTTATAGAGAGGTTTGAGAAGTGCAAGTTTTAACTGGACAGGAAAAATTCCGTACTCAGACGAGTTATTACTTAAGTGACAAAGGGGTTGGATGTCTTTGTCTCTCATACCAATTAACATCTTCAACTTACCATTCTGGTTTGTCTTCCCTATTTGTCTGTCTAGTACCATAAAAATGATATGTAAACCTCTTTTTCAATGACTCCAACATCATCTGTATAGGTAAACATAAAGGGGGGAATTCGGATAGTAGTGCAGATTGAACTGTGGGTGTAGCCATCTCACTGGGAATCTCAATCTCTAAGAGATACTCAGCAATGATCTGGAGTTTCTGGATGTGATTTGGTAAGGGAACCACTAAGGAGAAGTTAGCACTTGTGAAAGGCCACTTTATCAATTTAAGGGCTTCGTCTAAGTCTCTGTAAAAAAATATTATTTTGCAAGAAGTAAAACATGCAGAACCCAATCCAAATCCAAGATAGAGTCTAAGTAAATGCACATGATACTTTAAGGATGAAAATATGCTCCGTTCCTGGATTCTCTATGGAGGATTTTTGTAAGAAGGTTCCGTGTGCCCTGATCTTCTGTCGACGAGCAATATCGCACGATTTGTTGAACCAGCTCTTAGGCCCTGCCTTAGGCACTTTCACTGTATGAGAGAGAGTGAGAGAGAAAACAGCCGACGCATCCGAGTCAGAGCTACAAACATCTTTCCAACGAAAGCTAGAGGAAAAAGTCTCTAAGCACTGCCCAGTTCAGCATGTCTGTAATGCGAAATTTTGTAGCCAATTCTAGCCGAAGTAATCCAACTGACTAATAGCGTGTGACGAAATTCGAGAGAAAAAGTAGAGCTTGTCATCAGCTGGGACAGTTTGACACTGTTTTGGATTTGGACATGGTTTAGAATCATTTGAAGTCAGTATCAGTATTTTGTGAACCATAAAAATAGTTTCATTATAAACTTACTTAGATAACTTATCTTTGAGGACATTATGCCAAAAGTATATACAATCCTTCAAATATTCATATAAATGTTTACCGCTAAAATTTTCCAAATTTCTGCTAATTTCAGTCAGGTTTGCAAAAATTGTTACACACTGTTCATCATCCTTTTTAGCAACCTGAGTCTTTAATTCAGTACTGCAAGAAACATACAAATAGATATAACTTTAGTTTAACAAATGAAAATATGCCAAATGTGATTATCAATTAAACAACTGTTCTATTGATATCATATAGTCAGAGCTTCAAATGGATCAAAAAAAATCAGAACAACATTGGTGGGTCATGACAAATATGGATGTTTTAGTTTGCCAAGATACTTTGTTATTCCACTAGCATATCCAGGAAAAAGTTCAAGAGGGTCTCAGTATTTAGGTTCAGGAAGGTGTCTGTCTGGGGAGATATAGTGATGGAAAATTGAATAGAGCAGGGGAGGAGGAGGCAGCATCTGCTTCATCACTGCTGCTGAGAGCCTTATGACAATTGAAGAGTGGTGGGTGGTATTGCATTTGGGAGGGGTGGTTGACTGTATTATAGAAGAAAAAGTGTATTCAGCCAGTTGGTTCTACAGGGAGGAATCTTGAATCTCCATAGCTCCCCCCTAAATATGCCAGTGTGCTATTTTATTGGTTATCTAAGCCCAAATGATTGGTTTGCCAGAAAGTCAAAATTGACATATCAAAAAATAGAAACATTATTTGTTTATTGCACAAGGTAAAGTAAAAATATAGTTAGAGCATACCTTAAATATTCTATTTGTTGTATCACTTTCATGTACTGCAATAAGCATTGAACTGTATTTGTTTTGTCTTTATACTCATGAATGCTAGTTCTTACTTCTTCTACATTATGTAGATCTTTATCAATCAATTCTGTTATTTCTTCAGCTTCTGATATTGCAGCGTTTATATTTTCTATAACCTTTTCAGAATTTATCACCATTTTTGCTATAGACGAATCATTATTCTCCAAGTTTATCTGGAATATGCATATAGAGAAGCAAGTGATCTACAAATATTCCTACAAGCTATGTTAATCAACTAAACTCTAGAATTAATTACAAAAATACTTAGGAAAGAAACATCCCATTCTGTACATATAATGTAGAATTGGTATTTTTGTATGTTGATATCAATAAATCTCTTATTGGATTCAAGTTTGAGATAACTTGTTAAAAAATAAGAAATTGGCTAATATACAAGTTATTATCCTATCGCCTACTTCTCTTTCGATTTCTAGTTTTTCCTGGAGGAGCTTGTGCTGTAATTCTATACATTTTCCTAGGTCCAGCAGATCATCACCATACTTTTCATTCAATTCCTGTACTACATGACTCCTCAATCCCGTCATAATTTAAGAAGTACTTATAAGCACCGCACTTGTGCGAATTAATGTTAAAATGGGTACAAACGTTTCCAGCTGCTAATTTTGAATTAACCAAAAGCTCATAAAATTACAACCAAAACAAATACCATAACCTCAAATCAAATCTTTTCACCTGACATCTGTTAACTGTCATGCTGGACATGGAACAAGCAACCAGAACATGACATGGCAATCGAAACTATCTTCCTGGCTCTCTTATACAGGGTGATACTGGCAGATAGCATATAACGTCACCATGAGCGCCTCCAGAGGGAAAAGCATGTGGGGTCTGGCCCAACTCAAAAAAAAATTGTGTCTATTTTACTTTTGATGAAAGCAGAACACGTCAGAAATTCGAATAATTTCACAAAAAAGCCTCTACCAAATTTCCAAGTTTTCGTTTATATCATTATTCTTGACGTTGATTTTTCTCAACAAGATATCTTTTTACAGATTTTTTGAGAGATAATGAGAGTTGACATACACGATAAACTATAGATATAACTGTTCAGATTCCGATAGATTTCTGTCGTGAACAAATTTACTATATTTTTTGCCCAGTTATTTTTCCCACTCTTCGCTTATTACAAGAGTAGCGCAAATGAAATTTTTATCCTACATAATGCAATACGATATTTAAGTTGCAATGAAAAACCTTCCAAAAGCCTGTGATCTATGGTATTAACCTTATGGGGGTGCTCTGGGTTTGATGAAGCTCCTCAAATGCCCAATAATAAAAATATCTCTCTTTAATTTTCTCTAACAGCATAAATAAAGCCCCGGATCTTACTCTGGCCTGGGGCTCCTTCAGCAGTAGGCTCCATAAATTTACATCCTTCAAATTAAAACACAATAATCGGTTTGTACTTATTTTATTTTAGACACCACATGCTTAAATAATATTAATATAAGTATCTAACACCCCCACCTGGCCTCCTTCTGTCAGATAATCCTCCAACAGTTTCATGGAGGGGTTGAGATATGGCTGTAACAGCAGTAAAACCATTTGCGCCTGTAAACTTAACTGTGTGACCTATCTTCAGCATTTCGGAAAGCAGATCTGGCCGCTGAAATCAAATAAATCAGGATTCTAAGTGAATTTTTTGTTTGAGGAAAAGTTAAATATTGGGCTGGTATATCCTAACATTACTGAGCGAGCATTCAGGCGGTAATACAGTCATTGTTAACGTATTCTATCTGAAGATAGCCACCTATATGACGTTCGGTCCTTTGAAGTAGCAAATATTAGCACAACATAATTTGCCCTCCAAAAACCGGTTTATTAAACACCCGATACATGTTTCTCTAACTATGGAAAGAATAAAACTAAAGTCTTAACGTAAATATTACATAATGTGTACGAGGGTTTTCTCAAACAAATGGTTCCCAACGCTGTATCTTTGGCGCGCGTGATGCTAGGGGAAATCTGACAAACACCGTCGTGTTTTGCGGCTCCTCCACCACCGATCTCAACAAGAAGCGCCCTTCACCGCCGTCATGCCACATGCGAAATTTAAACATTACCACCCATAGAAATTCATCGCCAGTTGAGTATATGGGAAACGTGTATAAGCATTCACGTCTAAAAAAAGCGTAGAAAAAAATGTCTACTATGTAGAAAAATAGCTTAAAGATCAACGTTTTTCAAATAAAAATTCATTGTGCCTGAGAAAATGTGGGAACCTTATTTTTGAAACAACTCTCATAATCGTTACACCAATATATTGAGTATGGTTCTTTTGGCTAAGTACCCGGCCTTTTTGGTATAGTACTCGGTGCTTCCCTATTAGAAATGATGTTTTTTCTAGATGGAGAATACCCCACTACACCTACTAAAAAATGAGGCGAACTATAAGTGCTGTATACTTTATTTATTGTGGAAGTCACATGTGCATATGATAAGGGTGGAATGGATATGCAATGGATATAATCACGTGATCAGAGATATGCGACTCCACCTGTCTTTCTCCTGACGTCAGGTACACCCACTACGTTACCGCTGTTCACGTGTGATATGGAGGTGACAGCACAAAACCCGTCTGCTTGGTACGTGAACTGGATATTGTGTCCTATCTTCTCGATTTGGCCGAGCAACTTCTCATACTGAAATAAGATTAGAAACCTCTAAATTATTAGGGAAATGATATTAGGTGTACCCAGTTTATCTAAAAAATAAGACACAGTACCAGTTAGGCACCCGTTGCCGGGTTTGAGTACCGGAAACTGCCACTTGTCCAAGGGTTTACCCAGGGGGGTTGCCCCCCTTTGGCAGCAAAAATTAAAAGGAGAGAACATTTTTTACAAAAATAAAACTATTTATTTACAGGATTATCCACAAGCTGAATCTATATCTATTATTAAGAAATTACTAGGATTAGTTGAAATATATCTAAGAACTTGAAAGCACTATACAGGGTGACTTCGAAGTTGAGTCATTTATTTTAACAGTGAGTAGATCTGATCAAAAGAAATGTTTTTTCCTTTACCATTTTTCTGGTAAAATTAAAGTAACAAAGTTATAGCCCTTTGGAAGTTTGAGTACCGCCCTGTCTCAATAATATCATGTGCTCGTGTTTGGCAACAACGGATATAATCCGCCTTATCGGTTCATCGCATCGGAAACAAAAAAGCGAAGGCATTCGGAACGATGTTTTTACAATTATGTTATTCAGTTCAGTTATACATACAGTCAGTGTCAGTCGCGTGTGAATAGTGTCTGTTGCGTGGCTCAAACGAAATAAAAAATGGCACATGTTTATGCGGATCGGTTTCCCAATCGAGTGCAACCAACCCCTCGTGCCTTTGTTAATGTAGTACAACGGGCTCGTGAATCAGGTGACTTAAGACCTCACAGGGGACCTCACGATCAAATACAGGTCCGCACTGAAATACTTGTCGGGAGGATACTTTATAATACAAGGTAATTTTTTTTTTAATTTTTTTTTTTATTTTTACACACATATTTTGGTTTATCTTCCTTCTACAATCATTATCAGAAAATTAATGACTCAACTTCAACTTCAAAGTATATGTACGTATGTTCCAAATTCGAACCTCGCCTTTGGGATCTTGGAAACGGTAAAGAGAATGTCCAACGTTCAGTATTTACTGACCCATCAGAGGATTTCTGAATAACATTGATCATGCATCAGTAATTACTGACGTTTAGATAAATAAGTGACAAGATAAGTATAGGACGCGGGGTACTTTTTAGGGTGAAAGTTGCGTACGTAAATAAGAAAGTGGAACTAGGACAGTTTGGAAGTTCAAAGTATTTCCGAATCTACTTTAAGTCGTTTTTATTTGTTCCTGGCTTCAGTCCGAAACAAAACCTTTCAAACATCCACATTGTCTACAAATTTCAAACAAATAATACAATAACATTACCACTTCCTCTCTTTTACACTGAGGCATAATTAGGGTTTAGATCTGACGTTTTAGCAGATTTTTAAAATTATACCGTTTTCTGTCTTCATGATTACCCTTAAATAATGAGTTACATTATGTTGTTCCTCATTCAACGAGTTTAAACCAACTATACTAAGTGACATATAAATCCGAACATCCAGTTTAAATGGTTTTATTTTAATAAAATTTTGTATAAGTACTTAATGAAGCATAATAAGTAAATGATAAAAATTTCAAAATGATTGCACTGCTTTAAAGCCCTTTGACCTTTAATAATGTGTGGATGCACCCTGATGTCCAACGCGCCTAGGCATGCTTCTGATCAGGTGGTCAATGTCCTCCTGTGGTATCTCATTCCAGGCAACCACCAACTCCTCTCGAAGTGCTTCTAGAGTCTAAGGACGACGTTGCAAATTGAGCAATCTCCTACCCATCATATCCCACACGTGCTCAATTGGGGATAAGTCGGGAGATCTTGGTGGCCATAGTAACAATGTGACATCATTATGTTGAAAGAAGTCTATTGTGACTCTTGCAACATGTGGCCGGGCATTATCTTGTTGGAAAGTTGGATCTGCCAGGGTGTCAAGATAGGGTAAAAAATGGGGTTCTAGAACTTCGTGGATATAACGCTGTGCGTTCATGTTACCTCTGATGAAGATTAAAGGTGACCTGGAACCATAAGCTATAGCACCCCAAACCATAACTCCAACAGTGTGATGAACATGTCTTTCAGCAAAAAACTGTGGATTCCTCCTTTCACCACGTCGCCTTCTAACCCTGGCACGACCATCGTGCATGCCTAAACAAAATCGAGACTCGTCACTAAAGACAATACTGTTCCATTCCTGATCCCAGAGTGACCGTTGTCTGCACCACTCAAGGCGATTACGTCGGTGTTCTCGAGTTAAAGGGAGGACCCAGTGTAGCCGGTATGAAAACAAGCCAAAACTTCTCATTCGTCGGTAAACACTTCGCATGCCGATAGGTCTTCCGTGTTCTGCAAACCATTCATTTGCAATGGACCTGATAGTGGAGAAATGGTCCCTTAAGGCCAATAATCTTAGGCGGCGATCTTCACGGTCTGTTGTTCTACGGCGGCGTCCAGTGCCCCTTGCTCTTTGCGTACGGCCTTCTCGAAGCCATGCCTGACAACACCTAACCACAGTGTCTACACTTCTTTGCACTCTAACTGCAATTGCCCGAAAAGAAAGTCCAGCTTCCCGAAGTCCCACTATACGGCCCCTATCAAACTCACTCAGTTGACGAAATCGTACAGGTCTCTATACTCTAGGCATCGTAACCGATCGTAAAGGATGTCAAGAACCAAAATCCGCCAACGTTTATTCTTTACTGCAGCTGAAATATTCATTTTTAGAGCGTTAGTGAATTAAAAAAAGCAGTATAAAAACCGGAATGTCCAACTGATATGGCTGAAAATTTTTTCACTTGTTATTTACACTATGATAAATACACTCACCAATTTTTATTAAAATAAAACCATTTAAACTGGGTGTTCGGATTTATACGTCACTTAGTATATATGAAGTTAGGCACTTGAGGTTTTATACTGGGTGCGCCATCTATTACTGTTTTTTACCTATAAGTTTATGTGTTACCATGTGAGTCAAAAGTCATGTGGCATGCATAAATGAACTGTCAAAGGTATGCCATTTATAGTGATGGATTCGTTTACAACACAACAACGCATTTTGGTTATCCAAACTTATTACGAAAACGGTCGAAATTTAAAAAATTCTTTTCGCAAACTTCGTACTAGTTTTGGCCTAGAATTCGTTGGATTGTTAATCGTTTTGAGGAAACTGGTTCAGCTGAAGGTCGTAGACCATACCAACATGCTCGTCCAGCTCTTACTCGTGAAAACATAGCCGCAGTGAATGAAAGTGTGCGAGAAGATCCAACCACCTCGACTAGACACCGTTCGCAACAATTGGGAAATAGTGAGACCACTTTACGCCGGATTTTGCACATTGATTTACACCTCCATCCATACAAAATCCGAAGAACACAAGAATTTAAGCCGACAGACCATCAACAGCGTCAAGAGTAGACGGATTTTCGACCAAAGTGCTCTTTTCTGATGAGGCTCATTTTCACCTGAATGGGTACGTAAATAAGCAAAATTGCAGATTCTGGGAGGCTGAAAATCCACACCAATATCATGAACAACCACTCCATCCTGAAAAAATGACTGTTTGGTCCGGATTATGGGCTGGTGGCAACGTTGGACCATCCTTCTTTGAAGATGCCGAAGAAAAGGCAATTACCGTCAACGGGGAACGTTATCGTGGCATGTTAGCAGACTTTTTGTGGCCACAATTGAATCGTATTGGTGCCGACGATCTTTGGGTTCATCAAGACGGAGCAACGGCTCACACATCTCGCAAAAAAATCGTCTTATTGCACACGAAATTTCAAGACCGCATAATTTCACGAAATTCAAATGTTAGTTGGCCCCCGAGATCGTGCGATTTAACACCTTTTGATTATTTTCTTTGGGGAATATTTTGGGAAAAGTCATTGAACATTTTGATGTTCGGATGTTGGCCTGTAAACGAGGCCGCGGTGGTCACATGACTGATGTTATTTTTCATATATAAATGGCATAAACCAACCTTCATTTATCAATAAAAAAATTCGATTTCACCTCGTAAAAATCGTATTGATTTTTCAAATAGAGAAAAAAGTAATAAATGACGCACCCTGTATCAATGCGTAACATGTTATCATCTTTGATATTCTATGAAATAAGTAACTATATGTTAATTTCATGACCTCGTCAAGAAAAAACTTGTATAATAATATATGTCATGATATAATATTGGAAATCAGAATTAGAAGCTATTCGACTAATTCAAACATGACCTACTGAAGAAAAATCAAAGTTCCGTCGGGGAATTAGAGGCGACAAATCATATTAATGTTCTATTTTAGCCACCTTGCATAGATCAAAAAGTGGCATTATCAAAGTGTAGTTTATTTTGAAATCCTATCTCAAATAAATTTAGAAAAAGTCAGAAACGATTTTCTGAAAATTCGTTAACATTCTGGAATAAACTAGTTACATATATCCTTCTAAATATTCTATAAAACTATTTTTGGATATATGACGAAATTTCAAGTAATTGTAGAAAAACAACGAATAAATATCGACAAAGAGGAATTATTTCGGGAATTAGTATAATATGCTATGTCCCCGGCTATATCAAAACTTCTCCCTTTGAAGTGACATATTGTAAATAAACATTAATGTACATCTCTCGTTGCTAAATGGCTATTAAAACTTTAAAAACAGATTTAATAAGGTTTAAGGATAGTATCCAGGAAAATGTCTTCACGCTTCATTTCGATATCTAATCGCAAGCTAGAAAAAATATAAAAACCATACAGTGTATCTAGGAGTAATTTTTTGGGCCCAGCATCCTCGCCGCGTGTTATTTCGAGTCATAGCATCATTAAAATTTGAAAGGTGTCCAAAATTTTGAAAGCATCCTGAACTTGAAACATGCGAATTAACTCCTAGTTTGTGAATTTTGGAATGAATGAATAATCTATGGATCATGCGGTTTTTCCATGTGATGGACTTCACCCAAGCAAAAGTTGTAACTACATCCGTGGTGAAGACAAAGTAATGATTCTCCTAAGAATTGCAATGTTTGCCCAAATTTGATTATACACGTCCCTGCTGATACAGTCCAAGTTTGTGATTAATGAAATCGGGACAGTATTATGAGTTTGAGAAATGACATCCTCTAAGTTACCTCTATTTTGAATTTATCTTCTATCAAAAGGTCATTTGGCATCAACTGATGATGAACCCTGCTTTCGTCCATGGCTGTCTTCAAGTCTACTCCATACCAGAGATGTTTCACAATTATCTGGAAATAAATGATACATTTGAGGACCATTTTAATCGTCAAGTCAACGACAACCCGGTTCATGAGAATGAATTAAAATTAGAGCATGCAAACCCATAATCGGTTGTTTGTAAAACGATGAATATATTTTTTACAATATGTCATTGTCAATAATAATAATACTACATTTTTTATTGCCCAATAGAAATTCATTCCATTTACATGACAAACTATGAACCCATAAAAAAATAAAGAAAATAATATAAAAAAGCATTATATAATGTAATTCATCTGAGCATATCGTTCTGCTGATTTATCACAAGATTTATAACAAAAAGACCACAGTCAACATTGACACGATGTGTGATACAGGTCACATTTAATGGCTCGTCCTCATAATCGGCGATTACAAACGATTACACGCGAGCACGATCTTGTAGAGGGCATACTCGGTTATACTCGCCGATCATCGTCTATGATCGCCTTCGACCCGTGAATTGGTTTTTATATTATAATAAATACAAACAAGACAAGCTGCAAACCTTACGGTACACCAGAAGCTGCTATATATTCCTGAGACGCAAAATCATAAATACATATTGAGACCTATGAAATCCAAATTCAGATACTTTGCTCAATAGAATACGATGATCTAACTTGTCAAAAGCTTTAGAAAATCTGTATAGATCACATCCACCTGACCATGATAATCCAAAATATCATTGACAAACTGCATGAAAGTGACCAAATTGGTGATAGGAGATCTACCCTTGAAAAACCATGCTGGGAAAGAGAAACTTGGCTACAGACCAAGCGATAAATGTGATCATACGGAATCATTTCAAATACTTTCGAAAAATTTGACAAGATAAATATCGCTCTATTATTTTCATTTTCATTCGTACCACCACTTTTGTGAACGTGACAGATCTTTGCCTTTTTGAGGCTGAAGGAAATTTTTAAAATAGTCCAAAATAAATTAATAAAGTGTATTTAATACTTGTCATATACGGAACCTAATTACATTATATAGATTAAGATAATTATTATATATTCATTCTATTTATCGTTACAAAAGCATGTATGTTTACAATGTCCCTCTATTTCTTGATATTGATAAAGTTGTTATACAAATAAGCGGCTTTTTTAGTAATAATCGTATATACAAAACAAGGGTACGATACGCATCAGTATTCAACCCAGGCATGGGTAAGCAAAACCCTTACAGTAGTAAGTCAAAAATGGCACACTCAATTTATAGTGTCTGAAAAAGGCTAACGAGGCTTCGCGAGTGTATACAGATCGTTTTTGAATACCTTTTGTGATTTCGTTCTTTGGAGTGCATAAAACTGAGATGAACACTTTCTGAAAACCTACACCAACGACTGGCTAGGTCACATAAATGTGTTTTTGGATCTGTCGTTCACGATATTGAACAATAGGTGGTGGTGGGCAAAGCACGTTTTGTTCAAATGTCCTGCAATTGTCAGAGTTAGGAACAATATACTGGAAGGAGTTGTAATGCAAGTAGAATACCTGAAAGATATTTCCCCAAATAAGCTGATCGGCTTTCTTAGGAGGTCGGAGTTGCTAGGGGAAATACAGGGTGGGCCATGAAGGTGTTGGCAATTTCGACATTCAATTAAAAAATAACTACGCAATATAAAAGGAAAAATAAATGTATTTTTATAAAGTAGAAAAATAGGCATTTTTATGACTTAAAAATAATGTTGTTCAAATGACTTGCTTCGGCTGCTTGGCACTCTTGAAACCGAAGCTGCAGACTTTGAAAAACTCGTTCAAAAGTTGTTCTTGGTATTTTGTTACTTTCCTGAACAATATTCCTCTTGGTTGGATTATTCATTCTCGTAGACCACCGAAATCGCATGGAGAAAGATCGGGACTACGTGGTGGCCATTCAATATCCCCCCTTTCCGGGAAAGACATTTTTCAGCAGCTCTATAAATGCTGTATGTCATGTGGCCCCATCTTGTTGAAACCAGATTCTAGAGGTACTGCCGTGGAGTTCTTGCAAAGCTGACACCAAAAAGTCTGTTATCATATTGCAATAATTGTTAGCTTTAACTGCCATCGCTTGCCCTCTTTCGTCCTCAAAAAAGTACGGTCCAATAATACTGGTTGACGTAATTCCAGCCCACACGACTAGTTTAGGGCTGTGAAGTGGACGTTCATGCAAGCGTCGGGGATTAGTTTCGAACCAAAACCTGACAGTTTTTTGTTTGTTAACATGGCCGTTGAGGTGAAAATTGGTACTCATCACTAAACATCACGTTGTTAAAACTGTTGAATCGGTCGACCATCAAATTGACAAATTTTAAGTCGATTATTGGCATCATCTGGTTTTAATTATTGAACTAGTTGAATCTTAAAAGCCTTCAAATGCAAAATCACGCTTCAAAATTCGGCGCAAGCTCGTTCTTTAGATATCCAAAGCCTGACTTCTCTTTACGTGTTGACTGTTGCGGATTTCGCTGAACTGAAACACGAACGAACGCGCTCTACATTGTCGGCTGATCTTGCAGAAACTGGACGATCACGAGCTGTTATTGCTACTGTCGAGCCGGTTGTTTCGAACATTCTGATCCATTTCCGTATCCCATTGGCGCTTGGAACTTATATTAAATCGCGTAAACCGTTTTCTCTTGGCTATGGATGTTGTGATTGTCCGTAGGTGGTAGACGGTCTCTGACTGTCGAACGCGGAGGTACCACCCGACGGATCTCGTAGGCGGAGCCAGAATGTGTCCATGTTGCATGCACACGTGTTCCCTCGCCAGAGTCCGTATAGCGTTCCCCCTTTCCCCTGTATCCCCCTATAGCCACACGGTACCCAATGGGTGTTTAGGCCTTAGGCCTTCGTTGTAGTTGGAGTATAAAAAAAACGTCGTGCAGTAATAACCGATTTATTGTTTTCATAATACGCACGGACACAAAATGCACGCTGCGCACCCGTGTACGGCTCCATGGCGACTAAATTTCCAGGCAACGGCCAACCGAGTATAAATAGGTGTGAGTCGCAATAGAGCCGCGGATGATCATCATTGATCCTCCCACAAAAAAAATTAACCTAACCTACCTGTGCTACTGAAGTGGTGATCATACTCCCACCAGCTGCCCCTATAATCATGACCACATCCCCTTTATCATTCAAAATTATTGTAGGGCTCATAGAGCTCATAGGCCTTCTTCCTGGCATGATGAAGTTAGCAGGTGATGGCGGCAGGCCGTACTGATTCTGGTATCCGGGGGATGAAAAGTCGTCCATTTGATTGTTTAGTATGATGCCGGTGCTAAGAGAACCGAAATATGCACCCCATCTAAAAATTAAAAACAGTATTCTTATTTTATACGCAGGTCTTGCAATACTCCAATCTATCAAGTAGCCTGAGACTTTCAAGTAGCTAATAGACATATCTCTCTTGCATAAACGAATAAATTAGATAATTTCAAGTTGGGTCTGGTATTTTAAGTCATATTCAGGCGCGAGTACGAGTATGGATTTCTTAGGTAATTAATATTACGTAGTGCATAAGTGTGTATTTCGGCAGAGATTTGATATTAGTAGCACATAACACAAGACTTCAAAAGTATGAATATTTGCAATTTTTAGAAGTGACTTATGGACGCTGATCCATAACTGGAATTTGTAAATATCCTTAAAACCGTTTTTTGCAAAATGAAAGTTTTGTTAGATGGTACTAAGTTTCCCCAGAGCATTGTGCCATGTGTAATGTGTCTACGATACTACCCGCAAAGTATGGTGATCCTGCCGTATAGAATGTAAATAATCAATGTGGGATCCTCAGTTTAGTCTGGTATCTAGCACGATACACATACACTGATAATAGGATATTGCGCATGTGGGCGGAGCTTCGTGACGTCACCCGGAGAGTTATCGGCTCGTGGTTACCAGCGGCAGGATTGTCGTAACGTTACTACAGTTCTCGTGTATCGTGGTTAATGCTATATAGTGCGATTTGTTGGTGTTTTTTGGTGGTTTTGTGACTTGTTGTATTAGTTATACATACCTTATATACCCTGTGTGTTTGATAAATTGATAAAAATGCGGTGTGCTGTTGTGGGATGTAATTCCGACAATCAATCTGAACAGAATCTTTGCAAAGACATGAAGTTCCACAGTTTTCCTCAAGACCCAAACATTAGCAAAAAAATGGTTACATATCACAAAAAGATAAGACAAAGTCAATGTAAAACGCGCTAGGGTTTGCTAGAAAATGCTCTAGAGGATCTGAAACGACGCTTCAGCGTCCAATACCTGTTAACAGACGTCTTAATCAAGATGTGATAGAAAACTTTTTCGGAGTAATTAGGGCAAAAGATGGTCTTCATAACCATACAAGTCCGCTAGAGTTTAAATATAGAATGAGGTCATATATGTTAGGGCGAAACGAAGGCCCATACTCAGGGTACCTATTTCAGCGTAGAGTCAGAGGATACTTCAGACATTCCACTAACCACTAACCGCATCATTAACGAGAATAAAGTAAATGCACCTGAAGTATCAGCTGACTATACCGAGAAATGGAGTTATCATGTTTTTACAGTGAAGAGTTGATACACTCTATTGTGAAGCTAGAAGCCGTTTAAGCTATAGCCTGTGAAATAGGAGTTATAGGGTTAAAATCTTTTAACAAAATCCACCATTTTGTTTTGTATAAAATTTTAATGTAGCTAGTGTCACTCGCACCGCTAAGACGAATCCAACGACACCTCATATGTGAAAATCTATCAAGCCGTTTGATCTGTAGCCTATGAAGTAGGAATTACAAGGTTGAAATCTTTTATTAAAATCCACCATTTTGATTTTTATAAAATTTCAATGTTGTCAGTGTCACTCACACCGCTAAGACGAATCCAACGACATCTCATATGTGAAAATCCGTCCAGCCGTTTGGCCTGTAGGTGAAAATATGCACGTTATCCACATCAACCCATATGGTAATCACTCTCTGCTCGATCAGCGGAGCATACGGATCTGGGTATCTAGAGTACTATTTCTAGAAGTTTTACTGGTTCAGATTTCAAAACCCATCCATCGGACGAAAATGTAATATGTCTTGTTTTCATTTAGCGATGACTTGTTGGCAAAAAAACATGTTTTAGCTTGTGCAGATAAAAAGCAGGATCTGTTATCATATGCGCGTGGGCGTATAGCTATATGAGAAATAGTAGGTGACCAAGTACTGATCTCTGCGGTACCCCGTTGCAAATAGGCAAAAGTTCCGAGGCGGTGGCCTCAGAGCTTACAAACTTCTTCCTACTTGACAAATATTAAGGAAATAGGCCTCGCTCGGTATTTGCCATAGTAATTTAGTATTTTCAATAATATATGTGAATCGACGCGATCAAATGTTTTTGTTAAGTCGCACATGGTAGCTATAGTATTAGAGTTACCTTCTTTTTCCAGCACTTCCTCTAATAAGATCAGTAGAGCTTTTATTGTTGTTGAATTTTTTTGAAATCCAAATTCAGCTACCGTTCGATTTAGCTTCGCAGTAGCTTTCACAATAATCTCAAACATTTTCCCAATTACTGGTATAAAGGCAATTATTGGTCTATCGGCGGAGTCTCTGTTTCCTTTTTTATGAACAGGGACAATTTTCGAAATTGTAAATGTATCCGACCAAATACCCTCGCGTATACATTTAAAAGAGCGCTGAAGGTATCAACAGACGCCTTGATAACAATCTATCGAAGGTGCATCTGTCTAAATAATATTGCCCTTCTGACATCGTGGGGATATTGGAGATATAATGCAGGAAAATATGGCTTGGGAATTTTATTCATTAACATGTCACAATCAACATTGGACACAGGAAGCATGATCAAGATTCTATCCCGTAGGGCAGAAAATTAATGCCTATGAACTAATTGTATGGGCGTGTTCGGGTGACTTGATCCGTTTGATTTCTTTGTTACACATCTTCGTAACTAACTTTTCTCAGAGGTTCTAACTTGCGAACACAATCGCCTATGAACTCCTGACTGCATTACGTAGGAAAAACAGAGTCAACCTACTTGACGTCATCCTTTTCTTTTTTCGTAGTTGGATAAATGACGCAATGCAACGTCGACATGATTACTCAGACCGTCCATAACAGGTCCGCCAAAGAATCCCTGAAAGTCGACATAACAAATCAAAATTTACCTGCCATTAATAGTACTGGTAACAGCAACTGCATCCCCATTTGGAGCCAGCACAGAGATGTGCGCAGTACCGTGATCCTCTTCAAAGGTGGTGTTTGCACCGTAGTATTCAATGCTGTCAAATGTGTTCTTATCATATATGTAACTTCTTAGATCTCTGGCGTAGTCCTTCGATAGCATTCCTGATATTACTGTTTGCATGTAGGCTGTGTCCCTATCGCCCAGCTTTGTCCTTGCTCCATATGCGAACTTGAAGCTTTCTGAAAACGATTTTTAGATAAGCAGCATCATTACAAATCACTTCACTCAAACCTAATGATTCCATAGTCCAGCATGTAGTTGGCACAATAATATTTTTCTTACACCGAAGCAGGGTGCAGGCAGAAGCCTAAATGCCAGGACACCGCGTCAGATATGAGGATTCCAAAGAAATTTTGTTAATCGCATTTTTGAACTGTCCAATGCCCATATTCACCGTCTCTTGAGAAGTACGATTAATTACTAATCCAGATTATTGCCGCGTATTCTTATGCACCGATACATTTAACACCTGCTAATCGCGTTTAGGCGTAATCCTAGCGTATTGACTTTTTAATCCGAAAATTGACGGATTGGGGTTCTACCTTATATTTCGAGTTGTGGATGTCTTTGCGAAAAAGAGCTTTTTTTGCAAAAGTAATGCAGATCGAAGATGAGATTTCCTTGACGAAGATGGTGACATCCTAGATATTATTAGCTTCGGATTTCCAAGACACTATTATGAACGTACAGATTTTTTAACGAGATGGACGACCTATCGTTTTTCAGGAGATTTCAGCTCCAAAAAAACACTGTCTTTAGATTGGTAGAACAAATAAAGCATCAACTCGAGTTTGATAACAATTTGTAAGTATTCTTTTACCAAATATCAAATTACGATAATCAATTTCCTTGGCCACAATTGAAGTTTAGACAAGAACGTCTTTAAACGCCTTTTCCTCTGGCTATGGATCTCAATCACATTAGAAATTTCCAAGATTTCAGTCACTATAAAATTTGTGTTTTTACAGGAATAATAGTGTGTCGCCCATTAATCAGCTCCTTACATGCCTACGATTTTATGCCTGCAATGCACATTAAAATTGTATTGGAGACTTTATTAGCATGGACCAGACAACAGCATCCCGTATAATTGCAAAAGTTTCAAGAGCAATTGCAGGTTTATCAAATCGATATATCAGAATGCCCAATGAAGCTGATGAAATAATAAGAGTTCACAATGGCTTCTATAGGATCTGTAGATTTCCACGAGTCATTGTATGTATTGACGGGACGCACATAAAGATGCAATCACCAGGAGCTCAGGGTGTAGAAGTTTTTCGTAATAGAAAGTCATATTTTTCTATAAATACTCAAATAGTTGCGGGGCCAAATTTGAAAATATTTGACATTGTTGCTCGATGGCCAGGATCTACCCATGATTCAACTATTTTCAATGCCTCCCACCTAAGAACACTCATTGAAGGGAGACAATTTCAGAACGCGGTGCTCTTGGGAGATAGTGGCTACCAGCTGAAAGTCTACCTAACGACACCTCTACAAAATCCAGGCATTGTTGTCGAAAATATTTATAATGAAGCTTACATGCAATGTAGTAGAAACAGTGATTGGTGTTTGGAAGCGTCGGTTCCCAGTATTAGCCTATGGTAGTAGGTGTCGATTAGATACCGCTTTAACTACAATCATTGCAACTGCTGTGCTAGCAAAATATGGCCGTGAATATGCTAGAGGATTTGCCTCCCTATCCAAAAGAACTCAATGGTCAAGAGCTGGATTCCCTAATTTTACAAGGAGACATTCCTCATGTACATGCAGCGAATGTTGGTCAAGACCCATTTAATTTTCGCCAAAATCTAATAGATTATTTTAGTTATTTTTAAAACATCGGGATAATAAATACACAATTTGTGGAAAAACTACATACTTTTTAAAACTTTGCTACAGTATCTTTATTGCATTGAAAAGAAGTAACATATAGTATATTAACACAAAGAAATAATTTTCATTGTAAGGCATTGGAATTGAAATTTAGTTTTTGATTGGAAATTTTTAACTGATTTTTAAGTTTTTCTTTCCATTTTTATAAATTCTTCTTCATCTGTAGCTTTTGTTTTTCCAACAAAGTGAGTATTTTGTCTAAGAGTAGATTGTATTAAGAGGCAATATCAGAAAATGTTAAAGCAGTCACAACTTGTTTCGGTCTTCTTTTACACCTCTGTGGAGCCTGATGAAAGTCATTTCAGTTCATAACAGGCATCGCTCCACCTCCACTTAAAAATCTTTGGTTTTTCCCCTCACCTATTTTCCTTCTTAATTCTTTTTTCTTATAACGGATGATTTTTTAATAGGTATAGGATTTGATTTAAAAAAAAAACAAAAAATTTGAAAAAACGATTATATCTTTATTTGAGTCGATAGAACGGTCGATATAATTTAATGTTTAAAGATTATTTCATGTAAATGTTGGCCGCGGCTCCGCTTTAGATGGCCCATGCGCAAGGTAAAATTTTGGCACACTCTCTCCAACATATCGGCCGGTATCTCACTAATAAATGCTTCAATATTGGCTTCCCGTGCGTCAATCGTTGCTGGTTTATCCCTGTAGACATTAGCCTTAACATGGCCCCACAAGAAATAGTCCAACGGTTAAATGACACGATCTAGGCGGCCAATTGACGGGCCCCAAACGTGAGATAAACTGTTCACCGAACTCGCCTCTCAATAGGGCCATTGTTTCGTGTGGCACTGTCTTGTTGAAACCACATGTCAGCCAAGTCCAGCTCTTCCATTTTGGGCAAAAAAAAGTTTGTTGTCATCCCACGGTAGCGCTCGCCATTCACAGTTACGTACCGGCCATTGTCATCTTTGAATAAGTACGGCCCGATGATGCCACCGGCCCATAATCCACACCAAACAGTGATTTTTTCGGGATGCATTGGTAGCTGTTGCAATGCTTCTGGCTGGTCTTCACTCCAGATGTGGCAATTTTGCTTGTTAACGTACCCATTCAGCCAGAAATGAGCTTCGTCGCTGAACACAATTTTTCGATAAAAATGTGGATCTTCCTCCAACTTTGCCGGCGCCCATTCACCAAATGGGAAACGTTGTGGGAGGTCGTGTGGCTTCAATTCTTGCACCAGCTGTATCTTATAAGGTTTTACACCCAAATCCTGTCGCAAGATTTTCCACGTAGTGGAGTAACAGAGGCCCAATTGCTGCGAACGGCGGCGAATCGACATTTCACGGTCATCACTGACGCTGGCAGATACAGCTGCAATATTTTCTTCAGTCCTCACTCTACGTCTGCGTGTTGGTGTTTTAATGTCCAATAATGTAAATTGCCCATAGATTGGAAGCAGTGCTCGATGCACTCTCTTAACCGAGCATGAATTTTGATAGTAAAATTCAATAATTTTCAAGCGTTGTTCGTTCGTAAGTCGATTCATGGTTAAATTATAGACCAAACTGAACAAGTTTGACAATGACACAAGACACGATTCACGCGTCATCTGTCAAAAACAGTGTTGCCAAAAAGATACTAGCACAAAAATCACCCATTATTTATGCAACATTATCAATGACTCGGCTTTTCTGTATGCAGTAGATGGAGAAGAGGAGTTTTCAATTTGGTTCCAAGCATTGACTTAGAGGCTCTGTCGGCCTTCTTGTCCTCTAATATTTTCGCATAGCCGCGCACTTTTACATTACATAAATGCATCTTTTCATTAGCAGTAAAATTCGGTTCTCATTTATTCTGATTCCTTTCCATTTTGATAACCCTCTTGAACATATAGAAACTGTAACGTTTTGTTCAACGATTAGGTAATCGCGATTAGAAAGTGGTCCGTGCATCATATTCGAATCTGCCGTTCCTGATCCGGATTCCCCAATCTGGATTAAAGTGTCAAACGATGCATATGGGCATAAGGTTAGTAGAACGATTTTGGGAAATTTCGGTTTTTCTGTCTCTCTCCGGAAATACTTTGAATTCCGGAACCTTTTAAGCGGCATTGTGCTTACCTAAATATAAATACGCAACTGTGCTACAATTTAAGCGACTTTGTATCTCGTACAGACTCCGAGATCCTGATAGTACTGAATACGACGCACACAATGGCAAATATCTTAAAGATGCTGCTAAGACTTTTCGTGGAAAGTACCGACTTTCAGAATACCTTGGATGGGGTTTTCCCTACTGACTTAACAACTTTGAACTTTCACTGTGAGTGCACCTTTAAATCAATTACCGAACTGTCAATGTCAAAACATTCAATAAAAAAACATTTTCATCATGGTGAAGTGCACGAACGAACAACGCTTACGAATAATTAAAATTTACTACCGAAATTCCGAGTCGGTGACTGCAACTTTAGGTAGACAAACAATCCATAGTCTATTAAAAAAAAATTGAGCCCACATATTCGCTGCTCGATTCCACGGCGTTCTCAAGAATTGGGCATCACTCAGACCACGCTATGGCGAATTTTGCGAAGAGATCTTGGCCTGCACGTTTATAAGATCAAGTTAACTGAAGAACTAAAGCCGTTCGATCATATGAAGCAACGTACGTTCTCGAATTGTGCTCTAGAAATGTTGCAAGAAAATGACCAATTTAATCGCAAAATCATCTTCAGTTATGAGGCGCATTTTTGGCTAAATGGCTTCGTCAGCAAACAGAATATGCGTTATTGGTCAGGTGAAAACCCTCATGTGCTTCAAGAAGCACCACTTCATCCACAAAGAATAAATGTATGATGTGGTTTTCATGCCGGTGCTGTCATTGGGGCGTTTTTTCGTTTAGTTGATGAAAATGACCGTCACGTTACAGTCAACGGAGATCGCTACAGAGAGATGTTGCAACGTTATTTTTTGCTCAATTTGACAGGCAAGACACTAATGATATGTGGTATCAACAAGACGCAGCCACAAGCTACACAGCGGGAGAACAATCGACATATTAAACTCAAAATTCCGTGAACGTGTTATATCGAGAAGTGGTCCTATCGAATGGCCGCCTAGATCGTGTGATTTAACACCTCTAGACTTTTTTGTGGAGCTACATTAAATCGTTGGTCTATGCCAACAAGCCGGCGTCGTTAGAGCCAATATTGAACGAGAGATATCTCAAATGCCTTTCGTGTTATTTAAAAATAAAGTTGTCAAGTCCTTAATGGAAAACCGTTTATAAGTACACAAAATAAAAATTACCTATGACTCTTTGATAATTTATGGCAGTATAGAAGTTGCCTCTGACTAGGAACTGGTCGAGTATATTGAGGATCAGAGCCAAAACTACACCTGACCCAGGTACCGGGATAGAGTACATACTTTGACCATTTGAGAATGTGGAGTGGACTGGTTTCACCCAAACTGGCCTGAAATCAATAATATCGTATGTATGGGTGATTCCATGAAAATTGATTAACTTTTGCACACATATCGATAGGGGATCGCTTCTTTATGAGCCTTCTTTCCTTTCCTTACAAAAACTCGGGGTGTTGAAGTTTTAGGAAAAAAATGGAAATTAGTTAATATTTTAAGAACCGCTTGAGATATTTCATTATATTTAGTAAGTAGTGGAAGTTAATGGAGTTGCATATTGTCCAATGCAAAAATAATTTTTAGGTTTAACAGTGGCGTGCGTACGGGTATTGACTTCAATATCTTTTAAGAAAAAAATGGTACGCCAATGGCTTTTTGCCAAATAAAAATTATTTTTGAATTTCCCATTCAACTTAAAAAAGATAAAAACTGTTATATTGTCTAACTTGCAAAATTATTATTAATTTAATTGGAAAAACACATTAGGGGTAATGAACAACAACAGCATAACATTAAAACTAACGAAATGATTACAAAAATTGTTGAAAATGGCCCCCACTTAAGTATGCATTCTTCCGCCCTCCTTGTCAGGAAATTGGGCACTCGTTGAAATATCCCTGGAGTGTTTTGTATTCTATCACAAGCTGCAACTATTATTTCTCTTAATTCCTCTACAGTGTTAATGGGACTTGTGTACACTAGTGTCTTAAGATAACCCCACAAAAAGGAAATCTAAACTGTTGAGGTCTGGGGACCTTGGTGGCCATTCTTGGGCCCACCGCAGCCAATCCAACGATTTGGATAAACAGTTTGTAAATAATTATGAACCGGTACACTAATATGCGCTGGTGCACCATCATGCATGAACCACATATTGTTTCTTATTACTAACGGAACATCATTAAGTAGCAAAGGCAACTGTTGTTGAAGAAAATTGAGGCAAGTCTGTCCGTCAAGTCGTCCCAGCAATAAGAATGGGCCAATAAAGTGGTTGCCAATAATTTCTGTCCATACGTTAACCGAAAAGTGGTGTTGGAAATGGGTTTCGGTTACGGCATAGGGATTTTCTTCTGCTCACAAATGATTATTGTGGAAATTCTGAATGGCATTTCGAGAAAAATTAGCTTCGTCCGTGAACAGAATCATTGATTCAAATTGCGGATTTTGTGTAATTTTTTGAATATACCACTGTCAAAAGTCACACGCCTTGGAAAATCAATGGGACTGTACTCTTAAAATATGGTAAGTATATAACAAAAAACCACTAAAATTCTCCAAACAATTTGATGGCAAATATTTAAGTGTCTAGCGATCTACCTCGTACTCGTTTCAGGATGTTCTTCGACTTCGTTCAGCACTGCTTCCTCAATTTCAAGTGTTCTCACACTTAGAGGTCTACTTTCAGATGTTCCTTTTCGGACAGAACCAGTTTCAACAAGACGACGATGAATATTAGAAAAGGTTCGACTATCTGGCAAAGCATGATCGGGATATCTCTGGTGATAAATCCGCCGGCTTGCTCACCATTACGCAATGCATTTCCGCCATTTCTGCATTTGAATAATTCACCATTAACCAGTGACATATACCAGAGCAACTAGGTATTTATTTAAATTACAACAATTATTACAATAATTTTCTCGGACAATAGAACGGTTTTTATTTTTTACTTAAAAATGGCGAATCGAAGGAAAAAAATTTTAGAGAGATCAATTGTTTTAATTTGAACGGGGAATCCAATTCCATTTTCAACAATTTTTGTAATCATTTGGTTAGTTTATGTTATGCTGTTGTTGTTCATTACCCCTAATGTGTTTTTCCAATTAAATTAATAATAATTTTGCAAGTTAGACAATATAACAGTTTTTAATTTTTTTAAGTTGAACGGGAAATTCAAAAATAATTTTTATTTGGCAAAAAGCCATTGGCGTACCATTTTTTCTCAAAAAATATCGAAGTCAATACCCGTATGCACGCCGCTGTTAAAGCTAAAAATTATTTTTGGATTGAAAAATATGCAACTTTATTAACTTTCACTACGTACTAAATATCAGTGAAATATCTGAAGCGGTTCTGAAAATATTAATTAATATCTATTTTTTTCCTAAAACTTCAAGACCCCGAGTTTTTGCAAGGAATCATTTTTAGACCACAGTTTATGAAGCAAACTGACATTGATTTTCCATGTAGATTCACACCCTTTAATATTCCCATATCCTTAAGGAACACCTTGTAAATTGATGTCATTTAGCCAAAGAGAATAGAATATAAATTATGACGACAAAATATACTAACAAGATTTATGAGCTTCTGCGCGTGCCTACATGCAGGCATATTTATCATAATTTCCCCCATTACCAGTTTCACCGCACGTTATTCCCTCATTCTATCGAAATGTATTTCCAGGAAGTGAATGGAAACAGCGGTCCCCTGTTACCCACTCATGCGTACTGGAGATGTGCTGAAGATTAGTCTGAGCGGTGCTCCGCTCATGGTACTGAGACTCGATCTGTCTACTTATTTCATATGGCGTTGTTGACGTAACTGCCAAGAGCGGTGACTACAACTACAACTATTACATCTTAACTAACCCGGATACATCGATAAAATGCTATAGTATCTGGACCTATACTCCATGTTTCAAATGTATTTTCCTACAAAATACTGCTAAGGATCAGAACTCACTTATAATTTTTCATATCGTTAACGGTCAGGATTCCGCCGCGTTCTTGAACATCTTTAACGAACTCATTTGTCAGAACTCCGTCGTGCAGAGCCATTCCACCTTCTTTAGCGATTATCCTTAACGTTTTCGCTAATCGAGGCCTCTTCATTATTTCACCCTCCTTGTAGATTTTCTTCGTTTGAGGATTCATTGCCAGCTCCCTGAAAGCTATTGAGCATAGTAATATGTTCTGTACGTAGAGTTATGAGAAACATAAGAAATCTTAAAAAAGAGCAACTAGATACTAGAGTCTTGGCAATCACAAACGTTACAGTTAACCTCATTTGACATTTACTTCATTTAGATCATTGACTTGAAGTCAAAAAAAAGGCAAACGTTAACGCTTACGTAAACTGTATTTGGGGTTACTGACTCTTTCTATTTTCATAGTGAATACCAAAATGTCTGTATACCCCAATAGCCCGCTCATTGTAGGTATGTAGATGATTTACTAAACACCGTCAATCTTAGAATTGAATTTTCGATTGGCCATTTTCTGTTATTTTTAAGAACCATCATTCAAAATGTTTCTTCCGATAATTACGTAATATTCATTTTTCTATCTTTACCCTTTATAATGTTATACTTTGAGGTTTAAACATGTATTGTTCACTTAACAAGTTAAAAATGTAAGACTATCTAAATTTCCTCAAAATTGCGCTATACAGCTGCTTTCCAGTTTTTTATGGGCAAAATGATACTTTTTCAATATTGGCCCGCGACTCGAAAATATTGAAAAATGAATCTTGAAAATAACACTCAAATTTGTTCAGCGATCGAAACATTCTCAAATTGAATGAATGTTTTACGCTGACCATTTACGATTTTAAAAACACCATACTCGTAATTACGAAAGTTGGACAAACCACGGCCATGATTTTTTTGACCCCACGCGTGGAAATTGTACATACGCCACTGGATATGTACGTTCAAACAGCTCGTGGAGAGTAAATATCAGTCTTGTCAAGTTGTAATTTCAGCATTTGTTTTTCAACCACACTAAGGCATACCTGGTAACCGCACCTCCAAGGAGTCTCTCTTCATGTAAAGATTTCGCAAGGAATCCTCCTACTGGGAAGCCTTTTTCGCAAAGATCTATTGATGGTTGGAGTATATCAGCCCATGGTACACCTCGACCTAATCTGTTATATAGGGTCCAGTAGCCTATGAGTTCTCCTGGTACAGCTACAGCTAAACCGCCTGGAAATTGATTAGACATATGATGGCTTAAAACGTATATTCAAATAATCGATCCCAAATTCTGAATTTATCAAAACATTATATTTCAAATAAATTAAATCATCAAGGACCAGTATTAGGTCCGATCCTATTCTTAGTCTAGACTGAAAACCAAACTTGTCTGACAGCTTGAGTCCAATGTGTACGAGAGAGAAGTGCTTATGGACACATATGTTAGAAAGAGATAGAAGTAGGCTTATCAACATGTTACACCATTTCCTTGAATTAAGATGCATTTTTAAGATATGCATTAGTTTACTCTCCACGCCCAAATAATGGTTTTATTTTGAGCGTACACATTTTTAAATTGTATCGAATCTGATTCCTGATAGGTCCTAACGGCGCTCCATTTCGGATCGTAACAATAACTCAGCATGTGTTGATTTATAGGTACCCTGTATAAATACTAAGATATTTTGGCATATATTTTAGAGCAGCTCAAAATCGATGGTAATTAAATCATTGTGAACTCAAATTTATCTGAATATCTTCAAAACTGGCGGTGGTGCGAGCCGTGAAAGCTGGGCATCTTCTCAGACATTGGCAATCGGAACCATATGTTATATGGTATCAAACTATTTGTTTTTAGAAGCTCTATCCAAATATGCAATAAAATATAGTCGTTCAAGGAATACATGTTTTCTATGGCACGAAGTTGTGCATCACCCTGTATGTATTAAAATAATTTTAAAATATGCACTAGTAACATATCGAGCTTGCCACGCAAGCAGATTTGTGATATCTTTCCCAGTTTGCTCATAAAACCACTTTCCATTTTTGTTGAGACTCCCTGTATACCATTTTTGGGAAAAAATGGCAGATTTGGACGTCTACGGGGAACGGGGGAGCTCCCCCCGCCCCATCTAAATGCGTCCTTGGTGAGTAACGTTGGGTATCGAATAAAATGATGAGTAAGTCTGTACATTGGTCCAAACTTCTGTCACACCATTATTATCCTGACGTCCGAATGTCATACGTCAAACTGTCAGAATCAAGAAATTTATGTGTGTTTATCATTTGTCCATATACGAGGTAATTGATAAAACTCAATGCTTTTTATATCTCCCAAATCCTAAAAACAGGAATCCCACCAAACGCATAGGACTCAAGTTGGCGTTGATAGAACCTTTGACAGAATGTCGCCTCTGGTAGAACTCTGTGCTTCTGTGGAATGCGTGTATTTTCAAATTTGCCCCCCTGGGTACGCCCATGTATGTACATTACCAAATTGCGAAGCGAAGCGATTTCCATTGTACATGTCCTCGTAGGCGTTTTCGGGCGCTGTTTCTCTGGCGTTTAGACACGTAACCTCGTTGGTACTTTTCTGATAATGGGTTAAGAGGAACCCGCCTCCCAAGCCCATGCATTCTGGTATGGTCACACCTTCGCAGAATAAAACAGCAATTGCGGCGTCTGCCGCTGTACCACCTTTTTCCAAAATTGACCTAAGGAAGATATAATTTCTAAATTACCGTGTGATGAAACACTGTTTTTATAGTAGGTAGATGATAAATGGAACAGAAAAAATGAGGTCAAGTAAATTAACCCATACACGTATACGAGCCCCTTCCCACTTCAGTTGGCCCACTTCAAGATTTGTACCAATATATGCCTTTATAAACTAAACATGACGAAACTATTTACTTCTAAAACAATTTATTTTCTCAAAAACATTTTAGATACACTCTAGTCGTAAAGAATACATATTTGAAATCACTTAGACCTATAACTAATAGAACATCTGAACAAATAAACAATGTTCGAATAAATGCGCGAAGTTAACAAAGCAACAATTGAAAGATTACCATTGGGTAACATCACCTTTATTTTTTATTACGGCTGAAATTCTTTGGGGCATAGTGTTAACCAAGTTTTGGCAAAAATTTGGTGTAAAACAATCCCATGTTTCTTGAAGCTTTTGTCTCAGTTCGGTGATTGTACGAGCAGGATGTTACGTAGAACCTTTTTCATCTCGTGCCACAAAGTTTCAATAGGTGACAGATCTGGACTGCTAGAAACCCATTTCAAAAGTTTTTCATCCATCCCATTTTATAGCCTTTTTTGAGGTATGGTACGCTGCACCATCTTGGTGAAACACAAAATCTTGGCCGGATGTCGAACATTCTTCCATCACTGGTAAAAGCGATTCTTCTAAAATTGCCAAAGATTTGTTTGTATCCTCATTTCCATCAATAAAATGAAGTTTTCCTACTCCTTTTGATGACATACTGCCCCAGACCATAATGGATGCTGGAAATTTCACTTTTCTCTTCAGACAGTCAACATGGAATGTTTAATTTTTTTGCGAATAACTCGACTGCGACTGTCACCAACACAAACTTCGAATCGGGCCTCATCACTCCATTGTATTGCACACCATTGTTCAGATGTCCCTTTTCTATGTTCTTTAGCCCATCTAAGCCGATTTTTCTTTTGCAGTGGAGTTAATAGTGGCTTTTCTTTGGCATATAAACAAGTTGTGCAACTTTAGGGTTTTTACTTCACTTTTTTTATAAGAAAACTTACCTTGCAAGTGCTAAATCCCAGTTTGTGGGCCTCTGTATGAGTTGTGGACCTCGAAATTCTCCTTCCAACAGCGCTACTCCACAGAGCACTTAATTGTAAATAAGTGGCACGCCTGTTTTTCACGATTATTCTTCTTAATGCTCTTCGGTCGGCATTTGTGATATTACTTTTTTTCACATATCCTGAACCAGTTACGTTATCTCTTCTAACAATATTTCTCACACTGTACCGTGATAAGTCTATCAAAGTTGCAATTTCTGAGTTTGATTTCCCAGAATTAAAAAAAATTTATTATCAGTAACCGAATTTTCTCACTAATAACTTTTCCTCTACCCATTTTGAAAACCTTAACTACCCAAAACTGTTTTAAACGAATTCTGACAGCTGTGATTAATAAAAACAATTGTCATGACTTTTAATTTTCACAGCCACCTATGCGTTATAGACTTATTTTGCATTGAAATGAAAATATGTTGATATGCTGTAATTGCAACATGTATTATTTTTATGCTGCAAATTTGATTTGGGAGTGATAAGGTTGGTGTTTTCTACTATATATTATTAAAATATTCAATGTTAATATTTTAAACCTATAACACTCGGCTACATTTTTATTATTTGTGTTTGATAAGAAAAATAATAAGATTTCAATAGTTGGGCCAACTGAAGTGGGAAGGGGCTCGTCCAGCTAGGACTTTCATTTATAAGTAACTAGTAACTGGTAACTTACACGTCGGTTCTAAAATAGCGGCATCACTATTACAACAATATCGGAGTTGTCTATGTTATCTCAGTTATGGGCAGTGTCTTCTGCTACCGAGGCTTCACGAATGCATGCAGATCGTTTTTAAGAATCCTTCGTTATTTCTTTTTTTGGGCCAAATGAAACGTTGTAGTGTATAAAACCGAGGTTGATGAACTACTAGTGCTAATTTGGCTATCTGGTGAATGTATCCGGGAAAGGCAGTGAATTCCAAAGCATACGCCGATGCTTGGCTATTTCGAGCACATAAACTGTGAAACTGTTGCAGACAACTTTGAACAATACGTACAAGTGACAGAGCTGTACTTGAAATTTCTTTTAGGTGAATCGTGAGTACTTTTTCATTTATTTTTATTTCGTTATTCTTTCACAGCATATTTGTTTTGTTACTACAAATGTTTTTTGAATATATATATATATATATATATATATATGTATATACAGGGTTATCCAAATTAAGCGTCCACCATTAGTAACTTTGTTATTAGTGAAAATACAAAGTTGTTTGAATTAGCAAACTAGTAGCATTTTTAACGCTGGTAAAAATGAGAAATAAAAAAAACAATTGAGAGTCGTTATTTTGATTTTTTTCAGTAAAATAACATTTTTTTAAATGGAAACCCCTGTATATTATATTTTTTTCTGTTAAAGCATCAAATTTTAAACAAAAAAGTTCATAATGACTTTTCCGCTAAAGTCAAAAATAAAGTCAAAATAACGATAAATATTTTTAATTATTTGCAGTATTATAATATTAAGACGGCTATGAAAACAACATGGCGTTCGCGATTTGACAGCATTAAGATAAGCGACAAATTGTTAAACTGGACATACTCGCAACTAGAAGGCTTTGGAAAACAATGATAAAATCAAATAATGTCAAACATTAGTGTAAATACTTGTTTATAAGCTTTATTGTGTCATTAATTTAAAGAAAAATGTTCTCCCATGAAGAAAAGTGTGATATGTTAGAATGCTATTTAGTGTGCAGAAAATCCTCCTTGAGAGCAAGAGAATACTACAGTGAATTATATCCCGCTCGCATTCAACCGTATGAACGATATTTTCTGAGACTTTATCGAAAATTTAGGGGCAACGAAAATGTTTTTGCTAAAACAAGGGCAAAAAAAGAATTCACAATAAGCGAGGCCACGGAAATTGCAGTTATTGGATATTTTGAAGCTTATCGTGAGAATTCAATAGCAGATATTCTCAAGGACTCTAATTTCAGTTATGGTACTGTTCAAAGGATTTTAAAAAAATACAAATTTATTCCGTATAAGTACCGACCAGTTCAAACGCTTTTGGCAGGGGATCCAGAGAGAAGACTTGTTTTTTGCCATTGGTATCTTAGCTTCTGTCGCCAAAATGTAAATAACTTTCGTTACCTTTTATGGACAGATGAATCAAATTTTTCAAATTCTGGAATGTTTAATAGAAAAAACCACCATTATTGGTCAAGAGAAAATCTTTTGTTAGTACATCCAAGAGGCCCACAAGTCCGTTTCAGTTTCAACGTTTGGTGCGGTATAATTGGTTCAAAAATTGTTGGCCCGTTCTTTTATGAGGGAACCCTAACTGGTGAAAGATATGTGGAATTTATGTCAGAAATTCTGACTAATTTCTTAGACGAATTGGATCTTATAAGTAGACATCATCTGCATTTTCAGCAAGATGGCGCACCTGCCCACAACTCCAGAGGTACTTATCATTTTCTAAGTACTACTTTTAATGATCAGTGGATAGGAACAAATGGCCCAATACAGTGGCCTCCCAGATCACCAGATCTAAACCCACTTGATTACTTCTTGTGGGGTTACTTAAAGAACCAAATTTACAAGCGAAGGTACGATAACCTTGACGCGTTAAAGACTGCAGTTAGGGAAAAGATAACCCAGATAGATGGTAGGACCATACTTAAGACAGTTCGAGCAGTTGAAAAACGTGCCCAAAAATGTATTGAAGAACAAGGTGGTGTTTTCGAGCATCTTCTTTAAAAAAAATTGTTATTGTATTTTGTAAGATTATAAGTTGATGTTGAAAATAAAGTTTGTCGATACAATTTAATTGTTTTAGATTGGAGGTCATAACTTCAACAATTTGTAACCTAGGAGAAAAGTTATTGTAAGCTTTTTTGTTTAAAATTTGATGCTTTAACAGAAAAAAATATAATATACAGGGGTTTCTATTTAAAAAAATGTTATTTTACTGAAAAAAACCAAAATAACAACTCTCAATTGTTTTTTTTTACTTCTCATTTTTACCAGCGTTAAAAATGCTACTAGTTTGCTAATTCAAACAACTTTGTATTTTCACTAATAACAAAGTTACTAATGGTGGACACTTAATTTGGATAACCCTGTATATACAGGGTGGCCAAACACGTGACGTCATAAAAAAAAATTAGATTCCCCACATCGAGAGGAACCCAAATCACCCCCATATATATGGTCCGATTTTGTTTAGTTTAGGAGTTATGATTTTTTTTTCGGATTTTTCGAGAATTTTTGAGTTCTGTGTTTATTTTTACCATAACTTCGTTAATAATTGTGATAAATGCCTGCTTTTTTCACGATTATGTAGCTAAGACCTAAGGCTTAACTATCATATAATCATTCAAGTCATGTAACTAATACTACTTTTTAATTTTTTTCAAAATCTTCGAACATAACAAAAAAGTAAAAAATGCAGCAACTTTGAACGTTTATAAAAAATTGAAAAAACATGTTCTTACTATTCGTAAGTATCTTAAAAACTTCCTTACGGTATCAGCTATTTACCGTAAAAATTTCATCAACCTAGCTTTACTACATGCTACCGTAATTGTGGCTCAAATAGAACCGAACCCAAAATTGGATAACCCTCTGCTCAATAGAAATTGTTAGTTTCGGAAAAAAAATTTGCAAAAACCACAAAAACACGTTTGATTTTTACTGAACAGCAGATTATTATTCATTTATGTTATTTACAAGAGGTTTTCAAAATGTCTGCCTCTAACAGAAATGCACAGTGTACACCTACGTATGAAATTTTGTTTTAAATCTCTAAATGCTTGTGTGTTGTTTTTCAACACATGTGTCGCTTCTTGAATTTTGTTCCTCAATGAATTTTCATTTGCACATTCTTGGGCGAATGTTATGTCTTTAAAATATTCCCAAACAAAAAAATCAATGGGGTTGAGGTCAGGGGAGCGTGGAGGCCATCGTATCGGTCCGTTTCGTCCGATCCATCTGTCTGGGAACCTTTCGTTTAAGTAGTTTCGCACGATCGTTGCGTTGTGGCATGGTGCACCATCATTCTGGAACACCATGTTCCGTCTGACTTCCAGGCTTGAATCTTCCAGCAATAATGGTAGGCTATTTTCAAGGAACGGCGCTTTAGCAGCTCAGCTGTACCGGGAACAACTTATACGCCGAGGCGGACCACAACCTGAGCATTACCCAGACCACCGTGTTTTTATTAACACACATAACACTTTCATGGCAGGCCGCATTCCAGGACGAGGAACCAATGAAGGATATCCTTCAGCTGATCCGGATCGCAGAGAAGTAGTACTTGAAGAAATTAGCCGGAATCCCTCAACGAGTACGAGATCTATGGCACAAAACCTTAGAATACCACGAACATCGATACAAAATATTCTTCATGAAGAAGGTTATCATGCCTATCATGTTCAAAGAGTTCAAGCGTTGATGCCTTCAGATTACCAGTTAAGAGTGGATTTCTGCGAGACAATGCTGCGAAGACAACGAGAGGATCCCGATTTTTTTGATAAAATTTTATGGACTGACGAGTCACGTTTTGAAAGAACAGGGATATTCAATATCCATAATTTACATACTTGGGCTGTTGAAAACCCCCACCACTCAAGGCCGTCGACATTTCAACACCGTTTTAGTGTGAACATGTGGTCAGGAATATTCAATATGGAATTTATCGGTCCATTTGAACTGCCGTCAAGGTTGGATTCGGTAGCCTACAAAAGCTTCCTTGAAAATAGCCTACCATTATTGCTGGAAGATTCAAGCCTGGAAGCCAGACGGAACATGGTGTTCCAGAATGATGGTGCACCATGCCACAACGCAACGATCGTGCGAAACTACTTAAACGAAAGGTTCCCAGACAGATGGATCGGACGAAACGGACCGATACAATGGCCTCCACGCTCCCCTGACCTCAACCCCATTGATTTTTTTGTTTGGGGATATTTTAAAGACATAACATTCGCCCAAGAATGTGCAAATGAAAATTCATTGAGGAACAAAATTCAAGAAGCGACACATGTGTTGAAAAACAACACACAAGCATTTAGAGATTTAAAACAAAATTTCATACGTAGGTGTACACTGTGCATTTCTGTTAGAGGCAGACATTTTGAAAACCTCTTGTAAATAACATAAATGAATAATAATCTGCTGTTCAGTAAAAATCAAACGTGTTTTTGTGGTTTTTGCAATTTTTTTTTCCGAAACTAACAATTTCTATTGAGCAGAGGGTTATCCAATTTTGGGTTCGGTTCTATTTGAGCCACAATTACGGTAGCATGTAGTAAAGCTAGGTTGATGAAATTTTTACGGTAAATAGCTGATACCGTAAGGAAGTTTTTAAGATACTTACGAATAGTAAGAACATGTTTTTTAAATTTTTTATAAACGTTCAAAGTTGTTGCACTTTTTTACTTTTTTGTTATGTTCGAAGATTTTGAAAAAAATTAAAAAGTAGTATTAGTTACATGACTTGAATGATTATATGATAGTTAAGCCTTAGGTCTTAGCTACATAATCGTGAAAAAAGCAGGCATTTATCACAATTATTAACGAAGTTATGGTAAAAATAAACACAGAACTCAAAAATTCTCGAAAAATCCGAAAAAAAATCATAACTCCTAAACTAAACAAAATCGGACCATATATATGGGGGTGATTTGGGTTCCTCTCGATGTGGGGAATCTAATTTTTTTTTATGACGTCACGTGTTTGGCCACCCTGTATATAATAAATCGCATGCATAATGGTGCATCAGCGCATTCCAGTGTAGCGGTTCGTAATTATTTACAAACTGTTTATACAAATCGTTGGATTGTCCGCAGTGGGCCCCAAGAATGACCACCAAGATCGCCAGACGTCAACAGTTTAGATTTCTCTTTGTGGGACTATCTTAAGACACTAGTGTACACAAATACCGTGAAGACTGTAGAGGGATTAAGAGAAAGAATAGTTGCAGCTTGTGATAGAATAAAAAACACTTAAGGGATATTTCAACGAGCGCGCAATTCCATGAGAAGGAGGGCGGAAGCAGGCATACTGCAAGTAAAGGCGGCAATTTTCAACAATTTTTGTAATCATTTCGTTGGTTTTAATGGTATGTTTATGTTGATAGTTGTTTTTGTTCATTACCCCGAATGTGTTTAATTTTTCCAATTAAATTAACAATAATTTTGCAAGTTAGACAATAGAACGGTTTTTATTTTTTTACTCAAAAATGGCGCATCGAAGGAAAATAATTCAGGAGAAACCATTTGTTTTAAATTGAACGGGGAATTCCAAAATAATTTTTAATTGGCAAAAAACTATTGGCGTACCATTTTTTTCTTAAAAAATATCAAAGTCCATACGCACCCCACTGTTAAAGCTAAAAACTACTTTTGCATTGAAAAATGTATAGCTTCATTAACTTTCACTACGTACTAAATATCAGCGAAATATCTGAAGCGGTTCTAAAAATATTAATCAAATTCCATTTTTTTCATAAAACTTCAACACCCCGAGTTTTGTAAGGAAACATTTTTGTACCATAGTTTATGAGGCAAACTAACATTATTTTTTCGTTAGATTCACAGCCTTAAGTATTCGCATATAACGCATCCACCATTTTTTAATGTCGAGTACACCGACGACCAGATTTGATCGGGAACTCGAAAAAGATGCAGAAACGAGGTTAAGAAGTAACTTTACATCAATTTTTATTTCACAAATCATCCAAAATAAGTTTTATCTGTCATGGCAATATTTCCGCGATCATGATAAATGATAAACGCAAATTCACGAGACGACAGTTTCATTAGCCACTTATATCAGATGCTGATTTATTTTGCGATTTCACAAAATGCCATTACATATATGTGACAGAAGCATGTTAGCATTGACTAGCGTATTCTCCAAGAAGATGTCAAAGACTGTTTTGACATTTTGTAAAATCTAAGAATTTGTTGCTCGAAATTGAATTGCAACATAAATCAGCTACACCGGTAAAGTGATATGAGTGGTTGGCACGGTCGTCTAGTGAATGTGTGTCATGTTGTCATTTATCATGAACGTAGATATATTCCACTTTCGAGTTATAGTTTTTTTTGAACGTTTTGTATCATGAAAACCGATGCAAAGTTACTTCTAAGCCTATTTTTTGTATCTTTTTCGAGTTCTAGAACATCGCAGTGCTTGAACTCAAAAAAGGGTGAATGTGTTATGCACTAATTCAACTTCAACCATCTTTATTTTACAATCTTTAGGGTTCAGGAGGCTATACCCATTGAGACATTTGTTCAGGACGTTGAGATATACATCATATTCGAAATTCAACCAATTTAACGTAAGTCCGATTTCCATAAGAAAATTGCGTGATTATTTAGGGGTGAAGGTACATCTAATGACGTTTTCAGCCTAGGCGATAAATACTACTAACCTTTTGAGGCAAATTTTCAACTTTCCCTCCTTATAACATACTTCAAGCATCACCACAGTGTCGAAAAAGCATTGAAGACCTTTTTTGTAGCAAATTTTCTACTTACGTGTTTTATACTCTTAGATTTTTAGTTTAGTGATTATAGGCGGAAATATCATTACTTGTATCTATCCTCTAATTTCTCGTAATATGTTGACTATATGACAAATTTCTATAGAAGCAAAATGATGAAGAATTTAATTCCCCATAAAACTGTTCTAATTACTTTCAACGAATCTGCATGTTGCCAGGCCTAAAATTGCGTCAAAAATTGCTTGACCGATTTTAAGCAAATTCCAAAAATTGTTTTATTCGCCCCGGTGAGTGTTTTTAGGCATTTAATGACATTCTGAACACAAAAAGGTGCATTAAGGCTTTTCTCTAAGGTCGATAGTTTTCTGAATAAACGTTAAAAAACAAAAGTTCATTGTGCCTCCAAAGGCATGTATCTAACACAAAGGAACAATGGCAAAATTGCGTTTTAGTAAGTCTTATAGTTTTAGAAATCTTCACCATTTATTTTTGTTTGATTTCGTGTCATTTGTACAAATAACAACCTGTTTGGACCAGGTTTACGCTGGAACAGGCGTGTAGATATTACTAATAGTTGGTTATTAGCTTTAGGAACTAATTCGCATGGTGATTGTTGATCACACTTGATTCTCTCATACTACAAAATACCAGATGTAAAAACGGATTTTCATTAAAACTTAGACTTTGGAAAAATTTGCATGGGCTTCTAACGATCTCAAGAAGAAGATAATGCTGGTTGGGAGAAATTATGATTTGAACTGATGATTTTGTATTAAAAAATATTTGTCATTAAAAAATTAAATTCAAACCTATGAGACTTTTATTAAGACAATATTCTACCATATTGTAGGTCATGATCTATTTGCAGTTGCAGAAATATCCTTCATTTTCTAGACATTTCTTGGAAACGCGGTTTTAATAAGCGATGAAGTCCGTAAGAGCGACCCTCCCAATTTTAAAGAGCTGAATAAGCAAAAAATGTATGCCCTTACTTTCCAATTTCAGCACATATTTCTACGTTCGAAACAACAGCTCCTTTAGCAGCCTTGCCCAATGTCGGTAGTGTGAGGAGGATTGTTACTGTTAATACTAACACACCTAAAAGGATCAATGAGATTAGCATGAGTAGTTTCCATTTCGATCTGAAAAAAATTAAAAATCAAAATTCAAGCAAACGTGGTTTTTACTGGTTGGGGTTGACCAAACCTTCATTAATGAAGAAACAACTATGTTCTATAGATCCTGGCAGTTTTTTCGATCTCTCAGATACATAAAAATACTCTCGAAAAAAGTAATAATTATCGTTATCACTACTTCCAAATGGTTTGCTCAACCCTATTTCGAAACTAGGAGCATTTTTATATCCTACCTCACAAAATTCGAAAGCAACATATTAAAACGGTTTTTATTTAATCACGTTAAGGTCAACACTGGATGTAAGTAATAATACAATGACAGTCTCCATAAGAAAAGGTATGATAAGATATCTTTTAATGGAGTACTTCTTATCAGGATTCATAATTATTGTTGCCATAAAGCAATTAAATAAATCTTATAATTCTACCTGGCAGGTTAAATATGGTCATATTAGGAGATATAATTATATACAACTATAATTTAGCTTAGTACATACGTGTTCGATCGAAATTAAAAATAGACAGACTTTGCTGTCACGATGACATGGGAGATTTTGGTTTATATGACATAAAAGTCTACGAGCCCGTTCCCAAGCTTTTGTCTCATTTCGGTGATTGTACGAGCAGGATGTTGTCGTAGAACCTTTTTCATCTCGTGCCACAAAGTTTCAATAGGTGACAGATCTGGACTGCTAGAAACCCATTTCAAAAGTGGTACATTATTTTCTTCCATCCATTTTATAGCCTTTTTTGAGGTATGGCACGCTGCATCATCTTGCTGAAACACAAAATCTTGTCCGGATGTCAAACATTCTTCCATCACTGGTAAAAGCGATTCTTCTAAAATTGCTAAATATTTGTTTGTATCCACATTTCCATCAATAAAATGAAGTTTTCCTACTCCTTTTGATGACATACTGCCCCAGACCATAATGGATGCTGAAAATTTCACTTTTCTCTTCAGACATGTCAACATGGAATGCTTAATTTTTTTTGCGAAAGCTCTACTGCGACTGTCACCAACACAAACTTCGAATCGGGCCCACTCACTCCATTGTATTGCACACCATTGTTGAGGTGTCCATTGTCCATGTTCTTTAGCCCATCTAAGCCGATTTTTTTTGGCAGTGGGGTAAATAGTGGCTTTTCTTTGGCCTATAAACAAGTTGTGCAACCAGTTACGTTATATCTTCTAACAATATTTCTCACACTGTACCGCGATAAGTCTAACAAAGTTGCAATTTCTGAGTTTGATTTCCCAGAATTAAAAAATTTAATTATCAGTAACCGAATTTTCTCACTAATAACTTTTCCTCTAACCATTTTGAAAACCTTAACTACCCAAAACTGTTTTAAACGTATTCTGACAGCTGTGATTAATAAAAACAATTGTCATGACTTTTATTTTTCACAGCCTCCTGTGCATTATAGACTTATTTTGCATTGAAATGAAAATAGGTTGATATGCTGTAATTCCAACATGTGTTATTTTTACGTTGCAAATTTGATTAAGGAGTGATAAAGTTGGTGTTTTCTACTATATATATATATATTACCAAAATATTCATTGTTAATATTTTAAACCTATAACACCCTGCTACATTTTTATTATTTGTGTTTGATAAGAAAAAAAACTAAGATTTCAATTGTTGGGCCAACTGAAGTGGGAAGGGGCTCGTATATTCGAGTTTCTAGGTAGTATCGATGGTGTAGCGCACAAATGCGGTAAGTCCAAAATGCTACTTTTGCGCTACACAATAAAATAACTTTGACTCAAAAGTAAAATTGATTAGCGACTTATTACTGAAGAAATGAATATTAAAGTTGGCAATTCGAATATTTCTATGTATATTACATACTCTTTGATCAGGGTAGGAAAAACATTAGACAAATAAAAAAAATGATTTATTTGTCATCACTTAACACATTTGTACCATATTGCACTAAAGCCGGTGTCCCTCAGGGTTCGGTTCTTGGACCAGTCTTTTATTCGCTTTTTATTCATGACGTCCCTTGCCCCAGCAACTGTAAAACCTATCTCTATGCTAATAACACTGCCCCGGTGGCCCAGTCGTGCTCTGGGGATCTAGTTCACGACAGGCTGCAAAATGCAGTGGACGAGGTATTGGAATGGGCGAATCGGTGTCTGATCAAAATTAATCATTCGAAAACGCAGGCAATCTATTGTACTAAAAAACGTAGCGACGCCCCGTCTGACGTTTCAGTGAATGGGGCTCGGGTACCATGGGAAAGCTCTGCTAAGTATCTCGGTGTCACTCTTGGCAAGGGGATGACCTGGCAGAAGCACACTAAAGCATTAAAAACTAAATTCCAAATCTCGTTTCGGCAACTCTACGCTATGCTATGTAGAACATCAAAATTAAGTTTGATCAACAAAGTTTGGCTATACAAGATGGTTATTAGACCAGCGATCACTTACGCAAGTGCGGCTTGGTGTTTTCTTGCCAAAAAGCATTTGCGTAGCCTGCAGGTTTTGCAGAACAAAACCTTGCGTACAATCACTAACGCCCCATGGTATGTTTCCAACGAGACCCTTCACAGAGACCTTGACATCCCTTACCTAAGGGACTACATCAAACAACAAGCGCGGCTACGTTATAGTCAAGCGGAATCGCATAACAACCCTTTGTTGCGCGAGTCAGTAGACCACACAGTCGAGCAAGTTCGCAAGCACACACGGCCGCGACTCGCACTGTGAACAAAATTAAATCGTGCGACTTTAGGTCCAACCAAAATTATAAATTTTCCTCAACAACCAATCCCAAAATTAATTTTAGGATCAATTTAAAATTGCCGAATACTAACTAGCAATGTCAAGGCACCCCTCAAATTGATGCACTTCTTTTTTCTTTGCTCTCCCTCGTTCCTTCCTTCTTTTCTTCTTCCCTTCTTTCTCCCTGACTTTGTTTGGTATCTGGGCAACCAGACCTGATAGACCTACTGACTTACAAGACTTCAACCAAGAGCAAACGTCCTACGGACCGCTCTGACAGACAATGACGAATAGAACCATATTGCACTGTTACTCAACACATGCTTTCCTTGTTGATTAAAATAACTGAAATATTTATTACAAACTTGGCCCAACCATGACAGAGATAATAATAAAATAAATAGTTACACAAAGGAGCCAGTCAACAATTTCCAATTTCTCGGTGAATATATGAAGTCATCTCCAGACTGAGAGTGTAGCATAAGCTTTGAAAGATCCGAGACTGAAGGCAGGTTGGTTATTAATAAAGTCTGCCTAATCCAGTGGAATGGTTTCGTGATTAAGGAGATACAAGAGATCAGACTTTTTCTTCTCTGAAATAGGAAGACGGTTAGCATATTTTTTTTAATCGCACTGAATTCCATGACCGCTTGCGGCCTGACCTCCGTTTATTCGTAGACACATTTATTTCATAAAAAAAGTCCACTGATAGGTCATATTTATATTTGATTACGAGTATATTTAGGTTGCGCTTTTCAAAACGCAACCATTTAATACGGATCCAAGATACCTTTTTGCCATTATTGTTCAAATCAAATGCATTCTAGTTGTTGTAAGTCGAGAAAGTCATAATATTGCATGTTATTTACCTGGTATGGTCGTGGCCTGAGTCTACTAGCGTATATTGGCAGTGGCGAAGCGTCCATTCAACCGTTGTTACCATTGGTAACAGTTAAAAATCTTGAAAATAAAAATATTTTATGACTAAGTACTGTGAAATAATTTCATTTATTTGTTTACCAACAGCTATATGTAATAGTAATTCAGTAAATAGCAAATTAGCCCCACGAAAATAATGCGCCCTATAGTGTCTAGGTTTTGCGAACACGATGAAGCTGACTTGCCTCGACTTGGTTGTCGTTGTTACCATGTTCATTTATGGGTACACTTGTAGTCTGTCGGGGACCGTCGGTAGCGGCTCGTGTCTGATCGCGGTCGCCCGGGTGCGTGGGGCGCTGCGACTATTATGTGAGCTTGTTACCATTTTTGATTTGTTACTCACTTCTCACTCGTTAGTAGCCGTTTTGGTTACCGGCTGTAGTATGCGTGCAATTAAACATGGATGAGTGTCACTGCGTAACCGATCAACTACTTGAAAAGTCATTCTCATTGAATAATTTTTAAGAAAAAAAGGAGATCATTGAAAATGGAAGAGCAACGCCTATTTTAGATGATTTTAAAAAGGAATTAAAAAACGTAGTTTGATATTTTAAATTAAGTTGGTATATGGAAACTCTTATTTATGTGGTTGTAACAAAACAGATTGTATTGTTGGCGATGTCTTCTGTTTTATACAGGATAAAATGCAGCGGAGTCAACGATTTAAATAGTTTTAGGGCTCTAAAGAGGAGACTGGAAATTTCTCCGTTACATGTGAGATGTGTAGCCAATTTAATTCAGTTTGGCAAAACAAGAATCGAAAGTTGTCTTAACCAAGCTTTTAGGCAGCTCACTTCTAGATACCGTATGTTTTTTGGCAAAACAGGAATTACCGTTCATTTTGAAGGGGATGACTCTGACAATAGAGGAAATTACCGGGAATTGTTAACATTAATTTCCAAAAAAGATCAAACATTTCGTGAACATCTAGAAGCGTCAACTGTTTTTTCGGACGGCTTGGATCAGTCAAAGCATAAGACGATGAGGTATATCAAGTGCCCCAGACGCTCAGTCCAGGAATGTTTACCTTAATTTAAAAACCACATCTGGTTTTGGTAACAGTTTAGGAAAAGTCACGCGTGGCCACTGCTTTTAGCCCTAAAACACTCACAGATCAAGTTCTTGAACACCAAAATTGGGCAAAGACTTTTAAAGTTACTGCTTTGAAACCACAAAAAATCTGACAATTTACCATATACTTTGATCACCTCTACTCGCTCGACATTGACCTCCAGCCCTGTGACGAATATGCGTTCTGACAAAATGATTTTACTGTTGTCTTTACGTGCAAACTTTTGAGCCAAGCCACTTGACATCATTTATTAATTAATCAAAAAGCATAGGCGTCATTTATCGCCTTGATTATCGACCAAACTGTTATCAGTATCTACGGCAACTTTCCAGTTAATATCTAACCTTTCATATTCATCCGAGCTTCTGTCATGGTGAATGTGTGAAAGGTATGTATCTACCAACGTCTCATTAGCTCTGCAGAAAACAATATTAAATCGCGTGTTCTCGAAGTCATCGCGTGCGAAAGAAATTCAGAAAAAATCACGCCCATCAATCATAGTGTTCGAACCTTGGACCGTTGTGTGATGCATTAGGGCTATCGGGATATTGATCCAGCTGTGTGTTTTGCATTTGAAGGTGTAGCGAAAAAATTGTGTCACGTATATCGCGACTTGGTAACTTGGTACTTTTCGGAACATAGATTGATTTTGTCGAGATACACTGGTCGACTAAAATGGATCGAAGTAGGGTTATTTCATGGTGTCATTATTCAAACAATAGAATCAAGTGTGTCTCAGAGTAAGTTTTGCTCGGGGCAATATTTTACTTGTATTGCAATCGCGAAAGATTTCAAAAATGGGATAATTCGTTTTTTCGATGTTATATGACATCTTTAAGGTAAATGGGACTTTTTTAAATTATTTTATTTTATTTTATTTTATACATAACTGCCCAACCTAACTATTCCAATTAGAGGACAATATAATGGTATCTTTACTTATAATACATACATATAATGTATACATAAAACTAACTTAAAAACAGAATTAGCTATTATAATAGTACCTGAAAAATTCGAAAAGATCTTACTGATACAATCAAAATTAATGTCAGAACTGCTATGGAATTATAATTGTTGCATATAGAATGTGGCGGAGAATGAAATAATACATCGGTACGGGAGGTACTGCAGAAGAAAGTTAGAGTTCTTCTCGTATTTAACCGTGCAATACAGAATTTTAACCTCTGGAGAAGTTCTGGTGCATCCACTCTGTCGTGCAAAAGCTTATGAAAGAATGACAGGCCAGCAGTGGAACGTCTTAACTAACTCTAATTCAAAACGACGCAGCAGAACAAATTGTGTTGTTCTGGATATGTGCCATCGATCTTATAAACAGAGTATTTAAGAAATTTTCTTTGTACATTTTCTAACATGTTTATATAATACGCATAGAAAGAAGCATACTCAAGTTTTGGTCGCACCAGTGAAATAAAAAGAATCCGTGTCGCTCGGGAAGTGACAGGGTGTTGCTTAATAGTATGCGAATATTTAAGGATGTGAATCTACATGATAAATTAATGTTAGTTTGCTTTATAACCTATGGTCCAAAAATGTTTCTTTACAAAGACACTGATATTTAGTACGTAGTGAAAGTTAATAAAGTTGCATATTCTTCGATGCAAAAATAATGTTTAGCCTTAACAGTGGCGTGCATACGGGTATTGACTTCGACATTTTTTAAGAAACAAATGGTACGCCAATAGTTTTTTGCCAAATAAAAATTATTTTTGAATTCCCCGTTCAATTCAAAACAAATGATCTCTATCTTGAATTGTTTTCTTTTCATGCGCTATTTTTGAGTAAAAAAATAAAAACCCTTCTATTGAAAATTAATGTAAGAATTGAAGAATGCAATTTAGCAATAAATACCTAGTTGCTCTGGAATATGTCACTAGCTTTTGACATCTGATAAGTCTATGTTATTCAAATCTGTTCGCTGTGACACCTTTTTCATTATTTAGTTTTTACAATCTTGTTAATAATGATGAATTATTCAAATGCAGAAATGGCGGAAATGCATTACGTATATGGCCTTGCCGACGGTAATGGTGAGCAAGCCAGACGGATTTATCACCAGAGATATCTCGATCATGCTTTTGCCAGATAGTCGAACCTTTTCTAATATTCATCGTCGTCTTGTTGAAACTGGTTCTGTCCAACAAGGAACACCTGAAGGTAGACCTATAGGTGTGAGAATACCTGAAATTGAGGAAGCAGTGCTGCACGAAGTCGAAGAACATCCTGAAACGAGTACCAGGAAGATTGCTAGAAACTTAAATATTTGCCATCAAATTGTTTGGAGACTTTTAGTGGACTTTTTGTTATATCCTTACCATATTTTAAGAGTACATGCATTACTTTCCATTGATTTTCCAAGGCTTGTGACCTTTTGTCAGTGGTATCTTCAAAAAATTACACAAAATCCGCAATTTGAATCAATGATTCTGTTCACAGACGAAGCTAATTTTTCTCTAAATGCCATTCAGAATGTCCACAATAATCATTTGTGGGCAGAAGAAAATCCCTATGCCGTAACCGAAACTCATTTCCAACACCAATTTTCGGTTAATGTATGGGCAGGAATTATTGGCAACCACTTTATTGGCCCATTCTTCTTGCCGGAACGACTTGACGGACAGACTTACCTCAATTTTCTTCAACAACAGTTGCCTTTGCTGCTTGATGATGTTCCGTTAGTAATAAGAAACAATATGTGGTACATGCAGGATGGTGCACCAGCGCATTTCAGTGTAGCGGTTCGTAATTATTTACAAACTGTTTATCCAAATCGCTGGATTGGACGAGGTTGGCCCCAAGAATGGCCACCAAGGTTTCCAGACCTCAACAGTTTAGATTTCTAGCTATCTTAAGACACTAGTGTACACAAGTCCCATTAACACTATAGAGGAGTTAAGAGAAAGAATAGTTGCAGCTTGTGATAGAATAAAAAACACTCCAGCGATATTTCAACGAGTTTTAATGTTATGCTTATGTTGTCGGTTGTTGTTGTTCATTTAATGTTAGTATATTTATACACGTCCAAGCTCGATTATTCTACGCACCTACATATTTGCAATATCACAGATTGCCCCGTACATTTGCCCTTAAAACTTAGAAATCAATAATTTTTTTTGTAAAAAAAAATATTATTGAACTCCACTTTTATTAATATTCGCTTCTCTTGTACAAAATGCATTTTTTGGCAAAAAAATTATAATTCATTGTTTCTTAGTAATCTCTATATACACCATGAAATAATCGAACAAAAAGTGCCAAGAGTTCTTCTCCAAACTGACTGTGCGTAAGTAAGCTCATTGGAAAACCTTTTGGAATCATCAGGAAGTCTAAAATTTCGAAATTCATTTCAAAATCATGGAAAACGCAACTTACTTGGCACCATTTTTCAAAATCGTGCACAGTTGTATCTGTCGAAGACCACTGGATGGCAAAGATCGCATAATGGATTACTTATTTTTGCAGGAATATACCTACCATAATTTTCGTATTTATCATGATCGTAAATCATCTGGAAGCAAAATTACGTCTATTCTAATCTAAATTATGGAAGAGCTTTATACATAGTACATGAGTGAGTGAGTGATTAAAGGACGAAAACGATTGTATCAAAAATAAGATAATAATAATTGCGTGCAGTCTAGTTAAAAATCTTTGTCAAAGACAATCAAAAACAGTTTTCCACACTTATTGTCTAAATAAGAGTGTTTTCATTTCTTTTTTTGTTTTCGAAAGTCGTGTACCCTCTTACGCGGTGCCCAAGCCGATATCAATCAAGAGATTTCCAATCAAGCTAAGTAATGCTAAAGTTATGCCTAGGTAGGCTAGGAAAAATTATTTTTTGAATAGTAAAGCACGATGTAGCAAAATATTTCTAAAGAAATTTTCATTTCATTCTAATATAGAGCGTACCACAAAATGTTCACTGTTTGAATGAAAAACTCAATCGAAATGTTCCAGAAGTTTTATCGGAAATGTTGGAAATATAATGAAATTTGTGGAGGTGCAATTTAAAGTTTAGGTTTTAAGTAATAGTTTTGAAAAAGCAGGGTGATTCAGAAAATCTGGGAAATATTTTTAGCGTAGTACATCCAAAAACAACAAAGGAGAGTCCATATAAATATATTAGATCCTAAAATGTCCCATTATCAAGCTCCAAATTTCTACGCCATTGATGAGACTGAATAAGGACAATGCATGAATATTGTCCAAATAACATGTAACATTCTACTCCGCAGTTCTTAATGTCAAACTTTGTTAACTTCAGCATATTTTCAAAGTATAACGAAGTAGTTTATACAAATGTTACCTCAAATATTCAAACCAACTTTTCTCCTTAAGCAAGAGTTTGAATAACATTTCTCAAAAGAGGTAGTTCATGTACACCTTATTCAAAGAACAAATGCTTCAAGGGTGACAATAGAGTAGAAAAAAATGTTCTTTTTTTTGTAATTGTCTTAGGCCCGTATCGTCAGTCGTCCCTACAATTGTAGGGCGCGTTTATGGCCTCCTTGATTGTCATACTCCTTTCTCTCCTTCAAAAATTTCTAGATTATACTTGTCCCGTGTCAGCGTCAGCGCTCTCCAACTGTGAAGATATGTTTTCTTTTTAAATTGTAGGAAATTTCAGGCTGATAAAACATGATATAACTCAAAAGCAAGCACAATTTGATGCAAATAGATGTTTGTGACATAACCTCAAAATAGTGTTCTGACACAGAGAAGTAGAAAACTATGACAATCAAGGAGGCCATAAAGGCGCCCAACAATTGTAGGGACGACTGACGATACGGGCCTAAGTTTCCCAATTTCTACGTCACTGGTATAGATTGTTTTTATGTACTGGCTTTGCTGCTAGTACTTCATGTACAACATTGATAAAATTATAAATTTTTACCTCCTGCCATATATTAAAGTTATTTTTGCTATATTTCTCTCACATAGCAAAAAGTCATTCAACCGTGGCGTACTTTGGTGGCAATTTTTCATACGGATGACGTGTCTACATTTTTGTTTCCTGGAGGCTAATGGATTTTTTAAAGTATTGAAAATTGAAGACAGTGCTCTACTCACCTATTTCCTTACAAATACACTTTATTCTTCTCTAAAAATGAGCTCGCTCTACTAAACGCTGAGTCGCAGTTTTGTTTGGTAGTATAGATATTGATGAATGATAACGTATTCTATTATACACATAAGGTATATATAAATATAGGCAATAACAGTTAGCACCCCAATAAACATGCACAGTAGTATGTGAAAAGCTTCGAGTCCCAGAAGGTGGAATCTTCGTGTGCAGTTAGTCGCGGTTCGGACGCAGAGCAACATGAGTTTACTTTTTAAGGATTTTGTCATTTCCAATGTGGTCAGTATTACTTATATCGGTGAAAAGTGGTACTACGTTAGGTATCCATATGAGTACAGGTGCATAAATCGGAAGATTCTGAAGTACCTCGAAGGTCACGGATGTTTCGGTAAAAAAAAATACAAAATCGCGTTTAGTACCGATGGATCTTTTGTCATTCTTTGAAATATTACCTCACAGATATTTTTTCAATAACATTTACTTGAAGCCTTCTTATCGGTTCACTTTGTCAGCCTGCATTGTGGTTTTATTTGGCTCTGGTGCACGCTTGTCTATTGCTTACAAGCACTTTTTTCATTGACGTTAGTATAGACTTTTTTTTTACTTATGCCTCTCACTTTTAATCTTACATGTTGAAGTTCTTCTGTATTTGTGACAATAGACTGGTGCATTCCTATCTTTGATTCTTCCTTACCTTGCACATCTGTGCATTATGTCACCTGACTGGTGAGGTATTTGCAGTTTTCCCTGCGTTTGGTTCACAGTGGCTGTTATATCATTAACTTATAAGCAAGCATTTCAAGTATATTTAGTAACTAAATATCGTTGGTAAGAAAATATTTTTTGTGATGAGGCGACGATAAGGACAGACAACGCAAGGTCAACAATATTTGTAAAAAGGTAAGCCTTTTGTAAATAACTTCGAAGCGTTCTGTTATATTTTTCGTTATTCTAGCATTTAGCCATCTCAAAACACCAGTAAGTCTGTTAAAAAGCACGTCCTTCGGACATTTTCATCGGAAGGTCTACCAGACGAAGTTGATTACAACCAATTCGACAGGGTGCCAAAACCCCTGCAGGGATATTACGTATTCTGAAAAGTGACATTATTTCGCAAATATTCAAAATACACCCTGTATAAGTATACGTCCACGCACAAGCGTAGCTTCAGTGGACTTTTTATGTTTATTTCATTTCAAGCTTTTATTGCATTTATTTGTAGTTAAATAATCGATAAACATTACCAACAGATGGCCAGTACAGTCGCAGCTATGGCATCCGGTCCGAACAGTCCTTCTAAGCGAATGTCTTCCCGCGGCGGCGCCGCGACGCTCCGGGGCGTCGCTCTGTTCCTGGCGTCTGCCCGCAACAAACGGCGCGGAAAATCTGCGCCGGCAGCAGACGCGAACGCGACGAGCCCAGGCGGCAAACGCCAGGATAATCAACAACGCAGGAAGAAGAAGATGAATGGGGAAGAGCAGTCCAAGTGCAATCCTAAAGTGATGGAGAATGCAAGAAGGGAGACCGGATTGGAAAGGTGAGTCGGAATTTTAAAAGTAGACTATGCTAGCCAAGTATCCAGGCAAGGGCCACCAGAACTATCAACTGAAGTAAAACAGGAAGAACGGAAGAAGTGCAACCTCAGTCAGATGGAGAATGCTAAGAGGATACAGGGTTGGGAAGGTGAGTTGTAGTTCAAAAGTAGAAATGAAAGTATTCAGGCACCAGGAGGACCACCAAGTGAAACAGCACAGGAAGAAAAAGATTGCTGGTGAAGATATGTAGTAAGTGATAAGTAGTAGTAGTAGGAGTAGTAGTAGCTAGCAGTAACGTTTATTGGATACACAATAACAAATATAACATCGATTACATCAAATATTACTAGAAGATACTGTCAATATGTTATATGTACTGTTCGTCATTTGTTTGTCTGGGAGGTCTGTAGGACCTTTGCCTATTAGTCACTTTGTAATGTACGTTAGTAGAATCTGTTAGTCCTGGAAACCAGACAGTGTCAAAGATAGAAAGGGAAAGAGAAGAGAAAAGGAGAAGGGCAAAGAAAAACAGAAGTGTATAAGAGGTAACACCTAGGCGTTTTGATTTGGTACACGGATAAATTATGAGGTAAACTAAAAACAAATTTTGATTCGAGTTTTGATAGAGTGTAATTTTGGGTTTACTAAAAGCTTGCACTAATTTTGATCACAGTGCCAGCCGTGGCCTTGAACAGAGGGTTGCTTTGCGATTTCGCAGTATATCGTCACTGAACCTGAATCTTGACATAATTCCTAAAGTAAAGTGTGTCTTGGTCATCAGCTGTTGCTGGTCTGAAAATCATTTTATATTGTCGAACTTTGTTTATCAAACTCAATTTGGAGGATCTATATAGCAGAGTAAACTCAATTTGGAATTTTGTTTTCAACGCTGCTGTATGTTTTTGCAAGGTCACGCCTTTATCAAGGTGACACCGAGCTACTTGCCAGAATTTTTCCATAGTATACGATTTCCGTCTACAGAAACCCTGCCTGGGGATCTGTCAACATGTTATTGACGGATAAAATATTATCTAAAAAAGACTTGAAACACTGAATGCGGACTTAGCCCTGTACTCGTACTAAGCTAGACTAAACCCGCGACTCCGCTCAACATGGATGTAGTGAAAGCAATATTAAAAGTAATGCAATAGTTACTTCCGCTATCCAACATTTTAATGCAACAATAAATCAATTTCAATGTATCACTTTTCCTCGGCAAAAAGTAAGGAGCTTTGAACATTTATTTGATCTCAAAATGACCTTGAATGTGTTGACCAGTTGATTGGCAAGGATAAACTAGAACTTAAAATTTTCCACAATATGCATTTTAGGACCATGATGATAATTTTTTTTACGAAACGTATATTTCGAGATATTTTGTCTTTTTCCTACTTTATTGCAAAATTTCTCGTTCTTCACATCTTCCGGTGTCAAAAATAGCAGTTTCATTGAAGAAAACTGTGTTGACCTTGAGGTCACAGACAAGGTTCAAGACCATCAGTCGATAGATCATTTCAAACTGTACAACTTTTTTGAAACGTATTATTAGAGATACTTTGTCCTATCCACACTTTTTGAACGCCCTGTATATTTTCGCGGATAAAGCCATGCCATATATAAGCTTCTTCAGATTTCAATTAGTATGTGTACAAAATTTTACGTCTCTCTGTGTTGTGGTTCAAACGTGATGCTGACAGACTGGACAGACATTCACATTTATACAGGGTGGGTTACGTATGCGAAAGACAGCGGCTAAACCATTCCTGTTAGAAAAAAAAAGTATAATAAATGATTTATCTGAAATTACGAACCCTATAGCCTGAAATTATTTCTGATTATATAGAGTATTCCTTTTAGGCTAAGCGTAACACATCTTCGCTATTTTTAATAGAACACCCTGTAGATTATTGCATTTTTTCATTATACGCTTCCTTTAAGTTTGTCAAGTACATGTATGACCTGAAATTTATTAGCTATACGCTTATTTTTTATTTTGTTCTCCTTTGGGAAAACCCAAATATTTATGAAAATGTTTAAGATACCGTTCTGGTTTTTACGGCTGTTCTTAGCTTGAAAAACATTATGAAAAGGTTGATTTTCAAATGATGAGAGATATTTCTAAAGTTATTTAGCTGAGTAGCGAACAAAAAAAGAAATTAATTTATGCGTATAACACTAGAACAAACCTCAGTATATGTCAGTCTGTTTTTTCTGTAACAGTTTATTCGGAACAAAATTTTATATTAATCTTTGTATTGTGTATACGTATAAGACTAGTGGATTTTTTCAAAAGACTGAATTGGAGTACCTGTAGATCACACAAACAATTTTTAACTTTCAATGTCGTTCCTACCTTATTTATATTTACATTGTTTTTACCTTTCAGTCAGTCTGCATATTTGCCAAGATGTAGATCTATCCTAAACAATATCAAATACTTACACTTCGTATTTTCTAAAATCGTGTACATATTTCTAAATTTTGTGAACTGTTTCAAGTAAAAATAATTTAATAAATTCAAATTGGCAATGTCCAATCCAAAACGGTGCATGGAATCATGGGGGTAAGTCAGCATGTGTTTACAAAATCCAATATCGCATGCTGAAATCACTTTGAAGGTCGTTAATTTTAATCTCACACCACCTTCATGCCACTGATTTCCATCCATTATCATCTGAATTGTTTGCAATGTTCCAGGTCATATTGATCAAACTATGCATTGAGATGTCAGCTATATCCGACGCGGAGATTCAATACATCTCGGTCTAGCTATTATATTTACATAGGTGTTGTAGTCTATGCACGACAGTCATGATATTAGGACTAAAGAGTCTCTAATGTGTCAGGACACTTAAGCTCTGAAATAGAATCTTAAATCGCGTATTCGTTGAACAAAAATATTTAAAGATCAAAGTGAGTGCTTCAAGGCGATATGGAATGACTTAAATTTGGACAAGATTGCTTATTTATGTATGGTCAATTTAAGATAAGGTCCTGCTCAACAACGTTCATTTACTCGAATGGTGTACTAATAATAGATTGTCACTGAATGTTGCAAAGTGTAGACACTTTATCTAAGAAAAAACTCACGAATCTTATTCGGTTACAACACTGATGGTATTTTTTGGAACGTTATTTAACCACTAAAGGTTTAGGAGCGTAAATCCAGTCGCAAATCAGTTTCATTAATCATATTGATAACAAAATTACTAAAGCATACAAAGTGTATGGATTCATCGTTAGAAATTGGCGATATTTAAATAGTGAAGCAGCATTGAAATGTTTATTTTTTTCTTATGTACCATCAGTATCAGAGGGACTGGATAGAAAGAAGAAAGCTTTTAAAATATCTCGTGCTTAAAAAGCACCACATATTATATATCCAGAACAAAGAACTGAGAATAATATTTTGCTAAACTTTTTTGACATTGATAGTTCAGTTTATATAAAAATCAATGTTTATGGTGACGATCAGCATGGCACTTCCCAACATATTCCTAAAGTGTTTTAAAGAAATATCTCTTTTGGTATTCTGATTCTCCGAGTTTTTGCCCCCAAAACTATCAGCACATTCACCAGACAAAATTTATCCACCATTTCTCAGAAACTAATCGTAAGATTGCTTTGAATATCACACTGAATTTTTAGACAAATTTTCCATAAGTCTTGTGGCTGGTCCTTCAAACGTATTGATCCTATTATTGTTTGTTCTAGACGAGAGATCGAAATTCTGTACAAGATTTACAAGAAACTAATAACATACAAAAAAGGTGCTGCAAAGGGCAAAGTATCGGAAAATGTGACTGCATCCGCAGTGATAGGAAAACCAACAACTGTTTCGGAGGTAACTAAACAGATACACTCCAATTATATTTATGTCATCCAAGTCATTTCAAAGTTTATATTCATGTTCATGCAATCGCTAGAAGCTATTTACCTCACAGCATTTATTAACCCCAGGCACGGAAATTCTTTGGTGAGCACGGAATGAGTTCAGGCAACAGTTTCTTGGACAATTTGCGACCTAGTTAAATCAGTTTGAAAGACATTCTATAAGAAATCCGTTGGTCCAACTTGTGTCAAAATCGCCAAGAGTGAAATCGGGCATTAAAAAGTCCATTTTTTTTCAGGGTATAGACAGGACAGTATTCAGAGAAGTTCTGCACAGTACATTTGATATAGTGACTGAAAACATGCTTATGGATCGAATATTTTACGTATGGGATAGGAACAATTGTGGACTGATAACTCTCGAAAATTGGTTCAAAGGTATATCGTTGTTTTTGAGGGGAAATGTACTGGAACAGGCAGAATATTGTTTCAAGGTTTATGACTTGAACAACGATGGTTATATCACGAAAGATGAAATGTTTCAACTACTAAGGTATGCGTAACAAACTCATGTCAACACTCTGCTGAAACTAGGAACCTTGCTTCATAGACTTTACTTAGGTGAATCATATTGTATTTACAGGAATTGCTTGATAAAACATCCCCAAGAAGAAGATTTGGACGATAGCGTCAAAGATCTAGTGGATATAGTAATGAGAAAAATGGATAAGGACAAAGATGGAAAAGTTTCATTAGAAGACTACCAGAAAAATGTCGAAGATGAACCTCTACTTCTAGAAGCTTTTGGGAAATGTTTGCCTACTGATAAGTCTAAAGTTACGTTTTTAACAACACTTAAAGCTCAGTAGATACAATTAATAGTCAATTTAGGGGTTATAGTGAAGACTGATCTTTGTTTGTTGGTATCGATTATTAGGAAATCTTGAAATCTTGGTGACGAAGATGAGATATGATGTTATTCTAGATCTGAAGCTGTATTTTGTCGTTTATTAAAAGGGTGTTAATCTTGTTTTGTTCTTGTTTGCAAATTGATATTATTTTGAGAAAAAATAAATAAAGTTTTACGTATATTGCATGCTATTGACAATTTTTCAAGATTCTCAATTTCTTCAAAAGTGTATCACAAATTAGCTAAAGGTAGCGAAAATTTGAATCATCGGCTTTATCAAAAATTAAACGCAGATGATGGACTGAGTTTTCAATATTTTACGATTACGAGGTATTTAAAAATAAAATGTAAAATTTCTGAAAATTGTTTTTATTGTGATCTAATATGAAATAAGAGATACGATGCTAGAAAATAAACATTCTACTTTATTGACAAGCGCACTTAGTGAGCTATCAAATTAGTAAATGTAATACATATCGTCCATTTAAGCATGAAGTTTATGAAGAAATACAATATTGTGTCAGTCATATAATACTGAAGATGTGTCTTTGTCATCATGTCATCCAAGGAAAAAAGATCGGAGACTTTGCGGGGGCGTTGATATTCATAATACAATGAAATTAAATTAAATACTACTGCTAGTTGCTAAACATATAATAAATAGTAATACCTTTTTTAAATGATACAAAGTACTAGTATCTAAATAGAGTTAGTAGGTATTCAGACTTGAATTCTGTAGTTAGTTAACAGACCAATAAAGTATCATACTGAATGTAGTTCTTCATATGAAAGAAAAGAATTTTGTAGAATTTTATAATAGAATAAAAATATTTAATCCATTTAAACTTAAGAGAGTTAAGTGTTAAACTATAACTCATCAGAGACATTCCTCATGACTATCTTAATTCTAAATCACAGAAAAGCATTTTATACGTATTCATTTCTACCTTCCTCATACGGTATTGAATTTCTCGGGAAGAACCTTCAGTGGAGTTTTCCCTATCATTTCGGCTTCTTCAATGGTATCTGGCAGTTTAATATTCGAAGTTTCAGGAAACAGAAGTGTCAAGAATGCAGCAATCAGTGCCGTTACTGCAAAGCTGAGCATTGGAAGGGGAGTCCATATACTGGCCTGGAAAAGATCGCAGTCGTATGGTTATAGGGCTGGTTTTATGTGATTCAGTGACATATAATTTGAGTTTTTGACTAAAGTAACGAAAATAAGCATAATTTATTTATTTATAATTCCCAAATAAATCCATAATTATAACAGCCATTTTCAAATCATCAGCATAAAGTAGACGCATGCATGGCAGATACAGAAATAAGTCATTGATGAAGATCATAAGCGGCAAAGGTCCCAAATTGGACCCCTGAGGTACACCATATATTGCAGTATAAGTCTTAGATTGATAGCTGCCATATTCTAGATTACATGCTCCAGGATATGTGACTTTATGAGAAGCAGTAAAGGAACTGACAAGCCAGCAGATTCGAGCTTGGCTAATAACAAGTAATGATCAGAATGAAGTATATATGTTTGGAATCATAAAAAGCGACTATCATTTTGAATGAAAACACACAGGGTGTACTATTTAAAAAAATACTTCTTTATTTCATAGCACCTTTCTGCGACACCTTGTATATGAAATAGACATTGCCTGAAAAACTTATATATAAATTTTCTTTTAGAATGTCATGCAAAAAAGTTAAGAGGGCGGTCAATTTGTAATGGGACTATATTATTTAACTTACCAGGAGATGGGTCTGAGGCGCGATCATATTTCCCAGCCTGCCAAACGTGGAACAGGTACCCATGAACGAATGCCTCATCTTTGTGGGGAACATTTCACTAGTGATCACGTACAGATTAGTGAATGCCGCAGTGGCACCAAACTTGCCAATGAGGTAGATCGCCAACGTTCCAACGTGGCTGTCTAGAAATTATATTTATGAGAAAAATCACCTAACTAAAAAAAAACAATCAAATACACAGTATGATCTAGAAATTGGGACATTTCCCTTTACACGGAGTATAGTTCTTGTTAAAATAAGTGAATTTTCCTAGTAACGCATATATCAAACATAAGAACTGAAACTTTAGTTCCAGAAATGACTTAAGATATCAAATTCAGTCCCGTAAAAAAAATCCGATTAATATGTGTGCCAAAACTGCTAGGTCATACGCCATTAGCTATATAAGACCTACTTAAAAGAAGTGTCAACTAGCCTGGTCACAATAATTTCAAGTGAAAACTGGATTTTTCAATTCTTACCTTGTGGTACAAATACATGGGCAGCACAAGCAAAACCAGTCAAAAGGTACGATAAGCTAATCGACCATCTCCTTCCGAAGAGCTGGAGCATGAAATTGCAGCAAAGATAGGCTGGTAGCTCTATTAGCGAGGTTAAAATGAAGTCAAGGTAACTGTTACCAGCAGCTATGCTCACTGAGGTCAAAGTGAGGCCGTAGAAGAGGAAGGTGCAGGTACTCCAACAGATGCAGCAATTTATCAGTCTCATGGTTATGGTTACAGAACCTGGAAGAAACAGTTTGACATAAGCTCCAGTTGCTACTGCTGTCAGTTGCCAGGTTCATCATTACCGTTTTACCATGAATAATCACACAGTTACACACAACAAGTCGTTTTATAAGTGTATTAAAATTTAGGTATCAGTTTTTTTGTATTTTGTTGCTAATATTTTATTTATTATTTCTCAGCAAAGACATTTAGATTTGTTTTTTACCTAGGAGAGCCTTTCCAAACGAATCTTTCTCTGTCTTGTCTTCGTCCAGCTCAATCAAAGAAAGCTTCTCCAGTGTATTCTCAGATAGTTCTTTGCCATTCACCTTCGCAGCTTTGCGAAGAATTGCTTTGGCTTCCTCTACTCTGCCTTTGCTCAGGTTCCATCGGACAGATTCGGGTACCAGCCATATGTATGAGATGATGACGAAAATTGGTGAATACAATATGAAGATGAGATGCCTACAAGAGACACAATATTAGCATTATCACAACCAAAATAAGCAGAAAAGGTACCTATCCTAATTTTAAACATCTTGATTTATTGCGAACTTTGACGCATATGGAGTAGTGTCCAAAAATTTTATTTAGTCGGATTATCAAGATTTTTCCTCAAATAGGTATATTCTGGATGGTTTTATTTTTTTCTATGAACGAGAAGGGAAAACATTACCTTGAAGAGTTCAAATGTAAAAGGATCAGCTCCGAAAAATAACACAAATTTCAAGTTGTATGTAGCTTAAACCTCCAACAGTTTCCTTTTTATGTTAGCACTTAATTGGTTTCAAAGTTCACATGTTTGAAGTCTTTGTCCAAAATTCACCCATCTTACAATATTTAATTTAGGACAGGTATTGCTATATAAGCGCAACACTTTTTGCTCTCCAAAAATTAAAGGATATTCCGGCAACTGTCTTATAATAGATGTAGTTGCTTTCATCTTTCCGCCTAACTAGGAATATTATTTATTTTTATCTTGATATTGTATTTTAATGTGTTCATTCCTTAACTTCGTTCAAACATGTTTTTTTTTAAATAGGATATTTGGATAGAGATTCTGGAAACAAGAAGTTTGATACCATATAACATACCGTTTTGATTGTCAATTGTTTAGATATTTAATGAGATGTCTGAAAAAATGCCCAACTTTGACGGCCCGCAGCTTCGTCATTTTTGAAGATATAAGATAAATTTTAGTTCTCAAAATCTTTAATAACATCGAACTTAGCTGATCTGGAAAAAATGCTAAAATATCCCTCTGTTTATACAGGGTATCTCAAAACACAAAATGTACCTTTTCTCATAAATTTCATATGGAACACCCTGTATATTTCTGCATTATTAAATAGCTTTTCTTGAGATCTCTTTTTATATAAGATTCATACGAATTTTTCCCAACAGTCTTCGGGTTATTACTATAAATTCCAAAAGAAAAAAATATATTCCACAATTAGATTTAAAATCAGACCTTCCTTGAAAACAATGATTTTTTTTCTCGCACAAGGCATCTTAACTCATTATGAAATTAATATAGTAGATACATTCCAAGCAGTTCTGTTGATTTCCATATGTTTGATCTCAGGTCAGTATATTTCCGCAACCACGTTGTTTCGCCAACTTGGGTAACCTATTTTACTAAGGAACGTAAATTTAACAACTAGGAAAAATTTGTGGTACAAACATGACAGTGCCTCACCACATCACATCAAAATAAAGATTCACCAAATAAACCGTGTAACGATGTACAGGGTCTTCCATTTGAAATTTTTGAGAAAAGGGTTATTTTGCGTTTTGTAAAAATAGAAAGTGCTTTTTCCAGATCAAAGCTGGGCAATTTTTCAGACGTTTGACCAAATATCTAAACAATTTACAATCGAAACCATATGTTATACACTAGTTATACACTAGTAACATATCAAGGTTGCCACGAAAACAGATGTTTGATATCTTTCCCGTTTCCTCATAAAACTACTTTCTATTTTCATTGGGACACCCGGTAAGAGTATAAAAACACGGTAGACACTGTAAGTATATTACCTCCAATTTTGCACAACCCACGCAGCGGCCGCAGTGAATATCTCTCCAAAGGTATAACATGAACTGGATAGGATACCAGTTAGAACTCGTTTTTTGGGACCAACTAATTCCACACCTGCAAATTAAATATTTAATGTATAGGAAGCTCACATTCGGCATTCCGAAAAGATAAATATTGTTTATCATAATCACAGCATCCTATTCTAGGAAGCTTGCCGAAAAGATATTGTTGCTCGTAAGACAGTTATGACAAAGTTTGCTTATAATGTGTAAGTTTACTCAAGGCATATTTGGAAGGCATTGCCTCTGAGTATGGTTGCTCTGCCTGTCTGGTCTGCCATATTTGGCGAATTAGGAAAGAACTAATAAAAAACGAGCTTAAAAAAGCAAGCAACGAGAAAATGTCTAATACTGTTGATATGGCGTTCGAATAATTTAAAAAGAAAAGTTGTTATTATCCTGACGTACCTAAGATAAATCCGCATATATAAGTGCCTGCTCCAAATGCAGCGTCTAGGAACTCAAACACCAGGAACCATTCGTATGTAGGCATGAAAGCTCGTACTATTCCACAAACTGCGCAAAGTACCATGCCCCAGATTAGAAGTACTTTCCTCCCATACCTAGAACATTGTAATAAGTTCTTTGTTTCTTGGGGTATACGATGATTCTACTTTGAGTTGCGACAAGCATGTAAATCCTATTACCAAATCTTTAACAAAAGCTATTTATCTGATGCGTAATCAGAGAAATACAGTGTCTCACAAAATACTGCTCACCAGTTACCATGCATACTTAGATTAGGCATACACTCAAAGCCCGCTAAAAATTATGAAAATCAATAGACTAGAATATACATACATCGTATACATTGTATACATTGCATACCTTGTATTCATTGCATACATTGTCTACATGAATATCAAGCAGTATCAAAGGTGTATTTTACATGTATACAATGTGCCCATCACTGCCTTCAGATGTATACCAAACTTTACTCTTGGCGTCTTGTTAGGATACCTACTTATACCAATAGTCTAGTACTTACTTGTCTGAAATCAGCCCTCCCAAAAACAGCCCGAAAAATTGTCCTAAACTGTTTACTGATCCCACCATAGACAGCTTCCAAAGATTGTTGTCACATTGTAAATCGTACTGGAAATTGAAAATACAAAATATTAGATTGAAAAATGTACACTTCGTTGCTCAAGGAAGATAGTGAAATAAAAAGGCCTTGAAGTTATCGACTATGCAAGGCAACACTGTGGCCTCAAATCAAATAAGCCTGGCTTCTTGCTTAAGGAAAGGACATATTTGGCAAGGCGTCTTAACAATAAAAAGGCGTCACGCGAAAGAATGTCACTTGATTTTTTACTTCCTATGCCACTGGCGAGGAAGTATTGTAATCGAGAAAAATTTTGAAATTGTTTTGTGGATGTTGTATGACATGTACAGGACCATAAATTCATCCTTCCCTCTAAATTTTTTTATATAACTTTCCAAAAAGTTATATGTGAAAGTTATAGGTTCTAATAAGAATCTTTTCATTGAATATTTCTGTTTTGTATTCTCTTGGCGTCTTAGCAAAGTCCTATCGAAGTTGTATTTTTTTAAATGGAACACCTAGTATATGTTCAGGGAAAATGTTAGTTCCTACTTTTCTGATTCCAAACAAATATAGTTTTTATACATTCAGTCAAAAATATCGATAGCAATTGTGAGAAAAAATGAGTAACTTAAATTTAAAGTATCGCAGTGTCATAAAATTTCTGAAAAAAGGGCCATCAGCCGGAAACAATTCTTGAGAGAATGGTTGCCGTCTATGGGGATGATACACCATCATATTACATAATAAAATTTTGGTCGAAACAGTGGATGCGAATCCTTAGAAGACGATCCCAGAAGTAAGAAAACCCAAAATAGCAACAAATGATGAAATGACTCAAAAAGTTGAAGACACGGTTCTCGAAACTCATCGTGTGGAGGTCTCTACCATTAGTCTGGCATTGAATCTATCGATACCCAGCATGATAACCAACGACAATTTGATCATGAGTTAGGTGTTATCCCGGTGGGTCTTACGACTGGTGAGACCTGAACAAAAATTGCAAAGGCTGGAAATTTCAGAAAGTAATTTGGAAACTTTTTGGCCAACGATTCTGACTTTTTGGAACAAATTGTGATAGGCAACGAGACTTGGACGGTACTTGGGTAACTCATCTGGATCCCGAAACAAAATCAGAATTCAAGCGGTGGGTTCATAAAGGGTTTCCACCCTCCAAAAAGGCATGGACGCAACCCACTGCTGGAAAATTGATAGCAACAGTTTTTTGGGACATCAGGGGCATCATTTTCGTCGAATATATGCTAAAAGGGACAAGAATAAATGCGGACGTCTATGTAAACACGTTGAAAAATGTATGTAAAACAATTAACCAGAACCGATTTCTCAATCAATGCAGAAGTGCAGCTTCGTTGAGATAGATCCTCCCTATTGTCCGGACTTGGCTCCGTCTGACTTTCATCTCTTTTACTAAATACAAATCTTCGAGGACACAGTCTCGACTTTTTTAAGAGTCAAGAGAAAACACTTTTTATAAGTGTATAAGTTCACTGGAGGAAAAAATGCGCAGGTGCATTGATTATATGGAAAGATAAAATTATCAAAAAAATGATGTCTTATGCTTTACGTCTAGGTAGATTTCTTTTCTTGCGTCCCTCGAATCTGCTTCCGAAAATTGTGTTTTACACATGAATTTAAAAATAGTATCCACAAGGCAACCAATCAACTTTATACCAACATGGGGCGTCGACCTTCCATTCCTCAAAGGCATAAAAGCTGCACCGATATCTCCAGCATTGTCGGAGGAAGGGCCATACTGTAGATGAAACGAGTTTTTAAAATGTCATATAGTCTGCAATTTGCATTGATGATTAGTCTCTCTGTGGAACGTAAGTGCGAATACCGCGCATGCCGGATGTCTTTGGCCCAGTTTGACCTGTTTCGCGATTTCTAACGACAGTTGAGACGCAGCGCGTCAAGTGGCCTAGACCTTGACGGCTCGCCTGTACTATAATTGGCATACAAATTGAGCGATGTTTATGAGGAAGTTGCCGAGAAAAGCAGGTTCGGCCTCTACAGTGCAGTACATTTAGACTGATTCTAAATAAATTCTTTCGATCTTTTATAGTCAAATTATTATGACAGAACGTCAAAGTTATCATAGTGGATATGAGCAAGGCGCCATCGCAAACATTTCAACGGTCAAATTCCAATTGGAATCAGACCCCAGGCGGAGACCTCGTATTCGTGGAACAGACTTTCCATCCAAAGAGCCGTTCATTTCGCCTGGTCGTAGTCCAAATCACCGACGACAATCTGGCACGAACACTTTTCGTCAATAGCGGCAGCTGCTGGGAAAAAGCCAGGCTATTCGTTTAGAACTAAAAAGTACTCTTCTTTGCACGAGCCCTTCAATCTGTACGTTGCCTAGATAAGACCTAGCCTGGAGTACTGCTCACATGTTTGGGGTAGTTCCACCCCGACAACATTGTCCAGACTCGATGCTGTTCAGAGAAGGGCTGGCTGTCCGACTGATCGATGACTCTCCACTAAAGGAGAGTCTCTGGACCCTTTGGGCTTTGTTCCTTAGAACTGGCCGATACGACCGCTTCTTTGTTCCTGTAGTATCGAGATTGTGGAGTAATATATCTGAGAAGGCATCCACGATGAACAACGGAGCGGGAGGCCGTCGATCTCCGAGGAAGTTCAGACGAAGATTGAGCAAATCTTGCTCGAATCCGGAAACTAGAGGTAGAAATTCCGGAGGCTTCTGAAAAAGCTGAGACAGCAATCTAAAATCGAACTCGAGCGATTTGGTTGGGAAGCCAGCCTTATAGCCCTGACATAGCACCTAGAGATGTCCATCTGTTTCCGAAATTGAAGGAGCACCTAGGCGGTCGACAGTTCGAGACCGGCGAGGACTTGCAAGAAGCAGTTACAAATTTTCTAAACGGGCCGGCGGCGGTTTTCCTTGAGGCGGGAGCACAAACGTGGATCAAGCGTTAAAAAAAAATGCGCAGAAAAAATGGCGACTATGCATACTAATAGCTTAAATATCTGCGTTTCCAATGGTGTATTCGTATTTTCAAATAAAAAATTCCTTGTGCCTGAAAAAAATGTGGAAACTTTATTTTTATATATTAGAAAAAATAACATAATTGGAAAAGGGTTCATGTATTGAAGACAACTCAAGCTTACATTGCGCTTCATTGGCATACAAGGCGAATAAAAAGACTAAAGATTCTTTCTCGCAAAGCTGCGTCAATACTTCTCATTGGTAAACTAGAACATCTACGCTCTTAATTGAGTAACTGAACAATGCTTTATTTGCAAAGTTCTTGGCTCAACGGATTTCTTACCCAGCTGACTGGTTATTTAAATTCCCAATTCAAAACCGTTGTATTTGACCCGGAATTTAGATAAGATTAGGAACATATAGCATTGCAAAACAATAATTTTGCCAATTTAAAACTACTCGAGCATGGAAGTTTTTCAGAGAAATACAGAATATTAATATAAAACTATTTTAAAACTCGTCCAAGGTAAGTGAAAAATATTGTTGTAATAATGATAGATATAAATCAGCTCATGTACTTTATTGAAATAAGTCTTTAAGTTGAAAAACGCGATACACTAGATTAGATTAACCTACATAGTATCAGCACGTTAAAGTGAAGAAAATGAAGTATCCACCTTGATAAAAATATTATGTCAAGCGTTATGACCTTACATCAGAGCTTCATTACATCTGTGAAGTTTAATAGTTGTTTTTCTCAAACTGTTTATGGATTTCCTGAACCACAAAGTATCCATTCAAACGTATTTTTGCTGTAACTTTTAATGAACCCGAATAATGGGATTCTTCCGTAACATTTCCACCTCAGAAATAGTCCAGTAGAACAAAGTCGCTTGTTGAAAAAATCTATCAAACAGGGTTGTGACAGATAACCACGTAATCTAGAATCCCATGTACAGCCTGCAGAAATCTAAAGTTCGCCAATCTTGATCTACCAAACAAGATTAAAAATTACATAAAAATAAACTGAGCCTAAAATAACTAAATAACTCTAAAGATCTCGTAACAGGAAGTTTGAACTTCAACCTGGACTTAGAGCTTTAAGCATTGAATTTTTTATTCTTGTTTAAGCATTAAATCGAAAACGGTCAGCCGAATTGCAGGAAAATGTTTTTACTAACGTATCTATTTTCCAGTAATAGGGATTCAATGCATGACAATGCCTGAAATCGAAATTTTCAGTGCTTATAAACTTCATTATGCAGTATTATTTGTATGGCTACAAAGTATCTAAGTGAAAGTTTAAACCTTATGCTGTGAGACCCCGAAGAGTATTTCAGGCTTAGTTTACTGAATTTTTAGCCTTGGTTCTTGGCCTGATTGATTTTCGCAGACTGTACTTTCGGCATTTGCGTAACACAGAAAAACTATAGACCTGCAAACCAACATATATACGTACGTACAATTTTAATTCTAATGCCTAAATAATAATAAACGGATTTTATTTACTGCGAAGTTTAGCTATATATTGAGACGAACTTTAACAAAATACTCTTCCAAAATTTAGGCGAAAATTACAAAGCAAATACCGCGTGCACATGTGCGAACAAAAGAACTATACAAATTTTATATAATATGCAGAAATATGAGAAAGTATAGATGATCTATATACTGGGAGTTAAATAAGGTATGCAGTCGATAGTAATGCATTATATGGCTTGATCGCATTATAGGTAAAGCATTAATGAAATAATGAAGTTTTGTGAAGAGGGACACTTAAAGGTCAGTGAACCGAATATCCTGTGAGTGGATATACTCACGAGATATTAGTTTATTTATCAAAAATAAAATTTATACACTTTGCAACATTGAACCAATTCAGCTGTTCGAAACTAGAACTAATATGATCATATTTTCTTAAATTGAAAATTATTATATAACATGGACTGTCGGATATGCATCCATCAACAATATGATGAATATTTCGTGTTACCTGGAATTTTACAAGAAACTTATAAAAAAATCCTATTTTTGCCCATTAGGCAATTTTGGTTAAAAGAAAATGGAATCCAAAGACGCCATCTTGAAGAAACTATAGCCAATTCGTCACTTATTTCTGTTTAGGTAGGCAAATATCGTGAAGATAAACATTGATGTATCTATAAATAGCTGTTTTTTTTTTGTTTTGAATGGATAAGGAGCTTTTGGCCAACGATCTGTAAAGGTCAATGTCGTTATCATTGTGTAGTTATTAACAATAACTTTTTTCAGAAGAAAATAGTTTCTGTTTAACCCAACATATAGTTCCTTCACTATTCAAACTACAACTACAAAACTGCCTAAACATATAACAAAATAAGACAACTAGAAACCAAAAATAAATAAAGTTTAGTGTGTTACGAAAATGACTAAGCTAAAATGGCCATGAGAAATTTGCATACGCACTAAAAGAAATGCGTTCCACCCAATAGAATTGAGGATCATGACAATGATATGCTTTGTTTCTAAAACTCTAAAGCCTATTCCTTTGAAATGATATTACCTCATTTCAAGTATCTGTGATCTCGAATCAACGTCATAATTTCAAGAGGACATGTTTCCTCGAAATCCATATCAAAGGTGGAACTTGTCGACTTAAGTACAATACTTTGAAAAGCTGAAATAACTGACATACAGCCTTCCGAAGTACACTATATGAAAATCTCCAGCTTTTAAAACACAATTCGCTAGATTCTGTCGTCGACGCAAGACAATTTATCGAGAAAATTTTAGAAAATGATTTGGAAGAACTATATCCAAGTGCTAACATAACAATTGAAATAATGCTCACATTTGCAGTCGGTACAGCTTCTATTGGAAGAAACTTTTCAAAGCTCTCAAAGTTGATGAAGACCTACTCGAGAACCAGGATGAGCCAACAGAGAATACTAAAGGATAATATCAATTGAAGCAGAAATAGCGGCTGGTATTGGTCATGAAATAATCTGGAAATGATTTACTCATGCTAAAAGCTGAACAGTTCGTCTGTTATAGCTTATATTTATTTATTTTTTGTCATTTGATGAGCAATAAAACGCATGTACTAATATATTAGTGCATAGCTCAGCTCAGCTTTGACCTTATTGTATGTGGTAACATTCAAACTTTCATTAACGTATTGAATGGTTATAAACAAACTTTACTTACTTCTTGTACTATACTCCGCTCTTCAGTTTTATATACAAATGAATTGCAGGAAACTATCATGCTTCTATCGAAATCTTTGAAAGAGCAAGTACCATTGTGAGGTTCACTTGAGTTGTAGAAGTACTGCTGACACTTGGTAGGTCCGGTATTCTGGTAGGGTACGGCATTGGGTAACCAAGAGGGCTCGTAAGCAGGGCTGGACGAGTCGCATTCGGGAATTTCACATCTATAACAAAAAAAGAATACAGAAGTACAACAAATAAACAACAGATATAGAATAACACCTAAGGGATTCTCCAGGCATCATGATGATTCAAAAAACAGTAGCAGTATATTTTTAGGGTAGAAACAAATTAAAAAGTTCCTATAAACTTGGGTCATAAAATACCTTCTCTCGGAAGTATACAAGGTAAGACAGAAAAATAATGAGACTGTTTTGTTCTTCACCAAGGTTTTTATCATTTTCAAACACCAATATTATCAAAGTTCCCTTGGGCAGCTTAACACTGATAAAGACATTGTTCCCTGTCTTGGTAGCAGCAATGGAAGTCTGGTATCGCCTTCAGTATGTCCGTCACACTATTTTGAATGTTTTCTTTACCCAAGAAACAAAAAATGTTAATCCGATTTTTGAACTGCCTAAGGTTGGTAGAACTGGAAAAAGCCTCCTCGTGTAGAGAACGAGAAAACGATAACTTTTTACGTTGAGTTTTTTAGAAATAGATAAATTAGACAACGTTAGTCCACGAGTGGCATACGGATGACGTTTCTCTGTTTACAATTTGTACGACGTCACATCACGGCCGATAGAGTTTTCACTACTTATGTTAATAATAAAAAAAATATGTTTTTTTTTAAATTGGACTTATATATCCATCTCACGCTTTTAGAAGTTGAAATCGATGTACTTCGTTTTCCTAAGCCAAATAATGTAAGAAATTACTCACTTATTCTACGAAATTAGATATGCACTGAATGGTACAACGTTCAACATAAAATCCGGGCCTGAACGGGTACCTTATGGCAGCAGTACTTTCTGTTCTGTGTTCTAAGTGGTTCTCGATTTACAGAACAGTAGCAGATTTCAAGCGCTGTACCAATTATGTGCCTAGTATTTTCTAGCGGTAGCTAATCGCCACTATTTCTTTCCTAAAAGACAGCAGTCCACGTGCACCTTGCACACTTGACCGCAGTTAGGGATGATTTATGAGGGATTAAGGTATTCAATTGAATTGTTTGTTTGCTTGTTCTACATTTATTCAGCATTAACGATACAATATCAATATTACACAGTATATCACGAGTCTACATATTTTTATACAAAATCTCTCTACTATGAATACGGTTTTTCCATGAAATACTTTTTCATTTCCCTTTGAACATCTTGAAACTGGCACACATCTTGATATCCTTACTGAATTTGTTAAATTTGTACAATCCTTTTTGAAATACTGATTTTTTTGTTATATTGCTACTGCATTTTTGTAAATGAAATATTTAACCATCCAAGTTCTGTCATCATAACATTTATTCTAGTATATTTATTTTTATTTAAGATGATTCTCATAGCTTTATTTTGTAATATTTGTAATTTTGAAAATACAGTTTCGTTTGCAGTGAACAAAATAGTCGAAAAATATAAAAAATATTGAAATGAATCTTAAATGTTGGCACAAATCATAAACACTGTAACTAGTTCCTGCTATGGAATGTGAGAAACAGGGTCTGAAGCATTCGAATGTCAATTTCAGGGCCAAGTGCACTGGCCATCTCATAATCTATCCAAGCATAAACAAAAAAATCAGAGTTACACTATAGGAAAGTAGGATGTACAATTTTCCTGATCCCCTTCCATCTTGATAAGGAAAACAAACGATTAACGTAAGGACAACCTTTTAAATCGTCAGTTTATCCCACAATTTATTCCAATAAAATTCGCATTGCATCTTAAGCCGCGTTTATGTAACAACTATTGTAATCGCCTGTTAATAATATAAGTGGAGCTTAATTTATAAACAGATTTGTTGAATGATGTTCTGATGTTATCAGCTGAATTGACCGTGTTTTTAGTAGATTGCCTCTAGACGCAAGGCCCACACGATGCTGAATATGGGCTGTTGACACTATCTCGTCAAGTAAATAAAATTATTAGTCCTTTTATAAAGAACTGGTTATAGAGCGAGCAATGCGCCTTGAAATGAATGAAAAGGGAAAAGGCGAACTGATGTCAAGTATCACAGATCGACCTTTTTCGCATACAAGATGGTCTACATCATATACAGGGTGTTCGGAGGGTCGATACAAATACAGGGTTTTCTTTAATGATATGCCAATATTTAAGGGTGTGAATCTACAAAAAAAAATGTTAGTTTGCTTTATAAACCATGGTCCAAACATGTTTCCTTACAAAAACTCGGGGTGTTGAAGTTTTAGGGAAAAAATGGAAATTAATTAATATTTTCAGAACTACTTCAGATATTCCACTGATATTTAGTACGTAGTGAAATTTAATAAAGTTGCATATTTTTCAATGCAAACATATTTTTTAGCTTTAACAGTGACGTGCGTACGGGTATTGACTTCGATATTTTTTAAGAAAGAGTGGTACGCTAATAGTTTTTTTACAAATAAAAATTATTTTTGAATTCCCCGTTCACTTTAAAACAAATGATCTCTCCTGAATTGTTTTCCTTCGATGCGCCATTTTTGAGTAAATGAGAAAATCAATGTAATAATTGAAGAATGCCACTTAACAATAAATATCTAGTTGCTCTGGAATATGTCACTGGCTTTCGACATCTGACAAGTCTCTGTTATTCATATTCGCTGTGATATCTTTTTAATTATTTAGTTTTTACAATCTTGTTAATAATGGTGAATTATTCAAATGCAGAAATGGCGGAAATGCATTACGTATATTGCCGACGGTAATGGTGAGCAAGCCAGACGGATTTATTACCACAGATATCCCGATCGTGCTTTGCCAGATAGTCGAACCTTTTCTAACATTCATCGTCGTCTTGTTGAAACTGGTTCTGTCCGAAAAGGAACATCTGAAGGTAGACCTCTAAGTGTGAGAACATCTGAAACTGAGGAAGCAGTGCTGCACGAAGTCGAAGAACATCCTGAAACGAGTACTAGGAAGATCGCTAGACACTTAAATATTTAATAATAATAATAATAATAATAATAGACGTCTTTATTTATGCACAATTACATGTAGTATAGCCAAATGTCAGACTTATATGGCGAAGTTTAGCATGCTGCTACTCTTACACTTAACCATATAGTCTCTAGCAGATGTTCAAAAGAATACACTATCCACAAACAGATTTGGTTCATTACATCGAAAGTAAAATTTTAAAAAAAAGAGAAAAAGGCATACTTTCCAAACCCAAATGCACCAAAAAATTATTAATCTGAATTAAAGATGGAATAAAAAAGAAATGAATAATTACGTAAATTATATGTTTGGAGGGTTGAGTAATAATGTTTTAACTTTCTGTCGAAAGACAGGTAATGAAAATTCTTTATATACTTTAGGAAGGTCATTATAAATAATAGCAACATTGTAAGAAAAACTGCGTTTAAAAAGTGTAGACGTATGCAGGGGTATTCTAATATTATTTTCTCTGAGAGTTCTACAGTGAACATCATTATTAAATGAAATTTTTTCCTTCAAGTAATAAGGTTTAGACGTGAGCAGCAATTTGTGAACAAAAACTGAATAGTGATACTTGACCATGTCATTAATTTTTAACCAGTTTAGAACGGGATATTTCGCCGATACATGATCAAATTTACGTAAGCCAAAAATGAATCGTATACAATTGTTTTGAATAACTTGAATAACGTTTTTAGTGAAATTGTCTAAACAAGTATAGTATACGATATTACAATAATTTAGTATAGATATGCCATCAAATTGTTTGGAGAATTTTTGTGTTTTTTTTGTTATACCCTTACCATATTTTAAGAGTACAGGCATTGCTTCCCATTGATTTTCCAAGGCGTGTGACCTTTTGTCAGTGGTTTCTTCAAAAAATTACACAAGATCCGCAACTTGAATCAATGATTCTGTTCACGGACGAAGCTAATTTTTCTCGAAATGCCATTCAGATTTTCCACAATAATCATTTGTGGGCAGAAGAAAATCCCTATACTGAAACCCATTTCCAACACCAATTTTTGGTTAACGAATGGGCAGGAATTATTGGACCACTTTATTGGCCCATTCTTCTTGCCGGACGACTTGACGGACAGACATATCAATTTTCTTTAACAACTTTGCTGCCGTTAGTAATAAGAAACAATATGTGGTACATGCACTTCAGTGTAGCGGTTCGTAAGTATTTACAAACTGCTTATCCAAATCGTTGGATAAACCGCGGTGGACCCCAGGAATGGCCACCAACGTCAACAGTTTAGATTTCTTTTTGTGGGGCTATCTTAAGACACTAGTGTACACAAGTCACATTAACACTGTAGAGGAATTAAGAGAAAGAATAGTTGCAGCTTGTGATAGAATAAAAAACACTCCAGGGATATTTCAACGAGTGCGCAATTCCATGTGAAGGGGAGCGGAAGCATGCATACTAAGTGAAGGGGGCCATTTTCAACAATTTTTGTAATCATTTCGTTGGTTTTAATGTTATGTTGATGGTGTCAGTTGTTGCTGTTCATTACCCCTAATGTATTTAATTTTTCCAATTAAATTAATAATAATTTTACAAGTTAGACAATAGAACGGTTTTCATTTTTTTACTCAAAAATGGCGTATTAAAGGAAAACAATTCAAGACAGATCATTTGTTTTGAATTGAACGGAGAATTAAAAAATAATTTTTGTTTGGCAAAAAACCATTGGCGTACTACTTTTTTCTTAAAAAATATTGTAGTCAATACCCGTATGCACGCCACTATTAAAGCTGAAAATTATTTGTGCATTGAAAAATCTGCAACTTTATTAACTTTCAGTACGTACTGAATATCAGTGGAGTATCTAAAGCGGTTCTGAAAATATTAATTGATTTCCATTTTTTTCTTAAAACTTCAACATCCCGAGATTTTGTAAGAATACATCATCATTAAGGAACACCCTGTATATTAAAGACTGATTGCACATTAAGCTACGTATGAGAAATTCCACGCAACACGACATTTTACGATATTCTTTCTCATACTGATTAAAAGTCGCAAGAGATATACCAATAGCTTCATCTGCAATGAATTTAGCACGTATTTCTCATCTAGTTTTGAGGAATCACGAAATAGTTCAAATAGATTTTTATCTTGGACTGTAGACTGAATTGGAAAGAGCATGTTGAGTACAAAACATTGTGCAACAAGTCTCGCATTTCATTGTGGGCTTAGAGACGGTTGACAAAGTGAGATGGGAGCTTAAACCCAATGTGGTGCACTGGTTCTAGTCGCGCATCGACTGAGAAGTGATGGCATTTGGACCACCATGAACCCTGTCAAAGGTCACACTGCCATCTTAGTCGAATTGCAAGGGGAGGTCCTATCTATCTGAGTATGGGTGATCTCTAAGTATCGTTTTAACCGCAAGTTTAATGTGGAGTATCCTACGAGGGTAAAGTGGGATTCCTTATGCGCTGGCTCCTCATGATGGCAGGTATGCCTTCAATTTCTTTACTCATTCAGTGATTTCTTAGTGTGGCTATTGATGGAAGTAGATGTCACAGACTGACAAAAATGGAAACTTGAAAGTTTGGCTGTTATGATCATTCAAATAGTTCTCTGAATAGGAGGGTAAAACTGAAGTTCTGTGGAATGTCTTGCCTTAATGAGTATCCCTATTTTTCATTGTTTCACTTGATTACCACCAATCACCGACGCGATACGGTTGTTCTGCTGTATAACTTATTTATGCAGGATTTTGTCGGCACTGTGTTTTTTCGCTCTTTTTATTCGGTTCAGAGCTGCTGTACCGAAATAAGTTATCACACTTCAATAAAGTGAGTTAGCACCTCTCAATATACGTTTTATAGTCTTGGTGATGTATTGTGCCTCATGCATTGTATAAACTGCTTAACTCTCGTCGGTAGCAAGTCGATCGTTTTACTAAATTGTTTGCTTGTATCCTACAAGCATGTTCTGACTATCAGATTACCATTAAATAGTCATCCATACAAATTAATGATTTGATCTTGCCTAGCTGGGAGCAGCTCTGATCGGGTTTGCTATGAATGATTCTACGAACCTCTATCGGAAATTTATTTTTGGAAGGAACCGATAAGTCCGAACCTGTACGGAGTGCTTGACGCTGTAAATGCGGTGCGCGTTACCTTTCGTAACCCATCGCTTATCTGGCGGCGTGAATATTGCACTGGGAAATTTGCCTGAGTCTAGCTTCTGGTTTACATAATCTCTGCTCTAGGTTAACGATATTGAACTTCTACTACTCGTCATTTGTTTGTCTGAGAGAAGAAAAATAGAGAAGAGCAAAGGAAAACAGAAGTGTTTAGTTTAAGAGGAGAAGCCTAGGCATTTTGACTTGGTACACGGTGAACTAAACTAGTTTTAGATATCGCGAAGTCGATTACATCTGGTGCCTGAAGATGATTGAATGGATGATGTGTCGGGTCTTCAGTGCTATGTATAAGGTACCCATTTCGCATTACATGGTTGTACAATCGAATCCCACTAGTGGAATTCAACCTAGAATTCCATGCCCGATGTTTGCAGTTGAAGTCCCCTGCCACAATAAGCGGACCCGAGTAGTCCAAAAGGACCTCCAGATCCGCCTCTTGTAGCCTGGCACCACACCTGACATACACCGATGTGTTCTTCAACGAGACACCTCCCGCCATATTGACCACGACAGAAGCTGCTTCGATGCTATGCATCTCCACATTAGTGCTTCTAAAACAGTCTACAAGCCCCTTTCCACTTCAGTTGGCCCACTTGAAGATTTGTACCAAAATATGCCTTTATAAACTAAACATGACGAAACCATTTACTTCTAATACAATTTATTTTCTCAAAAACATATTAGATACACTTTAGTCATAAAAAATACATATTTGAAATCGCTTAGACCTATAACTAATAGAACATCTGAACAAATAAACAATGTGCGAATAAATGCGCGAAGTTAACAAAGCAACAATTGAAAGATTACCATTGGGTAACATCACCTTTATTTTTTATTACAACTGAAATTCTTTGGGGCATAGTGTTAACCCAAGTTTTGGCAAAAATTTGGTGTAAAACAATCCCATATTTCTTTAAGCTTCTGTCTCAGTTCGGTAATTGTACGAGCAGGATGTTACGTAGAACCTTTTTCATCTCGTGCCACAAAGTTTCAATAGGTGACAGATCTGGACTGCTAGAAACCCATTTCAAAAGTGGTACATTATTTTCTTCCATCCATTTTATAGCCTTTCCTGTGGTATGGCTCGCTGCACCATCTTGCTGAAAAACAAAATCTTGACCGGATGTCAAACATTCTTCCATCACTGGCAAAAGCGATCCTTCTAAAATTGCCAAATATTTGTTTGTATCCACAGTTATATCAATAAAATGAAGTTTTCCTACTCCTTTTGATGACATACTGCCCCAGACCATAATGGATGCTGGAAATTTCACTTTTCTCTTCAGACAGTCAACATGGAATGCTTCATTTTTTTGCGAATAACTCTACTGCGACTGTCACCAACACAAACTTCGAATCGGGCCTCATCACTCCATTGTATTGCACACCATTGTTGAGGTGTCCATTGTCTATGTTCTTTAGCCCATCTAAGCCATTTTCCTTTTGCAGTGGGGTTAATAGTGGCTTTTCTTTGGCCTATAAGCAAGTTGTGCAACTTTAGGGTTTTTACTTCACTTTTTTTATAAGGAAACTTACCTTGCAAGTGCTAAATCCCAGTTTGTGGGCCTCTCTATGAGTTGTGGACCTCCAAATTCTCCTTCCAACAGCGTCAATCCACAGAGCACGTAAAAATTTATTATTATTCTTCTTAATGCTCTTCGGTCGGCATTTGTGATATCACTTTTTTTCACATATCGTGGCTCAATATTAACTGAACCAGTTACGTTATATCTTCTAACAATATTTCTCACACTGTACCGCGATAAGTCTAACAAAGTTGCAATTTATGTGTTTGAATTCCCAGAATTAAAAAAATTAATTATCAGTAACCGAATTTTCTCACTAATAGCCTTTCCTCTACCCATTTTGAAAACCTTTAACTACCCAAAACTATTTTAAACGTATTCTGACAGCTGTGATTAATAAAAACAGTTGTCATGGCTTTTATTTTTCACAGCCACCTACGCGTTATAGACTTATTTTGCATTGAAATGAAAATAGGTTGATATGCTGTAATTGCAACACGTGTTATTTTTATGCTGCAAATTTGATTGGGGAGTGATAAAGTTGGTGTTTTTCTACTATATATTATCAAAATATTCATTGTTAATATTTTAAGCCTATAACACCCTGCTACATTTTTATTATTTGTGTTTGATAAGAAAAAAACTAAGATTTCAATAGTTGGGCCAACTGAAGTGGGAAGGGGCTCGTATACCGCGCTTAATCAACACTACTAAACCGCCACGTCGACCGTCCAATCTGTCACCTCGGATAACATCATAATTCGGGAGAGCTAAACGATCTCCCGGATTAAGCAACGTTTCCTGCAGCAAGGCCACATTTATACCTTCGTCAAAAATAGCTTGATAAAATTCCAGTTTTTTGAGAATATCCCTCATACCCAAACAATTCCAAAAAAGAATTTTGTTGAATGCAGGCTGTTTACTATTGTACCTAGACATTTACAGGAAAATTGAACTTCTTAGACTCAATCAAGGCATCGCCCCTTGGAGCTTGAAGTTACCGACCGATCAAGCACTAAAACACTCTGAATGCACTTCATCAATTATGGATATCATTTCGAACTTTTATTACACATACCTAACAATAAAAACGTACCTGTAGCATCCATCGGCAGCGGTAAACACATAAGCAATATGAACTGCAGAGTGCATACTAGTAGCCAGCATTATCAGCGCCATTACTCGAATTTGGTATGGTCCAAAATCGTCTATCCTTCGAATGACGTCATCGAGAACTTCCGGCATGCTTTATTGTTTTTGGCATTATGGAACTTCGTATACTGTCATAGTGAAAACTGGTATACAAAGTGTTCGAATTACAATGGATCGATTGATATTGTCTTTCAAAAAGAAATTACCACAACACTAAACGCTAACCAGTTTAATTCATTTTTCACCACCGTTGTTAATAACCTTTTAGAAAGCTTACCGTCACATGACACTTCACCACTAAGCTATATGGATAATCATAGCATAAAAAATCAATTTTCTTTTCGTGATGTTACATACAATGAAGTTAGGGATGCGATTAATTCTATCAAAAACTCTAAAACTACCGACTTATAGGTATAAACTTAATAGTAAAATTGTGAAATCGATGTTAAACGTAATTATTTACCCGCTTACTAAGCTAATCAATATGTGTTTAGAATCAAATATTTTCCCCGCAGCTCTAAAAACATCCAGGGTAATTCCTATATATAAAGACGGGTCTGGTCTGTTGACGAAGTTTCGAACCACCGTCCTATATCATTGGTACCCTACTTCGCGAAAATCTTTGAAATTATATACATAAGGACCAACTGAGCAATTATCTCGAAACCAACAATTTCCTAAATTCTCGTCAATATGGCTTTAGAACAGGCTTATCAACCATTATTGCAATAAACAGTTTTATTGACATTGCACACGATGGATTTTAAAACAAGCAATATATAGAGGCAAATTTCTTCGATCTGAGCAAGGTCTTCGATTGTGTACAGCATGATGTACTTCTTTCAAAGCTACCGTCTTACTCAATCGATCCTTCTGCTGTAGTCCTCCTGAAATCCTATTTAGAGCAAAGGCAACAGCTCGTCGAATACAATAGCTGCACATCGTCAGTCAGCACAGTTTTACATGGCGTGCAACAAGGATCTGTCCTTGGCCCTTTGTTATTCTTACTCTATATAAACGACCTACCAAATTGTCTTCTTAATAGTATGAACAGTAAGCTCATTCTTTATGCTGATGACACCACTCTGATCTCAGCCCACGATTCATTTACGAACATCAACAGCGAAACGACGGCCAGTATATCTAGCATTCAGAATTGGTTTATAGCTAACAAATTAGCATTAAATTCAAACAAATCTCAATCCTTGACAGTCACACTTCGAAATAATAATCAGAATGGTGATCACGCAAAGGTTGTGAAGTTTCTTGGTGTCTATATCGACTCCTCCTTGAACTGGGATGAACATATCAGTCATGTTACCAAATCTCTATAAGCAAAATTTATTTAATTCGCAATTTAAAACACTCAGTTTCACGAAATGTCCTGTTGACCATATGTACTTCCATAGTAAAATGACATACGCCCTTCTGGCGTGGGGCCACTCTCCCCACATGTACAGAGTATTTGCCCTACAGAGAAGATGTATCCGATATATAGCAAATCTAAAATAATATAGAGATCCCTGCAGATCTGAGTTTATCAAACTAAAGATCATGACTTCATGACTTTGCCTGGCGCATATATTATATTGAGCTGCCTCTTGCATGTCAAGTCAAATCCTGACCTATATACAAGCCACCATGAAACTCATTCATATAATACCCGGCACCGAGATAACTTGTACCCAAAACAACACAGACTTGCTAAAACAAGGAATTTAGTTAACTACCATGGAATAAAATTTTATAATGTTTTACTTAAGGAACTAAGCATAAAATGAATTCAGTAATGCTGTGCAAAAATTGCTCGTGTCGGATGCTTTTTTCACCATTGACGAGTTCCTCAATCACAAGTTCTCTAGGGATACTCAATAGTTATATTTCAAGCTACATTTCCTTTTTTTTGCTACTTATTCGAACCATGTATAAAATATTTATTTCGGATCTATCTCTTATGCCATTTATTTATTGATTTTAACGTAGTTTGTAATAATTTTACCTTTTATACTTTTATTGTCATCCTCTTAACTATATTTATGTGTGTGTAATCTGTACTGTTTGTTATTATATGTATTATTTGTCATTTATTTTCTTCTTGTAACAGAGCGCTTTTATTATATTGACTTGTGACACGTTCTGTGCAATAGCACCAATAAACCATTATTATTTTATTATTATTATTATTATTATTATTATTATTATTATTATTATTATTATTATTATTATTATTATTATGGCCAGATTCACTTAAGGATCTCATTCCGAAGCAGAAAAATCAACTGCAAGGCAGTGGATCTGGCCAGGACCATTTCACGAACGGTTATCGACAAAAATACATCTCAAAATACCCTGAATAGTACCTATATTGGAATTCTCAATACGGATATATATATAAGCCAGGCGATGCGCTTAGATTGACAAGAGTGCTCGGATCGAAAACATTTCTCTATCACGCTTTTAAGACAAATGTACGGGTAAAACGATGATATGTGGGAGGGACTATGGACTAATTATGTAGGCCTGTTTGGCTCACTTTATCCATGTAATATATTTCTTGTGTTATACATGTTCATAGTTAACTTTTTCCTTATAACAATAATCCTTTGTGAATTAACGACAACCTTGCAAGGAAAGTGCAAAGTCAATCTACTTGACGGCCTTTTTTGTATGCGCGGAACTTATCAAAAGAAAATATAATAATATTTCCATGCTATATTTCTATATTTGTTGTTCTTTACATTGCTTGACAATTTTCTAGCATATTTTTGAAAAAATCAATGTTTGAAAAAAAGCTTTATTTTTAATACTTTTCAATTTCCTGATGATTTTAATGCGTAGATGAAAAGTATTACCTGCATCTCAAATCTTTGAAAGCTCTTTAGTCACAGTACTTATTGAAATAGTCATGTTGAAATTTTTAAAAGTTCATATTGTTTTGTACGGTAACATCACTTTTGGACTAAGTTCTAAACTAGAAAGGTATTTTCTGTATCTATTTCGCTTTGAAGTATTAACTATTTGTAAATGTCCTTTCACTTGTTTTAAAAAAAAAATTTAGAGAAGCGTTGGTTGGTTTTCTGTATATTTCTGTTTATTTAACTATAACTATACTTATTCGCTATGAAAGAACGTAAATTTAATGGTAGTACCAGGACAACCTACTCACTCTACTTATGCGTAAAGTGTACTACAAGCAAACTGAGAACATCAGTCTATATAAATCTAACACACTTATTAGAAAAACGTTTGTGATCAATCGCATTCACCGTAATAATTTGCACCATTTACAAAACTAATGTCACAGTAGTGAAAAACATTGTCAACGTAATTCAACAATAGCACCAGAAATACCGAACCGTTTGTCGTATCACGTAATGTGGAAGTACACATTTACGAGTTCAATTGTTGTAGGAACTGGCAATTTTAGCTGTTTTCTAAAAAGTGATATGTTATCGTTTATGTATATTGGTAATACACATATAATCCATACGTCCTCAAGTGACTTATTCAAATTGACTATTCCGAACTGGATGCTTCATTGCTAATTATTTGATTAACCAATATCGTTATCTGCTCTATATATTTTATTTAATAGATCTGTGACTACCCAAATATCATGTCAAATTGCATCATTGAATTGACGCATTTCAAAAACCACCTTAGTCACATTTATTCCATTTTGCTTTTTTTCATAGAAAAGCTTCCTTAATAGTAGCTGCTTATTTTAGACATATTCCACGCAAGTCAGTATTTCTTCTCCTTCAAATAATTCCGCGCTATACACGATCGTTGTAAAAAACAGTATAAGTCAATTGATTCATGCTGTCTTACGAGAAATAATTGTCAGAATTGGCCTACATTTGTTGCTGTTTACAAAAGATTTGCGAAAATGGTTAAGCTAAGTTGTAGGATTATACAGGGTGGCCCATCCATGTGTGGACGGAATATTACTCATAAACAAATACATTGTGGGAAAATCTATTTATGGTATGTTATACATGACATTTGAGAGCCCACTTCTAAAATATTGGCAATTATACAGGGTGTCACAAATTTGACCTACATATCAAAGTTGTGATTTTTTTAATGAAATGCCTCAAATTTTATTGCATATTTGGATAAACCAATTCAAAAGAAGAAGATTGATATAGGTAATTAGCTACTGAGATATGAGGTGTTTTGTCCAGTAAAAGTGTCTACCTCGGCAACCCCTCAATCCGCGATTTTGAAATTTGGAGTGCTGAGTGCTTTCATTTTTTTTCTCATATGGGGTAGTCAAAAACGCAAATTATACTTTTTCTCAAAAATTTCAAATGCATCACCTTGTATAATTGTGCAAGTTCGGATTCCATTTCTTATAAGCTTTTTTTCGATTCAGATATCACTAGATTTTGAATTATTAAGCTTTTAATAGGACAGCACACCAAAATTAAGGACAAACATCACATCATCCATGGAAACAAAAGACAAACAGTGGGCTAGTTCCATATTGCCACTAAGAGTACAGATTTGACATAAAAACTAATAACAATCAGAACAGTATAAATCAGCTTAAAGCGTAATAGAGAAAAACAACTATGACAACAACATAAACAAACAACTATCACTACTCAAGGCCTAATCTACAAAAACTGCTTGAAAATATCTGCACCATGTTGAATACCCAGCCGTAGTCTTTGGATAAATAACCGTTGCACATCCCTCAACATGTGTTCCCTTATGTTCAGAAAAGCATCCTTAATCCTTTCCTTCATATCTTCCGGTTTAGATAGTGAATATCTATAAACCTCTTACTTAACGTAGCCCCGCAGAATGAAGTCCATCGGTGTCATATCTGGTGATCTAGGAGGCCAAGATATAGGCCCATCCCGACCGATACAACGATTGTTACTCCAGGTGTCCAAATAGTTACGCACACGATTATGAAAATACAATGGTGCGTCGTCATGTTGGAAGTTTCATATGCATCCGAGTTTGCAGGTTGACATCCTCCAAAGCAAAGGAAATGCTCGTTCAAAAAATTCAAGTATTCTGTACCTGTTAATCTGTAGTTGAAAAAGAAAGGCCCAATAACTTGTCTGCCAATAACTCCTTCCCAAACATTCAAGCTCCATTTACCGTTGCTTATAAATGCGAGATGCTAGGAAACTATTTCTTTGGGCTTCGCTCAAAACGAATATATTCACCATTTCTTCTTTAGAAAAATTCATTTTCAAACATGTTTTTATTGTAATGCTCTCAAAGCTAACTTTGACAGTATGTAACTAATCAACAATTTATTTGTTTCCAAGGATGATGCGATATTTTAGGGACTTCAGCCGTTCCATAAAAGACGTGCTAATAACCGAAAAAATAGCCGTAAAAACCCTTATGTGTCTAGTATAAAAAAAACTTATAAAAACTGAATCCAAACTTGCACAAGTATACAGGGTGATGCATTTGAAATTTTCGAGAAAAACTACAATTCGTTTTGACGACCTTGTATGATCAAAAATTAAAATTCGAAAAAGTAACAAATTTGACAAAAGCTGAGGTGTGTAAGTTTTTTGTTACAAAATTCAGCACTCCAAATTTCAAAATGGCGGTCTGAGGGGTTGCCGAAGTGGGTGGCTTTTCTAGACAAAACACCTTATATCTCAGTAGCTAATTACCAAAACCCCATAGTATGTTATATCAGTTTTCTTCTTTTGAATTGGTTTATCCAAATATGCAATAAAATTTGAGGCATTCTATTTTAAAAATCACAACTTTGATATGTAGGTCGAAATTGGGACACCCTGTATCATGGCCAATATTTTAGAAAAGTGCCCTCAAATATCATGTATAACATCCAATAAATAGAGTTTCTCAAAATGTATTTGTTTATGAGTAAGGTTCCGTCCTCGCATAGATGGGTCACCCGGTATACAAAGGGTACTATAAAAGTTTTACAATACAGCTTTATTTATAGACTTCGATCAAAGTAGTAGTAGTGTGCTCATCAGCAAAGACCCAAACTTTGTTTTGAGCCTTGGTCAGCACATCGTAATAAGAGAGCCAAGTCTCGTCACCTGTCACGATGCTGTTCGCATACCGATATCGCCCCTTGTCAAACATTTTCAGCATCTTTCGGCACCAAGTCGTACGACAAGTCCACTGCTCTTCCGTCAACTATGCGGTACCCAGAGAGAACAAAGCCTCCTTACGCTCATATAGTCACGCAGATTTGAATGAATTGCTGTGTGAATGAAGGTGTAAGGTCTCCTCTATCTGTTTGTATGTCACTATCCGGTCTTCGTCAAGCATTTTCCTCACAGCAGTAATGTTTTCCTCTGTTACTGACGTTCGCGGCCTAATATAGTCGTACGATGAAGACAATTATTCTTTAATGCAAGCGTCATTTCTTCTAAGCACTGGTCTATGCTTAAAGCACGCCCTTGTCTCGCTACGTGATCATGATGCCTTAGTCCGCAATTTACAGTGTCAATACGAATGAATAACTAAATCAACAGACGTACTGCCGACGGCTACTATGCATGTATCAACAAGCAGTAAGTAACAAGCAGCCTCTTGCGTCCGTTTGTTAAGTCATATTGCAAAACCTTTGTAGTACACTTTTGTACATGAAATGTGCTTAGATTCCCGCGTAGAATTCAAAAATTGAATAATATCGTCGGACATCTGACAATACCTGCTATCTGACATTTTTGTCCAATTTGAGGTATATGCACATTTTTCTTCGTCTACCTACAGCGCACATTGTGATAGAGTCCGCTAACTGCAGAAA